GCTGATGTTGTCGGCGGCGGCGAAAGTGACCAAATAAAATGATAACATATAGCTACCCACAGGCCACTGAGCCGCCGAAATTACTCATATCGCGAAGATTTAGACTAGATCAAGAGGCCTAATCAACCTAAGTGGTCACTACTCAACAAGGCTTCAGGGCCCTCCTACCTACCTAGGTGGCCTTGGGCGGTTCATTATTCCCAACAGCTCGAACTGTGATACCAGGAAGAAGGTAGACTGGTTTTGCTAGCCGGTTGACACTTGTCAGTTTCGACACAACAAACGCCAGGTACACAAATCGTAGTAACGTTTCCTGAAAGTGAGGACTGCCGTGGTTCAAATTGCGTACGTTGATGCTCAGCCCGAACTCGTACTTCATCGAGCAGGCCAAGTACTTACACATGTAGGTATCTGTTCCTCAAGTGCCATGCCTACCAGGTGGATAGGTGAATTGGAGCATGTTGATATGTCGATGGCGTCTATTATTCCTATCAGGCGTTGTGTAAATACCAGTATATAATCTTGTCCAGTCCACTGCCAATTGCCCGTCTAGTGGGGTGGGCACCACTAGTAGATTAATTGGCTTCCAACTACACCCACTGTAGAAGGTCAACTTTCAATGTTGGCTGCCACCTACTTAAGTACTTAGTAAGTACCTACCTAGGTACCTAGGTACTCAAGTAGGTAGTACTTAAGGTGCCGGGGTACTTGAATCGCCATGCATGCAACAAATCCCCAGGGTTGACATCACTTCGCATTTGACCTCTAAAGTCCTTCCCGACCAAAGCAACCAGCCACCTGCGTTCGAAATAATGTCGATACTGGTCTGTATTTAGTCTGATATCCCTGAACGTTTCTTTGGACCAGGATGCATTTTTGTACGCTCTATTGAACACAGCCGCAACTGCCTAACTAGGACGCACGCATCCAGGAGATGAACTGTATCTAGAAATCAACGATGTCTAGCAACAAGGCTGGGGAGGGGAGCACCGGCTCACCTCTACCGATAGCTGGCGACCGACACCAGAAGTCCCCCGCCTTCCCACAGTTGCAGAACAACGAAGAAACAGACCTGTTCACTGATAATGGCGAGCAAAAAGACAGAATATTTGTCCAATTGGACAACGATGACCAACCTGCCATACCACAGCCAGTCGGGAGGGCGTCTAGTCGAATCTCCCCAGACTTTGTCCCGACTACAGCTGGTAACAATTCTGAAAGTGGAGGGGTTTTCCCCAATTTTGCGCATAAGATGCACAAATTCAACCTCTACGAGACGGCAAGCCGCTACTATGTTGTCGGCGTCGACGTCAGCGAGAAACGATATCGTATCCTCAAAATTGACCGTACTACTGAGGGTGCAGAACTCAACATGACGGATGACAAAATTTCCTACAGTCTGAAGGAAATAAACCAGCTCTTGGACACGATTGATCATGGAAACAGGGGTACAGGCGGCATTAAACTGCGTTGCACTACTTGGGGAATTATTGGATTCATCAAATTCACAGGACCGTATTACATGCTCTTCATCACCAAAAAGAGTACCGTAGCCATGGTAGGCGGTCACTATATATATCAAGTTGAGGGTACGGAGTTGATTGCTTTGACTCCCGGGAAATCGAAGGCAGATTCCCGAAACACGGAGGAGCAGAGGTTTCTCAGCATTTTGAACAACCTGGACTTGACTAAGTCTTTCTACTATAGCTATTCTTACGACATTACGAGGACACTTCAGCATAATATCATGAGAGAAAGGTCGGCTTTGGATAAGGGTGTGATGCCGTCTTCCGATGACGAACCCAATACCATGTTCATCTGGAATTCTTACCTGCTCAAACCTGCAGTAAAGGTGCTTCAAGCTGCCTATGATTGGTGTCGACCAATCATACATGGATATGTTGACCAAGCAGGTGAGCCATTGCCATCCTCTTCTCTCGTTCTATTTGTTATTGCCATGCTAACGCCATAAAGCCCTCTCCATCTATGGCCGAACTGCCCACATTACTGTCATTGCTAGGCGATCGAGATACTTTGCAGGGGCTCGGTTTCTTAAACGTGGTGCAAATGACTTAGTATGTTGTTGCCTTGACCCTTCCCAACTTCTCAAACTGACAAGATACTCAACGTTCAACATTTAGGGCTACGTCGCCAACGATGTAGAAACTGAACAGATAGTTTCCGAATCTCTCACGACATCATTCCATTCTCCTGGACCGCGGCTGTACTGTAGTCCGCAATATACTTCATATGTTCAACATCGTGGTAGTATTCCTCTCTACTGGACCCAGGACAGCACCGGAGTGACACCAAAACCACCCATCGAACTCAATCTCGTGGATCCGTTTTATGGTGCTGCCGCGTTGCACTTTGATGACTTATTCCGTCGATATGGCGCCCCAGTATATGTCGTCAACCTAATTAAATCCAAAGAACGCCAACCGAGAGAATCCAAGCTCCTAGAAGAATATACTCATTCCATCAACTACCTTAACCAATTTCTTCCTCCGGGGAAACAGATCATCCATAAGGCTTGGGACATGAGCCGCGCGTCGAAAGTTCGAGGCGGGGATGTGATTGGTAACTTGGAACTTATTGCAGACTCGGTAGTCTCCACGACGGGGTTCTTCCAGAATGGCGACGGTCAAATTAGCCCAATGTCGGCACAAAATGGAGTGGCGAGAACAAATTGTATTGATTGTCTTGACAGAACCAATGCAGCTCAGTTCGTCATTGGAAAGCGTGCATTAGGGTATCAACTTCATGCCCTAGGGATTCTGAATGATACGACTGTCAATTATGATACAGACGCAGTCAACCTTTTTACACATATGTGGCATGACCATGGCGATACGATTGCAGTCCAGTATGGTGGTTCTCAGCTCGTGAACACCATGGAAACTTACCGAAAGATAAACCAGTGGACCAGTCACTCGCGGGATATGATTGAAAGTTTTAAGCGTTACTATAACAACTCGTTTCTGGATAGCCAGCGTCAAGAAGCGTATAATTTGTTCCTGGGAAACTATGTCTTCTCACATAGCCAGCCTTTGTTGTGGGAACTGACTACAGACTACTATCTACACCATACAAAACCACGAGATTGGTCAGTGATGAAACCTTGCAATTACATCAACTGGTATACTCCGTCTCACTTGCGTGAGAGGATAATCCCAAGGCTTGCGAAACTTCCAGCCGCTGTTGCAAGCCTTCCTGTTGAAGCAGTCGATGACTATTGGCTGGAATATTACAGGCCAGCATCACTCTCCTCCTTTCCAAAAATGTTTGCCTACAAGATGAACTCTACCATAAAATACATTCCTCTGAAGTCAACTCAGGACGGCCGCTATGACCTCAGCCCTTTCCGAGTACGGGCTGAGACAGATACAGATTCTGACAAACGAAAACCGAAAAGGGAAGGTATCGACAGCCCGTTAACGTCTTCCCATATCCAGCAGTTTGAAGATGTGACTTCTTCAGTAAAATCTGGGAGAACAGCAGCACGGGGTATATCATTCCAGCGCTGGCTTCAGCCCGTACAGGAGAAGGCTACTGAGCAAGGTTCCATGTCCGAAATACATCCTGCAAATAGCGACAACGGTCAGCCAAAACGTGAGAAGATGAAGCCGAGTGCCCTTGAAAAATCCAAAGCTGCCCAGTGGACGTTCACAAAAGCGGTTCATGACTCCCTAAATCCATCAGTAAGAGAACAGGAAGCGGAAGACTATGATCGATACATACGCCACCCACAGAACCTTCCGCTTGTTGTGTCGAACGACACCCCTGCGGGTGTTGATTCGTCAGAATATAGAGAATATATCAACGGCAGTTGGCGTGAACAAGGTCTCATGGTCATTGGAATAGATGAGGAAATGGATGTCTATGGTGAACTTCTGAAAGTAGGTGAGAATCCACTTACCGTAACAGACGAAGACTCGACCAAAAAGAGATACAAAGCTTACAGGAAGTGGCTGCATGGGAAATCATTTTTCAAGCAACAGCCATTAGATTAGTAAATAACCTCCTGAATCTGATTTCGGTGTTTCAGGCACAGAGCTGTGAACAAGGGTGCTTGAAGACATGCTAGTTGATAGCATAATCATACTGCTATTGCATTAAAATGTCTTGTAGCCGGCGATCACGTAAAACTGCGGCTCTTGAAGTTCTATTTATTTCCGATGCATTGGTTTGTGCGAAGAATCGTACCAGCCCTGCCGCTTGAAGGATGCGGGACTTGGGAACCGGCATGCTCCCCTCGTGAATTGATTGAGAGGCCTCATTGTTCATGTTTAGCCAACAGACGCTAAGAATCCGCAGTATTTGCTCCACACGTTTTGTGTTGGATATCCTAGGCCAGCAATTGGTCATAATAACTATTAGAGCTTCGGCCGCGGATGTTAACACTCCAGGGTGGTCCGCACCAAACGGATCACAAATGACAGATTCGATGACGTCCAAAAGGTCCTGTAAGAAATCCTCGTAGTCAGAGGCATTGCATATTGTAGAGAATATTGTGAGACTTACTTTCAGGTGTTTAATGGAGAATATTCCGAGACAAGAAACCACTTCTGCTACATATTGCATCAAGACGTCGACTACAGATATATAATCCGCCGCATGGCGGAACCCTTCTAGTATTCCATCACGGATTATCATATCTAAAATGCGCCGTCTATTGGCGTTGTGAGAATCTCCACTGGTGGTTGCCAGCTGCAGCGCAGCCGTGTATCCTAGCCTTAGCAGAGTCACCGAGTCCTTTTCTGGTGTCGCAGTTGGAAGAAGAAGTAATGTGGGTAGGATCGTGCGCTCAAACAGCTGGTCCATTCCGGTGGTATATATCGCGGATGATGGGCACTTTGCCAGGAACGAGATAATCGCCTTAAGCCCTCCCTCTCTAACGGACATTTCGTGGCTTTCAGCCAAGTTGACCAGCGCTGGCACGAAGCGATGCCAGTATTTTCCGATATCAGGACTCTTGTATAATTGAATTTGTCAGCGACTTAAACAACAGCAGTGCAGGGCGCGACGAGATCAAAAGAGCAAAGGCCGCAAACCTCGGTCATCCTGATCGCCCAATTCAGTACCGCAGCAGCATTCTCATACTCTGCTAAATCCAACGCAGCTACAGACCCAGACGCTCTGGAATTGACTGAAGGGTCACGACCAGTTGGTGATGAAAGAATCAGTCGGACATGTTGGTTTAAAACGGGCCCGATGATAAAGTTGGTCAGTCCCTGTCCGGAAAGCTGTAGAGATAGAATTCTTTGCGCGAGACGAGCCGCAGTTTCGGTTGTCCATAAATCGCCAGGGTCTGCGTAAGCTGTGACAGCTACCAGAGTAGAAGTAGGAAGTCTTAGATTATTCAACCTATGCAGTAGCACGACTAGCGAAGCAAGCGCAGCTTCGGCTTGGATGGCTGTGTATTGTTCATCTTTTTGGATAGGTTTATTAGCCAGATATAGACGACTAGCATTGATAGACAAAAGTGGATTCCCCATCGTACTGACCTAGTGCACCTCTGTTCCATAAGACCTGCAATGCCAAAGTCTGAGTAAGGCTATCGTAGAGCAGCAAGTCAGAACTATTCATGGGGGAATTTAAGCTGTCAGGTTGGCCCATATCCAGTGGGATGCTTTCAGTGTCATGAACATCAATGTCCGCTCCCTCGGAGCTGCATCTGGCGATGGCTGGCTGTAGAACAAGGCAGGCAAAAATTTGGAGTAGCATGTCAAGACGGGTCTGGTGCCATCCATATATTAGTAAACCATTGTTTCTGGGAACAATTAGATCCTTGGGCTTTACCTCGTTACTGGAAACTTTAGGGAAGTTCTCCACTGCTCGAACTATCGTCGTCTGGGCCAAGATGCTCACATCACACGGAGCAACTGTAGCAGCCTCAAGCCTGACGCTGGGCAGTAGAACAACGGCAGCCACATTTTTAAATCCAAGGTCTCGCAATCGACCCACGTTTTCTTTGCTGAGGCATACTTGGTCCATTGTAGTTCCAGGGGGGAAAGGCGAGAAGACAGTGGCTAAGAACAGAGATGTGAGATCAGCTTTGTAGGCGGGCTGTGATGGTTGGCGGGGCGTGTGATCTGGGGTTCCCACATTGCGATTGTGGATCCACTTCTCACTTCCCATCATGCACAGCTTTCAGAAGTTTCGAAGACTTGTTATCCCTCTTCTACTACAGTCATTTCATTCAGTGCGAAATATCCTGTTGACTAACTCCTCGATGTATACCGTGTTGCCTTGGGAAAGCTATCAATGCCCAACTGTACGAAATCTACTCTTCGACGTCCGTCATCATCACGCCCAGAGAGAGAGATCTTTGGGCCGGGACATGCGTGACCCTTTCAACACAACCCGCTATTACAAAGCGCAACTGTAGGAGCACAGTCATGTTTGCTGCACCAGACGATTTTCGTGATAGTAGGCATTAGGGAACGGTCGACTTCCACTGCACATCTATGCCACTGTTCATATAATTTCTCACAGTAGTTATACCGTCACCCACTTGATATCGGGCGCCTAGTCATTAATTCTCTATCGAGGGACACCTAGCTCATCACGCTGTCGTTGAATCTCTTCGATGGCGCCCTTTGGGTCTGTCTCATGAGGATTCCGAAGTTGCCACGCTAGACATAAATCCAGAGCTTGACCTGTCCATTTCCCAGGCTTCACGCCAAGAGCCAGGGCTAAAGAGCGACCGTCAAGAAGCCTCTTCATGCCCGGAGCATCGTATACATCAAGCTCAATGATTAGACCGAGGAATTTCTGCCACCCATCCATGAAATTATCCTTCCCTATTGATATAAATCAGTGTTGGTATGTTGGGTCAATAATTAAAGCTTGTCCCACGACTCTGCTCACCTTTATCATCAAGTTCCGTCCACGCATCCTGGCTTTCCATGGCCTCTACGAGCAGAGCGCTCAGTACCTGGAGAGTCCATGGTCCTCCATGAGAGTCCCATCTACGAATGGCCATGCCCAGTGTATCTCTTGCGAGAACTGCCCCCTCCTCATTACACGTTGACGTTTTCATGCGTATGATTTCTCGTCGATTCTGGTAGCTGCCTGTTATTATGTCCACAAGTTTATTCGGTGCCTTGAACCCTTCACGGGCAGCCACAGCTGGCGGAGGTAAGACATTTGCCTTCCGAACGTTGTTGAGCGGGGGTTCTACAACCATCCAGGGGCTGAGGGAGGCCAGAATCCAGGCTGCATAGTTGGCGGCTTCACCGGGCCTAATTAGGAGTTCGCCGAGAGAGCCTGGACTACGTTTTCGCACAAGGCTATCAAGGCATTCGTAGGCAACGTGCCATCGTGAAGAGTCTGGCCTTGCTGTGGATTTTGAAGAGGAATCTGTAAAAATTGCGTCATACAAGCATAGTTGGTCAATGAACTCCAGGGCAGACCGTGGGTTATTTCCTTGGGTCTCATGTCAGTGATTTTGTTGCTTCTTCAGATATGCATATCAGACGTGGCATGGCGGATACTGTGTTCTCGCACCGAGAGCCTAGTTGAGTGCCGGTGAAGGGAGCTACAGTGAGTGAAGCCCTTTGCCTACCTTTCAACATTTTTTCGAGCTCTGTACCAACCCTTTCTCGGCTGATTTTCACTTGCAGGGCATCCAAGACCTCGGGATGTGCCATAACCTTCTTGGTCTCTTCTTCGATTGAGAACCCCAGCCGACTTGCGAAACGCACCAGCCGTAAGACGCGGAGTGGATCGTCTTTGAATGTTTCCAAGGGGCTCAGAGGCGTCCGTAAGACTTTAGCCGTCAAATCACGCATCCCACCCATGAAATCTTCTATCTGTTCAGTGTGTATGTTGTAGAAAAACGCGTTTATGGTCGCATCCCGTCTTAATGCATCTTCCTCGGCCGTGCCAAATTCAACGGTCGGATTGCGACTGTCCTCCGCGTATGTCTCTTTTCTCAGATTTACTAGATCCAAGTCGAGGCCGAAAATACGGACCATGGCAGTCTCTAGGTGCTTCGATTTGTCTGGGTTCTTTGAGACGTTGTGAAGATTGCCGATATCATCGGGTTTGATTGCGTGTATTCTTCTCCCCTTTTCTGTATTGCAGTACTCACGCATTCTTTGTGCAAAGTGAATTCCAGTCATCGCATTGATGGCAACATCTATATCATGGGATTCGATACCCAGGAGCTTGTCCCGAACCCAACCTCCAGCCCAGCGAACAACCACGGGTTGTACCGTTAGTTTAGAGTCGTTGATGGATTGAGATACATCCAAGAGGAGCCGTCGAAGTCGGTCCTCTTGCGCATTGAGCTGTATAGCAGGCCCCATTTTGGCAGGGAGGTTGTCATAGAGGAACTGGTGAAGCTTTCTCTTGCTCATCCCGGGCCAGAAGCTCGGTCGACGGCCGATGTGTAGCAGCATAAAAGGGTTCGCCCCTCTGGAGACAGGGTTTGTTTAAATGTACATGGGGCTAATATTAGCTCAGTCTGTCAGGGTAGCGGATTGTATCGACTTCTCGAATATTGCTTGCGGTGGTTGGGGCTCAAGTTTAAGAAGCTGTTGGTTGCTGGGGGTCATCTCCTTCGGTGGTGGGTCGCCTGAGCAATCAGTCATGTCTGGTCGCATTGTCTAGGGTAGCCAGATGCGTGGACGGTCCAGTTTATTTCTGTTCCCATCGTTGGGGGTGGTTCAATATTATGTTTAATTTATTTAATCACGGTCAGCTTAGCTGAGTAAGTAGGCGAGATCAACTATGTTAGGGTCTATACCGCTGACAATATACCGCTATAACTAGTATCTGGCATCGCATAAGAGGCACGCTGATACATACACACAGTTGCAACGGGTCCTGTCGCTGAAACATCATACCAGCCATACGAATTACTCTCAAGCATATTTCACAGGCCAACCACACCAGCCTCTGGAGGTAGATATTGGCGCTAACTTCGGTGGCGCACCGCAGCTTCGGTAAAAGTCAACAAGAGCTCGCGAGTTCTGACGCCAGGCATCGTCCAAATGCCATGCCAGCCAATATTACAGTAGTGGCACAAGCCATGACGTCAGGGATGGGTACTGCCTGGCCAATGCATCAAGAGTGGCCACACTACACTGTCCGCGTAGAGATAATGCCATAGGTCGAACCATATTGGAATAGGCACACCAGTCTGCGGGGTAGGGATAAAATTGACTAGATCGGCTCATCAGCTGCACAGTACTTGTCCAGAATGTGGGTATAAAACCAACACTGACAAGCTCCTGACACTTTGGATGCCACATCTTGGTCACGCAACCGAATACAAGGCAACCACACCGGAATATGCAAACGCCCAAAGCGTGAAGCAGTAATGAACCAGGAAAACCAGCATCGGGAGTCCCAATCGCAGCAAACAGATAACACCCCGGTGGTGTTGACTGAATCACCTGCTGCAGGAGACGTTAAACAAGATCGAAGGCTCAGTGATGAATGGGGTCCGTATTACCTGTTCATGCAAAATACAGACGGCCCAAGTCACAGAATAACCAAAGTCACAATATACCACTGCCCCATGTCTAAACGACAACACCGAAACCACCAGCTCTCTCGTTTCGTCAGCAACGACAGAAATGCTAAATTTGTACAGATGCCTCCAAGGTACCCCCGAGCCGATTTCAAAAACGCAAAGGCTCCATATATGCAACGCCAAATTCCCGAGACGGCCATATTGACAGAAACTATGCCGAAAAATACCACGCGAAAATCGCCGAGATGAAGCGTGGCAAATAACACGAACATAACACATAAATTCCGCAGTACAAGCCTCAAGGCTGGGACTGAAAAAAAAAAAAAAAACGTCAGATTACTGAGAGCCGAAAGCAAACTCAGAGGGATGTGGAGATGTAAAACGAAGTATAAGAGATAGCTTATCCGCGGGAGATTAATCATCAAGGCCGTCTATATCAATCGCATCTGGATTTGCAGGTGAATCTTGTTGACCAGTTACCCCCGGTGGAGGCCCACTACTCGCTGCCACAAAGCCATGCATTGCCGAGGATTGCCTGACAAGTTCGGCCGTGGTACCAGCGTGTTGATCACGATGATCTGAATCCCGCTGACTCCGAGCGAGGGCCTGTGATGCAATGAAGTTGACATCGGTATTGTACTGAGCCTGGACGCTTCTCTTGATGCGCAACATCTCCTTGAATGTGTCTTCGTTGCCGTGTTGGACCTCAAATTGTTCCCACCTCGCCCAAAAGTCGGCATTTGTTCGGGGGTCGCAGAATTGTGACGCATGTCCGTAAATTGCACGCGCTCTGTCAATCTCACCTAATCGCTTCTCCATATCCGCAAACTTGAGGCACATCTCCTTAGCTTCGGTATCCGGCAATGCGGAAATGGCCCTTTCATAGATGGGCCGAGTAGACGACAACCCAAAATTAGAAGCGGATTTGGTAATGTAGAAGTTGAACATATCCGCACGGTCTTCATCACTGACCGCCCTCGTGGCTCTCTCATATATCCGCATGGCATGTCGTGCAAGACCCCGCTCCTCTTCCAAGTTTCCATACATCAAGTAAATGGTCTTGGCAAACTTCGGGGGGCAGTCTTCGACAGCTTGCTCGAAGAGATCTCGAAGCCGCTCAATACCTATCTTCCGATTCACCGCTTTCGCCAGGTACATATTCCAGAGCTCGAAGGCGACTGGGTAGCTGAATAAGTCTAAGCCCCGCTCATAAATCTTGAATGACTCCTCGTAATACTTGTGCTCTTCTAAAAGAGTTGCGTAGTTGACAACCGTCTGTGGTGTTGCGATTCGAAGTTCAAAAATGCGTTCATAGACTCGTTTTACTTCGCTCAAAGTAGAGACACTTTCTACGAGATCCACGTAGAAACCCCAAAGTTTCCAGCTCTTATGAACTCTTTGTTGCGCTGAAAGTGCCTCGTCAAAGTAGTCGACTGTAGATCGCTTAGGGGCTTGGACAGCTTTTGCCATGATTCGAACGGCTTCATCAAACTTCTCATTCCGAAGTTCCATTTCTGCCCACTCAATCCACATGTCAGCCAACTCTGCAACAGATTTGAAGGGAACCTTGACTGCTTTCTCCATGATTATGCGAGCGTTCCTTAAATCCCCCCCTTGTTCATAGAAGCGCGCATAGCTCGCCCAAAGTTTATAAAACGAGCCAACGGCTCGTTTAGGGTGGATAGAAGCAATAGCATTCGCATATGTGCGCACAGCTTCTTGTTTATTGCCCCCCCACAGAGCAACTCGTTTCTCCCACTCTGAGACAAGATTTGGGTTCTGGCGAAGTAGCACATCGTTCACTAAAAATGGTCGTCGATCCATTATATGCTCGAACCGCATCATTCGCACATCCAATTCGAAGTCTGCATCTTCATCTTCCACTCCCATGTCGGTCCGATTTGTTACGCTTTCCATAAGCGCCTTGATGATGGACTCTTCGAACTCGGTGTATGAATCGAATATTAACGCAAAGTCGCGGACTGTCATAACGGTTGTTATGCCCTGTTCGAAAGTATCTCGTGCTCGCTCGAAACTGCCTCTCCGGATCCAGTAGGTGGCTAGACCCACCCAAAGCTTGCCCCTCTGATCGGGAAAACGAGCGATTCCGCTTCTGATGATACTTTCAACGTCGATACCCGATTCATAATTCACCTCAATCTCCGAGGCATGGTCTACAAGAAGATCTACCATTTCACTCCAAAGTTCGTAGTGGCCCTTCCCAGTCTTGCTCGCGAATCGGACGTTGTTGAGGAGGTTGACATAGCTTATTGCGGCTTCGGTATATAAACCCGATTCGATTAGAAGTTCGATGAAATCCTCTGCCTCCTCCGGATGCACCTGAATATATCGCCGCCAAATTTTGACTGCAGTGTCACCTGACGCAGCATTTGAGAATGGTACATACAAGGCCCATATTCGATTATGTTGCGTGATTGGTAGCGCCCTCAACGCGCGGTCGAAAGTTCGTCTTACGAGAGTGATTGCTGGCTGTTTGACGAGGAACTGAAGATACATTTCCCATACTCGAGGCATTTTGTTGAGAAGTATAAGTGCCTTTTCAAACAAGGCGTTGACTTTATTGTATTCGGATGCGAAGATAGCGGGGTTTAACTTTGACACATGCTCGGTACGGAAGGCGAGATACTGCGATGGTTAGTTCAATGTCTTCATGATACATTTCGGACCTTACCATTTTCCAGAGCTTGTATGATCGCGGCAACTGGGCGCATGCACGAGCCATGACAAAGTTTTGTTGCGGAAGTGTGCCATGACGAGATTTAAAATCGATGTAGACTAGCCAAGGTTTAATGCTAGCTGGATCACCTGCCACGTCTTGCTCGTATATAAAATCCTCGTTTGACTTGGCCTTGGTCAGCGGAAATATCCTGCGAACAAACGTGCCAAGGGACTGGGCAGAATGTACTCACGACGATGGGGAGACGAGATGTTGACTTCATCTCAGCCGAAACAGCCATTTTGTTGCTACGCCCTCAATGTGCAGCCCTCAAAGTAGACCCTTGAGGAATGTTGAGCATTAGACGACTTCTCGAAGATTGGGTAAAGCTGTCATGGTTAAAAAAACAGTGCTGCCAAGGTCAGGGTCTGATTGAATAGGATCATAAATTCAGCTGATCCTTCCAATGCTGCGCACCAGGTGGCACCTAAGTAGTTATCCATACTTTATGCGAATTTATGTCCTAAAGTGGAGAATTATGCGCTTAACCAGCTAAGTTTTCCGTAGTGGTGGCCTACAAGTGACATAATCCATCCTGCCAGACCAAGCAAGTCGGAGCAAGCAGGTCCACTACCGGTCGACACTCATGAGCAAGCAAGCATCTTGTTTGACATTGTCTGTTAATCACAACGTAGCTTTTGCTCGCTCTTTTTTCACTTTTCAACATGTCTGGTGCTTCTGTATTATTTCACCGTTCCAAAAAGCTAGAAAAGAATCTTCTTCAACTGATTCTAACAACTCTGTAGGACCGCGAGGCCGTCTTTCCGACTCGGCAGTCGCTGGGAATCATGAAAGCAAAGCTCAAAGGCGCCGAGACAGGGCATAGTTTGCTGAAGCGGAAAAGCGAGGCTTTAACCAAGTAAGCAATACAACAGTTCTGTGCTAGAGTTTGACACGGAACATCAAGATTCAACTGACGCTATTTTTGGTAGGCGTTTTAGAGGTATTTCCTCCCCAGGCGATCGCTGCGGGCCTATCGTGGGCTGACCAGACTGTTACAGAAATAACGAAACGAATTGATGAAGCAAAGCGTAAAATGGGACGAGTGATGCAAATCGCAGCCTTTTCCCTGGCGGAAGTTACATACGCCGTTGGGGGAGATATTGGATATCAAGTTCAAGAATCAGCCAAGTCGGCTCGGTTTCGCGTTCGGACCAAGCAGGACAATGTATCCGGTGTCCTTCTCCCAGCATTCGAAAGCTACATGACAGAGGGAAATAATGACTTTGGCCTAACGGGCTTGGGCAAAGGAGGCCAGCAAGTTCAGCGCTGCCGGGAGACGTATGCTCGAGCAGTCGAAGCTCTCGTAGAGCTTGCTAGCCTGCAAACGGCGTTCGTCATCCTCGATGAAGTCATCAAGGTGGTGAATAGGCGAGGTAGGCTTTTACAGTGCAAGTGCTTTATGATGGCCTGCCATAGCTAATGAGTAACAGTAAATGCAATTGAACACGTCATCATTCCTCGCACCGAGAATACTATCAAGTATATAAACTCTGAACTCGATGAACTTGACCGAGAAGAATTTTACCGACTGAAGAAGGTAGGCATAATGCAAAGATAATTTCAGCACCTTGAGAGTAGCATTGACCACTTTCGCGGTCTTAGGTGGCGAATAAAAAGCAGCGAGACACAGCAGCAGCAGACGCGGAAATGAAGGCAAAGCGTCAAGCGTCCAGTAGCAGGGAGGTGGGTGATAAAATCGAAAGCGACGCGACTGGCCCAACAGATATTCTAGCCGGCGAGGACGAGGACGATGTCATTTTTTAGGTTGCTAGTTTTTGACGATGCTCCAGCCTCGGGCAACTCCTTCACTTTTGCCTAAAGTGGCCTGCTTGGTCACGGAAACACTGAGTAAATATAATGTAGATTAAAAACTCGCATCTACAGATGAGGCCTCAGTACCCGGATACGATTACTGTCTTTGATAAGTGACTTTGATCGCAGTATCTCCTAGCTTCATTCCAGATGTGTTCTCCTTTGCATCAATTGCGCCTTGCTCAGCCTCGTATTCCACAAAAGCGATACCACGACGCCCAGGAACGAGTCTAATTTCACGAAATCCCTCGAACCTGCCAAATATCGCGCCTAGCGCGTCGACATCATATTCCTCTGGAATATTTTGCAAGAATAGGATTTTGTTAGGTGGTAAGTATTCATCCGGTATTACCTGGGAAGTTGCGGGTCCTGTCGACTTCAGTCCTGATGGCCTGGAGAGCTTGCTCGGCCTGCTGTCTGCGGTAGAACCAGCACCTCTTTTAGGTTGTCGTTCACTATCGGCTGCCTCTAGGGCCAAACGTTTTTCTGGCAGGCGAGGTTAGGGCGAAAAGATTTGGGGATAAGATATTCCCGTCGTACCTTTTTCTGATAAGCGATTTCTCTTGTGGGCTTCGAACTCATCCAATGAACAGTTCATCTCTATCGATTTGTCACTTCGTGTTTTGGCAAGGGATAGTTTCATTGGCTTGTCGAAAAGCTGAAATCCTTGTAGTTCTTCGATTGCATCTCTTGCACTGTCGGGATCGCTAAATACTATGAACGCTTGCCCCTTGGCTTTGAGGTTTTTTTTCGCCACAATATCGACAATATCGCCAAACTCGGAAAAGATGGTCTTCAAAGATTCTGTTAAGGGTTGAATCTTGACTCTTTCTTCGAGGTTGTGTACATAAACTCTGCGTCATGGTTAGCTTGTGTCCCCCACATTACGTGTCGAAGTGCAATGACACGGACGTGGAGATTGGTTGATCTGAGGCCATGGTAATTCTCTTGGCCACCCAGGCTGGGAGAGGAGTGCTCTTGGACTATTGTAATGTGTAGTATCGTTGGGACAACACGTCGTTGGAGCACAGCTTCGTGGAGACTGGTCACTAAGTTATTAAGCCCTTTAATTGCATATCTCCCGCTTTGTGAATACTGCCTTTAAAGCGAATCCGGCAAACTACCAGCTAGGTAGTACCCACGCGGGTGGTGCCTGCTCCTGGTGGCTTGTCACCTATTACCCTAGGCACCTACCTACCTACCTAGGTATGTAGGTAGGTAGGTACTTACAGTCTGGTATGATTTTGCTGAGGCCAGGCTGGCAGAAGGTGTGGGTATAAAAACACGATCTAATACAAGACAAGCATATTTTGTGAGATCAAGCTATCGAATTTTGCTGTACGCAGTACTCTCTCTGTATTGTCACGTGGTGGAAGAAAATTCCGAACTTGATATCTATTAATCTGGGTGATCGCGTCGGGCATTGGCATGGATTGGAGGCATGTTTGTTGTTGGCGTCGAATTGGTTTTGAGTGCTGCACGGGTCGTGGGTTTGGTGTAAGGGCACGCATTCCATTCCTGTCGAATCCAGGACGCTAGGTGGAGGTTGCGTTCCTAAGCCGAGTCACATCCGGCAACTCCAAATGGCCTCCCGACTCTGGAATGTGATATTTTGCACTCCTAATCGGCATTAGTGACAATCTTCCCGCACGCATAGCCTTGCGGATTCTTGCTGTTGTGTTCCTCTTGCGTGTGCTTCGTGGGTTGGCTTTTCATGAACAGAAGCCGGATATGTCTGAGCTAGTGGCTAAAATTCGAGTATGGCACATGTTCTGATTAAGTTCCTCGCCGCTATCCTCTGCCGAAATCATGACGACACTGGTCAATATGTTGCCACGCGAGTACGTACATGTCTCTATATGTTTGAGTTATGCCGCTGTTCCTTTTCATCCACTAACTAAGAGGGACGAGCGGGCTAGGACGAGGTTTCGCAGAAGGGCAGCGCCAACCATCTATCATGTTGCTTCAAAGGAGCTAGATGGGATTCGGCCAACTAAAGACATGTCTTGGATACCATTACTGAGCCGCTGTACTATCGGTCAACATCGACACAGACAAACAAACGAACCACCCCCCTCCCCTTTCGCTTACGCCCCATTGGAGGCACCCATGATGCTCGTATTGAGTAAGAAGAAGATCGGGACACGCGCTTGTAGCGCGATTGGGCCTGAGATTTGGCGATAGAACATGGCGTTTCACATCCCGTTCTTTACGGCAAGGCTATTGAATGTGACCAAAGGATTCCCACACTATGACTGGTATGCCTCGTGTTGGGGCTGTCAGAGCTCATCGTGCCGACACGCGATCCATCGTGCAACTGCAAAAGATTCGAAGATGCAGAATCCATTCGCTGCAGGTGTAATAATTTATGTGCCTCTTCAAGATTCCTTCAAAGTGATGTTGTTCATACCCAGCATAATACAGCACTTTCCCTTCTGGCCGGCAACCGTTTCAGACAGAGCTACGAGCTCACCAACACTGTACCTACAGCCTGCAATTCCAAGCCACTGGAAATGGCCCAGAAATTGCCCCTCGAGGGACTGCCGGCCGTGAAGCACTTATCCAAGGTCCCGTCTCTAGAAGTTTTGAAGAGTGGACTGCTTGGAAGTCTGGAAGGTAGTCTGGACGGTTGCCAATGGGACAAGGGGGACATTTTGGCATCGATTCCGGATACTGTTGAGCAAGCTGAACGTTCTTTGCACCTCTTGCACGCTCTACTAACACAGGTGCCTGGTCCATGGCCCACGATACCACTTATACGATGTTATGCAAGACTCTCGAAGCTCCTACCTAAACAACTCAAGTCAAATCCTGCAAGAGAGGTTGCGAAGTTTAGGCAAACGATATCGGCGATGATTAAAGACTCATACGGGTCATTGTTGGATTTTATTTGTCACGATTCACGTCCAGCGCTGCGAGCAACGAATCCAGACCAATTTATTACACATAAAGGGTTGCATGACTTTGTCGCAACTTTCCCCCTGGCTGTCGGCCCTGCGGAACGGAAACCGGTTGTTGCTATTGCCCTTCCCAATGGACCGCTTCTGGCGGCAACATGCATCGCCGTCACTACCTATCACACTGCTGCCCCGATCAACCCAATGGCTGGGATAGAGCAATTTCGAGCCGACGTGCTACAGTCAGGTGCAAAGGTCATCTTGACCAGCTCACAGGACTACGAGAAGTTACAGCTAGGAGATGAATGGGCCAGTGACGAAAATATAGAAATTTTCGTCGTTGACTGGAATAATCGTGATGACATTCGTATTCTCAATACTGCCGGACATGTTTTGAAGCCCCACGACACACGCCCACGACCAAATGCACCTGACGATATTGCCTTGATCCTTTTTACTAGCGGTACATCCGGAACGAAGAAGGTCGTTCCAATGAAACTGCATTCGATAGTTGCTGGAGTGGTATTTGTCATGGATTCCTGGGCTCTGAGCCCAGTAGACACATGCCTGAATATGATGCCCCTGTATCATGTGTAAGTGTTGATTTACTTTACCGGATTCAAAGCCGGATACTTTGATACCGCGGCTAACGATTCAAAAGCGGCGGATTAGTCAGAAATATACTTGCGCCTATATTTTCTGGAGGATCTACGGTCTGCTGCACTGCATTCGATCCGAATTTATTTTGGGATGTTGTGGAATCCCTGGAGCCAACATGGTACTATGCGTCTCCTTCTATACACTCCGTCATTCTCGCTCAGGCACTTGAACGACCAGGCTCGCTGAAAAGGAGCAAAATTAGACTCATATGTAACGCTGCAGGAGGACTTTTGCCGTCGTTGGCCACTCAACTTTGCGATACCTTTAACTGCCTTGTTTTACCAAGCTATGGGATGACGGAGTATGTTCTGGCCTGTCTGAGCTCACCTGAAACGCATTGCCTCCGAGTCGAATAAATAATGGAGCAAAGTTGAGAGAGAAGTTGCTAATGCCTTGTTTCAGATGTATGCCAATATCAACACCACCGCTTCAGCTTGAGTCTGGTCGAGAAGGAACTTCCGGCATCAGCATCGGCCCGGAGCTTACTATACTGGACTTGTCAGATTGCAAGGTCGGCCCTGGGGTGGTTGGCAGGATTTGCGTCCGAGGTGACCCTGTTTTCCCTGGCTATTTGCTGCCCGACGGCTCGTTCGATAAATCTTCGTTTAACACTGACGGGTGGTTTGATACGGGTGATTTGGGCTACATGGACAGTGACGACTACCTTTACATTACGGGAAGAAGCAAAGAAGTTATTAACCGCGGGGGAGAAATAATTTCGCCCTTTGAGGTTGAAAATGCAATCATGAACGCGTCACTATCACCAACCTCCCCCATCAAGGGCAAAGTCAGCCAAGTAATGGCATTCTCAGCATCACATGACGTTCTTCAGGAGGTTGCCGCTGTGGTGCTCGTAACACCGCCTGGTAAACCCAGGGTTGACTTGAAAAGACTTCAGAACGCACTACGCTCCTCGTTGCAGCAAGTAAAGTGGCCGACACTAATAGTATACATGGATGACCTACCAAAGAAGAACAATAAGGTGCTACGAATCAAACTTGGGCAAAGGCTTGGTTTGCCGGTCCTTAGCGAAAACATACCATACCTGCGAAGACACTGGGAGGCAATATGCCCTGCTCCTGACACGGCGTTGTCTGTGTCGATTGAATGTGCTCCCTGTTGTATTGACCCGGAGGCAATACAACAATCACTGGGTGCCGCAGCATCGGCTGATGTGAGATGCCACGTGCGCCGGCGAAGTACAGAGGATATGCCGGAACTATTCTGCGCTCCAGCGAAACGGATTTACCCACCGCCTTCCACGGCGTTCGCGACAGACCTGAAAGAACATCTCTGTGGCTCCCTTCATAACTACATGGTACCGGAAACAGTTCACTTACTAGAAGAGCCGCTTCCTGCCGATGATGGAGGACGAGTGGACGATGACAAACTCCAGGTTGTGGTGGATAGATTGCTTGAGGCGTCTATGGACAAGCTGGCCGATTCAACAGAGGGAAAGGTGGCCAAAGTGTTTGCGAATATGCTCTATTGCCACCCTGCTCAGTTGCCCAGAGACATCGATTTTTTCAGTCTTGGTGGCGACTCTCTCCGTGCCGGCCGTCTTTCTTCAGCTGTGAGGAGCGAATTCGGCATTCAGATTCCCATCAACGTCATTTTTAACTCTGGCTCTATTCAAGCCATTTCGGCCTACGTGGACAAGGTTGCGCCAACAAGCATAGCTAGCGGGACTGAAGACGAAGTCGTTGGATGTACAAAAACGAACAGCTCGACAAATCCATTCCTGATGGCGATTCAACTGATCCCCCTCGTCATCTTGTATCCGCTACGCCGCGCTTTCCAATGGACCATATTTATCGTGGCGTTTAGCTGTACGCAGGGTTGGCCAACCAATACAACTGCTCCCGGCCGGCTCCTCAATCTCACACTGAGTATTCTATTTTCTAGAATGGTCGTCAGGCTTGTCGCTCCCTTCGTAGGTATCCTTGCCAAGTGGATCATCATAGGCCGGTATCGTGAAGGCCTCTACCCGATGTGGGGGTCATATCATACGAGATGGTGGATGGTCCAGAAGGTCGTCAGTGTCACTGGCAAAGGGTGGTTCGGCTTGAATGATACGACCCAGACGTGGTACTGTAAACTCATGGGTGCGAGAATTGGAAAGAATGTCAAGCTTGCCGGAGCATCATTGGGGGAGTGGGATCTTCTAGATATCCGCGACAGCGCCGTCCTGAGTCGCTGCATATGCCGACCCTTTGCAGCCGAAGGAAACACATCCATGTATCTAGGAAAAATCACTATCGGAGAGCGGTCTTCTGTTGGAACATCATCCATCGTAGCGGCCGGCACGGAAGTCCCCCCAAACACGTGCATTGGACCAAACTCTTCAAGTTGGGAGTTGCAGGATGCGGACGAAGAAAACCGACACCTTTCACAGGGTACGGTACCACGACCTCACTGGCTGCTGACGATTCTGCTTACTACACCCTTGCGGCTGATATCTTGGTTCTTGTCTCTCACGCCTTGGATTGGAGGGTTGGTTGGCATGGTTGTTCAGAAGCCTGCGGTTGCTGGTACGCCGATTCGAAACATGCTGGATTGGTTTACGGAACCCAGACGTGTTGCATTTCACTATCTCGCTTTGATTCTGAGGTCTTTTTTCAGCCCCTTTATCGTATTCGCGTTCTCGATATCCGTCAAACTTGTTCTGGATGCGATATTTGGGAAGCCCAGTCTGCTCCACCAGACAGAACATGACGGTACCATTTCGACCTGGCGAGCAAATCTGATGAAGAGCCTTTTGCCCGCTTCTCGACTGCGTGATATGACGGCAATGTTTGGTCAACACTACGAAGCGACGTCGATTGCGCTGCGTATGCTGGGGAGTAAGATTGGTAAACGAGTTTACTGGCCGGGAACCGGACCTAGCATCGGCGACTATCACCTACTCGATGTGGGCAATGATGTGGTATTCGGCTCTCGAGCACATCTCATAACATCTGATGGCATGGGGTCTGAGCCCATTGTAATTAGGGACGGCGCTATGATTGCAGATAGAGTCTGTCTCCTTCCCGGAGTAGATATTGGCGAGCGAACCACGATGGGATCTGGTGCCTTGACAAGCAGAAACAAGAAATATAAGGCTGGTGCTACATACGTAGGATCGAAAGGACGCGATGCCATATGTTTATCAGCGGGAGACAGAGCGAAGCAGAACCCCCGACAAAGGATCCGTCATCTGGGCAGCGACGATACTTTGGTCGGTAACCGAAGCATTTCCAAGACACTGTCACCAGGAACGCGAATCCAACGTATAAGCAGTGACGACACTTTAACCGAGTCGCACACATCGGAGAACATGGAGTCTTTCCAGACTAGTGGTGGTGGTGGTGGTGATACGGACGACGAGTCGCGCGTCCCTGAAACAATCTCGCCGTTTGGGAAGGCTTTCTATCTAAAGCTGGCTCCATATTGTGTTCTTGGACCCTTCGCCATCTTCTGCTATTCTTCGTTTATGACCGTATTTACTGCTTTCTACTGGAACATACCAAACATCTCTTCGATTCAGTTGGTGGACTATCTTATGAATCGGTTCATTGCTCGAAACAACAGCATCCTTTACGAGACCGGGGTGCTGTTTAGCTTGTGTACACTTGTCTTTGCTATACTGACATCGCTTCAAGCTATTTTGACACTTTGTATTGTCATAGCATCAAAGTGGGTATTGATTGGTTGGCGACAGCCTGGCAATTATGACTGGGACAAGTCACCGTACTGCCAACGGTGGCAGCTCTTCCTAAGCATTGAAAGGCTCCGCAAACACTGTTATCGTGGCCAGGGCATTCTTGGTCTCTTGACTGGCACAAACTGGATAGTCCTGTACTTTCGAGCCCTGGGTGCTAAAATCGGAAACGACTGCGCGTTGTTTGCAAATGGCCGCCCGAACTTAATGTTTACTGAGCCAGATCTAATCACTCTTGGCGACAGGGTGACCGTAGATGACGCCAGTGTCGTTGCTCATATTAACACACGTGGTAAATTCGATCTCAATCGCTTAGAAATTGGGAACCGTTGCGTTTTACGAACTGGCAGCCGGCTGCTCAGCGGGGCAAAGATGAAAGACGATAGCTGCCTGCTCGAGCACACACTAATTATGGGTGGTGATACGGTAGAAAACAATTGGACAATGCAGGGCTGGCCAGCGACTAGATACAGTGGACATAGAACAAAATAACTGTTTTTTTTAATAATAATAAAAAGGGGACAGCTTTTTAGCGATAAAGTCAATAGATTATTACGAAATAGCGGTTGAATTTTTTTTTTAGCATTAAATGAAAGTAGTAAAATAAATAAGTAATGTCCACTGACGCACGGCTGAAAAAAATTTTATAGTTGGTTTTTTTTTTCCTGCAGTATAATTTTTTTTCTCCACAACAAACCACTCTTGTTTTTTTTTTTTTTAAAAAAAAAATCTATAAGCGGTTTTTAGGAAAATTTTATTAATTTCTTTACCACTCAGCGATTTTTTCAAGGATAATTTTAGTGGATTATATTCCTCTGGTTTTTTTTATTACCGAAAAAAAAAAAAACAATTAAAATCACAGCACCCTTCATATCCCAACCTACCTACCACCTACGCACGTTATTATTCCACCCCTGATATCTCGATTGGTTACCACCATATGCTGGCGGCGGCGGCGGCGGAACTCCTATCCCAAAGCCGCGGCCACCAGGAGGCGGTGGGCGCCATGGGGCCTGTGGCGCAAAATTAGGAGCCCTAGGACCTCTTCGTCTATCACTATTGTACTGCCCTCCTCCATATCCATACCCAGGACCCCCAGGACCCCCCCGCCTTGATTTACCCCGAATAACTTCCACATCACTGGGGGTAAGCGCAGGAGGCGGAAGATTTGCTCCTCGTAACAACATTGATTTATGGGTTTGATATGTTTGAGGCATATCATAGTAGACGCTGCAAAGTGTTGGGCGTTCGTTAGCTAGCGTTCTTCGTTATATTCTGTTCAAACTGTTCAATCTGCACACTGGGCAAGGCTTACCTAACAGACTTATCATAGTCCAAGTTCGGCATGGCACCCCTTGCTAGAGGATACTGCAGCGCTCCGTGTGGGACATAATCATCCCGCTTCTCAACTTTCCCCGACAAGCCATCACTGTTTTTCGGATTCAGCTTGAATTTGGAGCATTCTTGTCGTTTAGAATAAAATTTGGTTAAAATATCGTCATACATGCTCCCGTTGTTGTCCGACAACAGAAGCACATCTCTTCCCGTAGCATTCCTCGCGGCCTCTGCAGAGCTTAGAAGTGGGTACTTGGTCTGCACAGCGGCCAGCAGTCTGGGCATGTCAATGAACGGTAGCAAGGCGACACCTTGCCATGCCATCTTTTTCCCATTCAGATCTACTTCGAAATCTTCAGGATAAAAGTCAATTATTTCGCTGTCCTCATCTGTCATCAAGGGGTGAAAAACTTCAGGGAGGGCGTGGCGTGAGGCTGCTGGCAAGACACTCATCAGCTGCTCGAACGGTTTGGACACCCTCCCCTTCTCGAAGACGATATCCATGTTCGCAAGGTCTTTAAAATCCGCTGCAAACGGGGCGTAGTGATACGGGTAGTACCACTCCCACGAAGGACAGCCCTGAAAATAGTATAGGAGGACCCAAGCCAGCCCCTCAACATACGCCCGAGCTACCTCGTGTCGAAAAGAGATATCATCGGGACTGCGGTGAAACTTCTGCTGGTAATACCTATCGGCGTACCCATCCTCCCACAAGCGGACTGTGTCAACATGGTCTTCCGCTGACGCTGGATGCTCTGCTTTACTAGCTTGCACAGTGCCGACTTCAGTGTTTGTATTGGCCGTTTCCGTGTCCGACTGGGATTCCGCTTTACGCTTGCCCAAGATGGAAGATGAAGCCTCGGGCTCAGTCGTGACAGAACCATGTCGATTCGCTTCTCGTATTTGGTCCTTAATGATGCTTGCGGCGCTTTTGTTGGCAACATTCGCGGCTTGAGCAGAGCTCTTATTCACCACCATATCATGAGTGATAGCTCGAGGTGGTTCCTTAGGGTATGAGGAGATAGGATAAAGAGGCAGTCCCTGAGATGGATCGTGGTGACCATATTTGCGGTCTTCAGCAAGGCTTCCGCGGCTTCCGCGATATGAGTTGTTGTTCTGTTGCAGCTTTCTCCGCTTTGCGTTTGCCTCACGGCGGTCTTCTTGCTCTTTTCGACGCTTGAATATCTCGTCTTCTTGCTTTGCAAGACCATCCAAAATTCGCTGTGCCCTTTCTAGATCTATGTGTCCGTCTTTTGTAACATAACCGCCCATGGTTGGCAAATTATTTCTCCAGATGGTTGTCAAGGTATCAATGCCATGCTCTCGGATCTCCAAGGCTGGCAGATGTGGAAGAAAATCGTTTCCGACAAAGCAGCACATGAAGACCCAATCATCAATCGCCCGCTCCAGATCGAATCGAAATGGTAATCCAGGAACGGCTAATTCAGCTGCGAGATACTCCCGCAGCACCGAAACGTGTAGCCAGATGAAGGGCTTGAGTGTAACATTGCCAGGCTTGTCATCGACATCGTCCGCCTTCTCTTTTGCCTCGCCTCGGCAATTCCGTGCTTCATGTCCTTTTTGTCCGCACAGCTGGCATGTTCTAGCCCTTCCTTCCTGAAAGAATACATCTTCTCGAAGAACTCGAAAGTGCGGCTCGTGTGTTGCTAAGCCTAGCATGATTAGATCAGCATCCAGCCCATAGATAACATGACGGGTATTGGGGTCGTATTCCGGCGATGCTCTCTGAGACCGAATAAAGGACATGATTTTGTGCTCGCCCTCGCCCGGGACTGTGGCATCAGAAATCAAGACCTTCATTTTAGCCCAGGCTGGATCCGTGTTTAGTTTATATTGGCACCAATACCGCAAGCTCACGGCCAATATATCCATGAAAGGTGTACCCGGTGTGATGGAGTTGTTGTCGAAAACTTTCTTGGCGACACTTTCGATGTGATCCGGCGGCAGAACTCCGCCGTTTTGTTGTTTCACAAGTTTCAGCAGCTCCTTCTTATTCTCTTCCTTTTCTTTGGCATCTTGCGCGGATCGGAACCGTCGAGAGCGTTGCTGGTTCATTTTGGCGCGAGGTGCAACACCATCTAGAAGAAAATCTTCGTCAGTATGGGCTGGCCCGTGTGTAGGAGAATTACATACCAACAGCAATCATGAGGAGCTTCCGAGGTCTAACCATGTTGACGACACGGTCTGTATACTTGAATACCTCGAGCATCATTGCCTCCTCATCCTCAGGCGCGGGTTTGTCTTCCGGATGTGAACAAGGATGAACGATGCCGTTCATATCAAGGTAGAGGTTATCGAATTCCTCGCCATTCGGATTGCGACTACTCGTATCAACAGGTACAATAGAACCATCCGGCATTACAACCGGTTGGTCTTCAATCACCGGTGAGATGATCTTGGGATATTTGTTGGAGAGCCATCGAAAGGCAGCTGGGATACCCATCTTGACGGCAATGAGGAATTTAAAAGCAGTCAATTGCGATGCTATTTTTGTCGATGGGTTCGTGTAGGACACGCACAACAGTGAGGATTGTACGATAACTGAAATTTTCCCCATTAGTCGCCAGCGCATTCACTATCAATGAACAATTGCCAGGTTGAAGTACCTAAGTACTTATGATTATGTCATCAGGACTAAAAGGTGGTGTGGAGCCGCATATTCCTAATGTCGCTGCAAGAAAGCGTTAGGTGCTTAAGTACCTTTAAAGTACGGAGTACCACCTACCACTTGGGCACTTGGGCATTGAAGCTCATCAATTGATCTGGCTAAGACAAACCTGGGCCACTCAGGTACCAACTTGACTCGATGGCCACAAAGCTCGTGGGCCCAAGGTCAAACTCCAGCTAGTACTTTGGACCCCATTATTGTAGTACGTACATCCGTCTGGTATGTTAACAGGGGCAAACATACAACGTGACTTCTACTCCGTACCAAAGTGTGGAAAGACCATGTTTGCTGTCCTTTGCTTTCGCAGCCAACCCACACTCGACTTCTCAGCTTAAGATTCAAAGCACGCCCTTAGAATCGGCGCGTTTGCATTGCTCAATGGCGCATTGCACGACCGCAACATGTTTTCGATTTCAACGACACCAGCCAAACAGTCCGTTAGCGAAACCATAACAGTTTACAGCGGCCGTCTTAACTCGGCAACCCTTCTCGAAGATCGACGAGCGGCAATACTGGGCTTACGGAGCTTTGCTAAAGATTTCCCGGCATCAGTGGCCTCTGGCGCATTAAGATGTCTCATTGGGAGTTTGGCTAAGGACGGCGACGATGTCGACACTGTCAAAATCGTCTTGGAAACGCTGCTGATGCTATTTAGCCCCAATGAGAGCAGCCCTGAGGCTTCCGACGAAGTGGTTCTTTGGCTTGCTGACGAATTTACTCAGCGTCAGGAGAACATAACACTTCTGTTAGACTTCGTGGAATCGAACGACTTTTACTCGCGCCTGTACTCGTTGCAATTGCTCGCAGCTATACTGTCAGCCCGGACCGAAAGAACTGAAGAATGCATTTTCACTGCACCTTTAGGTATAAGCAGGCTCGTTGCTACTCTCGACGACCAACGTGAGGCCGTGCGGAACGAGTGTGTCAGCCTGCTCATAGCTCTCACGCCCACATCCACGGAAATACAAAAACTGGTGGCGTTCGAAAATGCATTCGAGCGAATATTTGCTATTGTGGCAGCCGACGGCTCGCTAACCCAGGGTGGCAGAACCGTCGAAGACTGTTTAATTCTTCTAGCAAATCTTTTACGTCGGAATGCTTCCAACCAATCCCTCTTTCGGGAATCCGGTTGCATCTCAAAGTTGGCTAGTTTGTTGGAAGGCCTGCTGCAGGCACAACTGTCCAATGCCGATATTGCGGTATGGGCCCAGGCACAGCGTAACCGGAATGTGTACGCATTCCTCGCCGTCCTTCGTCTTTTTCTACTTTCAGGTTCAGCGGGCGTCTCGCAGAATCAGCAGGCCTTTTGGAAGCAGGGGCTTGTTTATAATATTCTTCAGTTAGCATTTTCTCGCGAGGAAGGCCAAGTCACTATTAAGGCAGAGGTAAGAAAATGGACTTGCACCGTTTTATGGGTGACTATATCTTAACCGACAATTATACGTAGGCATTAAATACTTGTGGTGATATGATTCGGGACGCAAAGCCTCTCCAGGAAACCTTTGCTCAATTGATGGTGCCCGCTCCGTTACTTGTTGACACAGGGGAGGATGCAAGTTCTACACTCGCAGCGAAGACCTATGTAATCGATGGCTTGCTGGATTTGACACTCAACTCGTTTGATCAGTCAGCATTTGACCTTCGGTTTTCGGCTTGCGAGTGCTTGAAGGCATACTTTTCGAACCACTCCGAGGTCAGGCTTCATTTTTTATCCAGGGCAATCGACGGATATATGGCAGCAGCTGAAGAATCTGCCAATATCCTGACAGTTCTCCTACGACCAGATGCTGCGGCACTTGCCCGTGACCCTTACCGCCAATGGTTTGCCTCCGTCATCGCGTTCCATTTGCTACATGATAACCCTACCGCAAAGGCAAGGCTGCTTCAAGTCACAGAAGGAGACTCGTCTAAAGATGAGGAGGTCGTCACGAGTATACAAACGATTGCTGCTCATCTCATCACCAGCATCACACGTAATGACGATGCTAGAATTTCAGTTGGATACTTGATGCTGCTGATAGGCTGGACCTTTGAGGATCTCGATGCTGTGAACGACTTTTTGGCTGAAGGAAGCAACGTTCAAAGCTTGATACAGGCCATATCACATGCTGTTCCTGCTAAGGGGGTCCTCATTCAAGGCCTTTGTGCATTCCTTCTCGGTGTTGTATATGAATTTTCAACAAAAGATTCACCACTTTCAAGGACCAGTTTTCACTCTATTCTTTCGAAAAGATTGGATAGAGAGCAATTTTTGGAGCGACTGACACGACTCCGGAGTCATCCTCTTATGCGTGATTTCGAAGTCACATCGCAGAAGCATCATCCGTCTTTGGGGAACAGCCTACCAGATATCTTTTTTGACTCGGTTTTCGTTGACTTTTTCAAGGATAACTACAGTCGGATTGGACGCTCAATTGATAGGGCGCCAGAGCTCGAGATCTCTGTCATGACAAACGGCGTTCAGAAAGGGATATCCAGGGAGCTGGTGGATTCTCTTCGTAGCCAAGTCGGAGACAAGGATCGTGCATTACAGGAAAGTAAAACCAAAATAATATCGCTTGAGGAAGCTCTTAATAGCCGAGAGGCAGAACATCGCCAATCCAGCGAAGCTGCCGCGATTGAGTTATCTAAACTCAAAGCCTCCTTCGATAATGCAGAGAGTGGTCACGAAGAACAGCTACGGTACGTCTCCGGTGGACTCATGTCTATGCATCAATACTAACACTGGCCGCAGAAGGCTGGCCCAAAAACATTCAGCAAAATTGGCCGATCAGGAGCGCCATATTGCGTCATTCCAAGCGCAGCTTGCAGCAAGAGAGGCCAAATATCAGAATGAGCTACTTCAGGCTCAACAGTCCGCACACTCGGAAGTTGAACGCGTCAGGTTACGAGCTGATGCAGAGGTCGCAGACCTCAAGGCATCTATGAATCGTCTTGAAGTTGATATTATCAAGGTGAGGCAACTACATATAACATACCGAATGGATATTCTATGTTGACATGTAAGCACCAAGGCCAATAAGTCTAAGGCATTGGAACTGCAAAAGCTCCAGGAGAAAAATTCCAGGCTGGTGGCGATTGAGGTTGACCAGAAAACACAAGCAGAGAATCGGAATTCAGATTTAGAGGGGCAGCTTCAAAAAGCCAGGACAACGATCGAGGAGCTGCAGCGCAAAGTTGAACGTGTAAGTTATTCGCCCCGATGGTCTGGCTCGCGATGACAGAAGACATGACCAATTGATGAGTAGAGGCTAATTTGTGTGAATGCTTTCACTGGCCAGGTTGAGAAAACGCTGTCAGAAGAATCAGGCGCCAAGAGAACAGCTCAAACTGAGCTCGATGATTTGCTCATAGTATTTGGGGACCTCGAGGAGAAAGTCGCTCGTTATAAGGTAAATCTTTCGGTAGAGTAAAGTGGCTCCAGCTAACAACCCCTAAACCACAGACACGGCTTCGTAAGCTTGGTGAGGATGTGTCCGAGGGCGAGGATGATGAAGAGGATGGCCCAGACGATACTGATGGCGAGGTGGATTGATGGGAAAGCTGTACCGCTACAGCGATATTGATTGACCACCCCTCTAATTGCATCATGGCGCTACCATTGGTGAGCGCGGGTCCCATCTGTCAATCGATGTGATAGGTGCCTTAAGTATAATTTAGGCCAAGCCGCTTGGGTAAGCGCTGGTCTACTTGCAAAATAATGGGGGCCGGGCCAAAAAAAAAAAACTCGATTCGTGAAGGCCCTAGGACAATATTACAAAAGCCAACTAGGAACATCACATAAAAGCACAAATAAAAGACATCGTTCGTCCACAACACATATGACATAGCTTTCTATAGAAAGCATACTGCCCGCGCTCTCTTCAATATCCAACAAAGGAGTCTATGCAGCCTACAAACTTGAATCACTTTCCCGGTTGCATGATGGACAAGCTGCGTGCTGCATCGCCGTCCTCGGGTTCAGATACTTCAGAGCAAAGCAACTGGCTTGATGTCGAGCCTGATCTGGAAAACTTCGAATTTGTATCACTCTTTGATGTGCAGGCCTTCACCACACTTGCAGAAATGCTGCAGCATTGCAAGCAGCAACATAATTTTGACCTGGTTCAGAACATTCATCGCCTACAATTGGATTTCCTTGGAGCTTTGAAGCTAGTGAATTACATCCGCTCTCAGGTCAAGAGCGACATTGCTTTACCTTCACAGATTTCCCTTGATGATATTCAGGACGATCGTTTCCTCAAGCCAGTACTCGACAACGACGCTGTTATTTTCTCTCTCGATGAAGTGCTGCAACCGTCAAGCGATACCGAGGTAGAAACTGCGGGCACATTGGACGAGTCAAGCAGGGACTTGCACAGGAAAAACAGAGATCTCCAGTCGGAATTGAATTCTATTCGTGAAAGCTTTGCAAATTACCGCCTAGCTGTGGAACAAACGCTGGACCGTCGGTGGGGGGTCGATGAGATTCCCAGTTCATCGGCAAACCTGAAAGAAAAAGATTCCTCGGGCTACTACTTCGAATCGTATGCAGCGCATGGTATGGGACCTGAATAATTCAACATGTTTACTATTGCTTACCGTATAGCACACAGAGATACATGAAACAATGCTCAAGGACGCCGTGCGCACGGATGCCTACCGAGACTTCATATATGAGAACAAACACCTATTCAAAGACAAGGTGGTGCTCGATATTGGATGTGGCACAGGTATGTTCGTCCAATCTCTCGGAGATTCGAGAGCGCTCTTCTCTTGAGCTGTAACCCTGATGTGCGAGCTAGGCATTCTAAGCATGTTCTGCGCAAAGGCGGGCGCCGCAAAGGTGCTAGCCGTTGACAGATCAGACATTATTGACAAAGCACGAGAAAACGTGTTCAATAACAACCTAGCAGATATTATAACATGCTTGAGAGGCAGCATTGAAGACGTCCAACTTCCCGTCAAAGAGGTCGACATCATTGTAAGTGAATGGATGGGCTACTGTTTACTCTACGAGGCAATGCTACCAAGTGTGCTGTATGCACGGGACAAGTATCTGAAGCCTGATGGTCTTCTAGTTCCTAGCTCCGCCACGCTGTGGATCTCACCTGTGAAGGATGAGGCATACATGTCAGATCATGTTTCCTATTGGCGTGATGTCTATGGATTTGACATGAAGGCAATGCAGGAGGGCATTTACGACGAAGTTCGTGTACAGGGCATGCCTGCATCGTCACTTTGTGGTAGAGCATACCCATTCAAAGTTCTAGACCTATATTCAACCTGTGCAGAAGATCTTGCTTTTACAACCAACTGGGAAACAGAACTCAACGTTGGCACGGATGATCCAGACGGTTTTCTCATTTGGTTTGACAATTTCTTCTCCCCATGCAGATCAGAACCAATTCCTGAACCAAGGATCACACCTGACAAGTGGGTTCTCGCATCGCCAGGTCACGTTGCTTTCACCACCGGCCCGAACGGGCCAGAGACTCATTGGAAACAAGGTCTCCTGCTAACCGGTCCACGAGACCCCTCACAAACGATTTCTACCTCACGCCACCTGTCAGGAGAAATTACCTTCGCTGCCGCTTCTGACAATGCGCGAGCGCTTACGCTACGTCTTAGGTGGTCGACGGAGCATGAAGAAAGAAGCCAGAGCTGGGAACTTAAATAGATAGCCATCTACTATTTTGATGGACGGTGCACAACTTTCCCCCCTACAGACTTGGATGACTGCGGCTGTAACATCTATGGGGCATACTGGTTATAAATGCGGCACCTTTAGGCCCTGGAGAATCAAGTTCGCAATACTCAAGAACCCTTCTCCAAGAATAAAACCCTTCAAAAGTTAGCATGTTCAAGTAGATAAACAGAGCTAAGTCTGGCGTACCGACGCGAGAATGATGAGCTGTGCATTCGATCGTCCTAGAATTCTTGTCCAGTACCAACAAATGATCCCGCCTACCGCTCGAGCAAGGGTAAATGACGGTACATTATATATTCCTGAATAAAATTAGTAAGCCTGTCAGCCCTGGTACATAGATATATAAACGTACCGACCGCCACAGCGATGCCTCCCGGAACATATGGGCGCCACCACTTGTCCACACCAGCGGTTCGAATCAATGTTGTAACAGCAAACACAATTCCTGCCCCCAGAGCCCACTCTTTAGCCATATATGGTAGTCCTTGCCCCGTAACTAACCTCGCTGTGAATATCCAAACATAAGCAGTAGGGACTTGAAAAAGGTCTCCCGGTATCGCATAGACCCTGAAGAGTCATGTCTGTTAGTTGATGGACCCTAAAATCGTAGATCTGGCAAAACAAATGCTTACGATGTGTAAATTCGGTAAATGAAGGCACTCAGGATCGCTCCAGCAGTGGCACCGATCACTTGCCCCCAAAATTGGGCGTTTGGGGCAGCCCCTAGTAAATGCCCAGTTTTGAGGTCTTGCATGAGGTCCCCGGCCTGCAATGCACCCTGACATGGTTAGGTGATACAAAGTATTACGCATGGCACTTCAACACTCACTGCTTCTGACTAGTGTGTAAGTTAGTAATATTTCCAGTCATGTCGTTATACATCGCAACACAGATAGTCATGTGCTATGAGGGATATGGCAAGGGAATGAATTGGCTTACCACTGCACCAGCCACAAGATTAATCAGGACGCTGGACTTGTTAGACTGTGGAATGATAAGGGCGAAAAAAAGCTGGGCCAGCTTGCTGATTCCTGAAACAGGGTTGAGATCTGTTTCCCCGAGCGCCCGTACACCCATTATGCTCAAAAGTAAAGCAATGAAAACAGCAAGAACGGTTGCGTATAAAGGAACAAGATCGCCGAACACGAAGTGGGTCGTTCCAATGCATAATATAATGGAAGTGATAAGTCCGATGACTACCAACCTCCCTCCAATACGCTGATCCGCCGGAGCATCGTCATCGTCATCGTCATCGTCATCGTCATCGCCATCGTCATCGCCATCGTCATTTCTATCAACGTCGTCGTTACCATCGCGACTAGCCTCCATTGTATCATTGGCGGTGTCTGGCGTATGAGGCTGAAAGTCTTCGTCCTGATTCTGCAGCAGGGTGTACTGAAGAGGTGAATCTCCAAATATGTGTTCTCTTGCTTTGCGTAGTCTTTTGCTGAAGTTTTCAATGAATCTAATTCCTGGAAAGGAGGGAATAGAACGGCATCCAACATAACCGAGGCTAACGACGGCATCTACCAGCATGATGGCCAGGGATACCCAGACAATCCATCCTTTGCTGCCATGTTCCCAGTCATCCACTGGCCCTGGAGCCCAGCCCTTGAATTTTGCCAACGGACTGAGGATACCCCAACCAACAATGGCTCCCAACGTCATATGCAGTGTTGTCTCAGTGCCCATAATAACACCTTGGCCAACATAAGCGAGGCTAGGGTTCAATGTCCAGAGCCAAGTGTTTGCGGCAACAGTACCAAATATTGGAAGATTTCGCATGATAGGCAAGAAATACGTCAGTATAGTGAAGAAGCCAGAAATGAGGAAACAAATGAGAAGCAGTCCCATGTTTGATGCGCAGTCAGGTGGCGGATCTGCTTGAGTTTCGATGTCATTCTCGGCACCACTATCAGTAATGGTATTTGGCACAGCGAGGTCTTGAATAGCCGTACGTGGAACTAGGCTGGCAAAACCACCCCGTGCGGCGCTATCTAGATTCTCTGGCTTGGAAGATTGAGACAGTTTGCCATGAAGCACTGATATGAGGACAGCAGTGCTGAAACCACTGGGAAATTTTAGTCGCTCTCGGATAATGACCTGCTGCCTCCTACGAAAGGATATGGACCAATCTCGGCTGTTAGCCAGGCTTTATTTCTTGTTTTCGACAAAATTTTGTCACAGTGATATAGTTGCTAGAGAGGTTTATCTCACAAAGGTACAGCAAATACAACTCCGAAATAGCACAGCCCAAGTGACCAAATAATGAGTTGTATAGTGCTGAGGTATATAGGCCCTTGTTCATCAGGTTTCAATAGGTAGCTCATAGCAGGAATCTGTAGTTATCGCGTCAATTTGCCATATATCTCGTGGTTGTCAGCAAAAGGGAAGGGGGGCCAAACCACTCCAACGAAGCCGCATCCAAGCGGCATTATAGCCATCCCACAGGCAACGCTTTGCAATAGGACATTTTCGACTGGAGAGAACGGGAAGGTCAAATGAGGTCGCAATATTTTGAAAATTCCAAAACCCATCAGACTCGCCGGCATGGACATTATTGACACCCAGCCAGTCTGTAGTCCAAAGTAAACATTGGCCGCACAAATGACCGTCCCAACAGCAAGGCCCGCAACCACGCTGCGCAGCGTGAAGCTTTTCCCTTCTATCACCAATGCCGGCGGAACCATGATGAACAAGTCTGCCAGAGAATGCGGTCGTGATGGGTGAGCCTTCAGGATGCTGGTTACACGCGCGCGGAACGAGAACCATGGCTAAACCCCATATCTACTAGGTACTCCTGCTTACAAACTGTATGAACTCTCCAATTGACTACGGAGTACCACCCCTAACATACCTACCCAGGTTCAAGACATGACTAAGCATACCTAAGTAGGTACTATGTAGGATAGATAACACCCTGCTCAACCCCTAACGCTGAAATCATGATAAATTTACGCACATGGAATTTTTTACCATTCGGACTAAATAAGTAGACATAGGGGGTGGCAGCATGGCATATCCTGCCTGCCACAAGACTTGACAACGTAGGTTTGCCATTTTTACACCCACTGTCGGTTAAAGCTCGGATCCCAACTAGCAGGACACATCGACACAACCCGAGGTTCATAAAATCTACATCTAGAGTCCAAAACTGTCAAGTAGTGATGAAGCTTCGGGCTCCACGAATGCTGACGGTGTCGACTTAGGGGGCCCGTGGCTCGTATTGTCACGGGTCCGGTCCAAGCCTAGGCTGCGTCTTGTTGCTGAGAGATCATCCACTACCAGTGAACTTCTCCGTCGTAACAATTTTAAGGGGTTTATTTCACCACCAAATCCAGTGGCGATAGGTTGCTGGAATTCCCAGTTGCGAACTAACACATCACATCAGCCAAAACCATCTTCATACTTCAAAATTCTCAAGTGCAGGCAAAGAGACATCGATAGACAGAAAGTTTGAAACGCAACAAGCGTCAAACCGCTTCTCCATCTTTGAATGAACACTCACCAAGATCTAGCCCGAGAAGATCACATCCCATGCGGTCATAAAGCTTAGCACTATGAAGAACAAACTCCCACTCGACTTTTGGTGTTATCTTGGAGGCACCTTGAAGCGTCTGCAAAGTTCTTTGACGCAACTGAGAGTATAGAACAACAAGAGCAGGGTCATCGGTCAAGAACAAGCGAGACTTGATGTCGGGGGAGCAAGGAGTCTCCAGAAGCGCAAAAACAGGCATCTTGTTGAATTCAGTCAATATATAACGAACTTGGCATTTGCTTGTCAGCTTCCTCGGTAGGAGAACTTACAATTAATGCCCTGACAGCCATGTCTTTGCGGCCAAGCATCCAAAAACCCCATGAGGCAAGCCAGTGGTTTCCCTCTTGTGCGGCAAGAGGGAGAACTTCATCTCGGATGAGTTTTCGAAGCACTGGCCCACTGTCACCTTCGTACACACGACAAATGGCAATGGCTAGTTGCAGGTCCTTGATTTGCCGGAGGCAAACCTCGACAGCGTCCTCGAGACGGTCGGCCAACAGGAAGAATGCCGCGGCGTAATCTTGCTTAGCGGTCAGTATATAGACCCCTTGTTCCTTGAGTCTGCTTGATAACTCACGAAACCTTCGCTTGCTGAGCAATGCGTATGCATTTTTTAATGCTGTCCTTCGCGATTTTGGGTCGTCAAAATTATTTGCTAGTAATTTCTGGGTGGCCACTTGTTCTTTGTTCCAGCTTGCCACACGCCAAAGGCCTTGCAGGACTGTCTTCTTGCGCAAGGCCAGGTAGAACAAGCTACAATTCACCGGATCTTTCAGTTCGCTCTTGGTGTATTCATTTCTTGCTAGTCCTTCAAAGTGGTCACGCTGTACCATGTTAACATAGAGCGTTCGCGAGACAAAGACTTAAAAGAGTAATGGGCATACCAATGTTGTTAAGTCGGAAAGCCACATGAAAACTCCACATTCGCGAGCTTGTTCCCACAACATGGCCCCGTGGTTTTGGCGGGACACAAAGTCCAGCAGCATGTCCTGACTACCAGAATGGAATGCCCAGTTTATTTCTCTCCACGAGAGGTGCATGTCATTGATTCGGCCTTTGCGAAGCGCATGCTGTCGAAAGAATAGCATAAACCGAGCTCCATTTTCGTCCATCGATCTTCTATGGCTTTCCACCACCGCGACGCATTCAATAATATCTGCCAATTGGATTTGTTCGTGTCCAGTGAGCTGGGGGATTCGTATCTTCGTCAATTTGTCGTTTATGTACGCTGCCATCTCTGCGGAAAACATATCGTCCTCTCCGCAATCATTGCCATCAAAGAACGAAGATTCCTTGGTTTTGCCCCACGAGCTTATTGGAGACGTCTACAAGACGACATTAGAACCAAAGTATCTCTCTGGCGATTTCTGACTTACATTTTCAATGTAGAACTCTGATAGCGGAAGACCCAGGTAATCGTCCATGGTATCACCTGGAATCAAGTATCTCAACGTTTTGTACAGGGCTAGTAAGATGCGACGGACAACAGGACCCTTGCCAGACAGAATACATTGGCTGAGAAATTGGGGATGAAATATAGGAATGGGACCATTAAATCTCTGCACGACTTCAAACAGGTCCCTACGATCATCTCTGTTCAGATGACTGATGGGTGTGATGGAGGAATCCCCTGTATCTATACGTCGGTCATAAACGAAAAGTTGATTTCCTGCACCAACTACCAAATGGCCGTCAGCAAGCCAGGTGGAATCTCCAATGGGGTGTGCTGTAAGATCCCGAATGTCGATCTCGTGAATGGGTGCCCACGCTGGTCCTTTATTCAGGTAGTCGAACCTCATTTGAGACAGTAGTATGACACGATGTTGGAACCCAACGGCCAGAATGGCCTGTGCATCTGGAGTGGACGTCCAATCAAGGTCTTGGATACTATGGTGTGCCTCATAGTCCATATCATACTCAAGACGTGAATCACCGATATCCCAAATAGTGAGTTGCGATCTTGTGAGATTCACCAAAGCTGCTTTTTTAAGCATGCTACCACTTGCAAGTGCCGGGTCCAGCAGGCCAGTTTCCGTACAGGATGTCGACAACCAATCCACCGCTCGGCTTGCCAGGTTAACACGTGCCGCCCAGAAGTTTACTCTCCCGGAGCGGGTGTATGAAATCGCTACATCACGAGCAAATATGTCAAGAAAACCAGACATAGACGGAGCTGCTCCAGCTGGGTCCACAGGGAGCACATACTTCAATTCGTCTGCTGTGGCAAGCTCGAACCGGCAGAATTCAGAGAGCCCTACCACATTCCCAATTGTGGTATCATTGCTAAGATATTGGGGGAGTTTTATTTCCCACGCGATTCCGTGGCCGCTGGATGTTATTGTGGCAATGTAAGCCAACATATATTGTGTATTTCGCGGTCGAGGAAGCACTATAAGACATAGAGGTGTTTCTTGCGTCTCAAAGGAACATTCGGCGAGCCGCGATGCGGATCCATTACGGCAATCCCAGACGACGATAGCTTTGTGGTATAAAAGGACGACAAATCGCCCCTTCCGTAAGACGCAGATGCGATGTATATTGCCATTTTCCGGTATGACAGACCTACGAATAAGTGTTTGGTCTTCCCGCTCACCATCGAGGGCAGAATGGTTCCAGAGAATACATTCTCCGCTAGTAGTTCGTGAAACCACTGCATGACCACTGAAATTACGCACAATCTTTTTGACAGGTGCAGAATGTCCAGTCCAGACGGTTTGGAGGTTGAGGCGTCGATCATTCTTTTTAGGATCCAACAGGTCCGCCACGTTTCCAGAAAAAATTCCGATCTTGCCATCAAAAGAGTGCAGCACGATATGAAGCCTTCCACTTGATCTGTCACAGTAGCTTTGAACCTCAGTGTGTCCCCCTCCTTCTTGGCCGTTCAAGAATTCGTCCATGGGTTCAAAATGCGGCAGCTTGAACTTCGCAACGCTAAAGACCTTGAATTGCTCAGGCTTGTTGTTCCCTACATTCTCTAGTGCCCATACAGACATATTGCCAAGTTTGTCGATACTGACACACATTTCAGGATTCTTGTTTACAACAGTAGTAACAAGCGGATCCAGAGCTGCATCGTCCGTACTTCGATCATCAGCCCTTCGATCCTTAACAGCTTTCTCCACGGCAGCAGTAAGTTCAGATCCATCGACAATGAATATGAGCGGAGGGTTTGATCGTACTGGCATCTCTATGGCAGACTCGTTCATATCAACTCGGCCCAGCAGTTGCCAGTGTCGACCTTCAGTTGCCTCCGTTGGGATCCAGACACGGATTGAATTGTCGAGACATATTGTATACAGGACATTGTCCGCCGACTGATCTGGACGATGTGGTCTGCGCCATCTTATAGAAACAACTATGTCGGGGTGGCGAAGGTACGTCACGTCGAATCGAACTTCGTCTGCACCGTAGACCAGTCGCCTCCAAACTTTGGTCAGGCAATCGTGCTGACCAATGGAAGCGATGTATGCCGAGTCGTGTGAGATGATGGCAGACTTGGCCGGGTTGGGTAAGACCTTTTGCCATATATTCACGGGGAATGAGGCTGTGGTAAAGAGGTAAAGTGAGTTTGAGGCTACTAGGAGCTCTTCGGATCCGCCCCAGGACAAAGCGCAGGTAGCTTTCGAAATAGCTTGTGGTATATCAAAACACGACTGTTGTGCCCACTGGGATAATATCAGTATGATGGACGTTGTGTCAAGTGCGAGCAAGCCTGTAAGGGAAACAGCACAACCTTTCTGTTGTCATCTTGTAGAATAAGTGGCCGATATATGCGGACCTGTTCTGCTGTGCAAGTTGCAATCTTTCCGGATAATTCGTCGATAGCAATCGCGTCAAGCTGCTGTTCATTGTCGTCGTCATACACCGTTTGCAAGATTCGGTAGACCCCATCGAGTATCGTGAAGGCACTGCCGCTTATATATACCTGTTGGGGCAGATGGTATGAGAGCAGGGTCTAGCTAGGTCATTGGGGGCAACTCACATTTTGATGACGCCCATCCCAAAAGCCAGTCGTTACGCCTTGAAGCCTTGGTGGGGGTTGGCCGGGAAGGACGGCAATCATACTACCGGATTTCAATGATATTTCTCATGTCTAGATGTCAATATGGCGGCTGGCTCATTCTTGTTTGCAGGCTACTCATGCCAGTCACAGCGATTTTTAGCTTGGTAAATTGCTGGAGCCCTGCACGTGTGGAACTTGGACCAGTGACGCAATAGGTACATTATGTAATGGCACATGTCGTTCGATAACTTTTGCCTACCCTGAAGACAAAATGCTGCTCAGGTTAGTCCTTCCAGTGATAGATTGCTACACGGACTTGCATATCAAATGAGACGGTTATGATATCCATCTACTGCGTCTGTACTCACAAACCATGGTCGTTGACCTAGCTACACAATCGCAACTGATAATATGTGGCGGGTTGCTGATGACATCCAAGCCTCGTATTGAACCCGAGCTGTGTGTGAATATACTCACTCCATTTACTCTCGATCTAACCCGAAGGAGACACAAACATTGCCATGCATCCCCACAGCAGAGTACGGAACCAGCGAGCGGCTTTGGCACGTTGGTCAATAACGGACATTGTCCAAGTCTGTGCCAGAGTCACGCGCATCTGTCTATACAGTGCGAAGATGCACTAGACCCGTCACGCAACACAGGCCCAGCACGATAGTTGCAGCACAAGAGCAGCCATCAAATACACGTTCACTGGAAGAGCCAAAGATACTCAATTAGCGAAAGCCCGCGCAGTAGAACCCCACGCCAGGGAGGCAATGCGGCGAGGGCAGTCTACTTCATTTACTAAAGTGGCCGGTGTCTGCTATCACATGTATACTATATGGGGACGAGCCTCACCCGGCCAAGGGCGCTATCCACATTCCGTTGCCAGCCGAAGTCAAGTCACTTACTGGGCTTGGCAAGTCGAGGACGAGATAAGGGAGTAGTTCACAAGTTCGCCTCAATGACATTTCTCTCGCCGATTGTCCGCTTGTGTTGTCCTGAAACAAGTGGTTTTGACACCCTGCCTGTGAAGGAGATTTCATCAAACCGATCGCCATTTTCATGAATTCGACGCGCCCCGACTAGTCCCAAAGATGATGCATGGCCCCGATGCCCTGCAGAAGCTGAGGCATAACGCATTGTCCAGGGCGTGTCCTTTGGCATTGGAGCCCGCGGCGTCGTTGAGCTTATCGTTCCAGGATCGGCCATGCGACTACGGCGCGGGTCGTCATGGTTCCAGAGGTTAGCCATATTGTTTTGTCCCTGGTTCACCGACTTCCCATCCACTTCCTCCACAGGATCCATCAAGCGCAGAGGGAGCGTGCGGGTTGCTGTCAGTGAAAGCCCTGTTGAACGAGAAGGTGTCTTCAATGGACTCATAAGGTCTTGACCATCTTCGAATTGGCGAAAAACAGGACGCGGCCTCGAAAGCGACTTCATGACCCTGCGGGAGCTGTGTAATGGGCCATTCCAGGCCGGCGATTGTAGTTCTGGCAAATCTGCCTTCGCTGGGCTCGCAAGCCGCCTCCATGATAAAAGAGCTCGATTACGATTTTCCCGATTGTGTCTTTGTCTGACCGTTATCGCAGAATGCGCCTGCCCGCTCCTCTGAAGTGCGGAAATTGTCCAGTCCTTAAGTGACTGGCGCTGCCTCTCGGTTGACCATAATCCCAACGCTTCCGTTTGCCGTCGTTCATCAGTCAAAGCCTCATATCTCCATTTGTCCAACATATGTTCCTTGTGATAATCCACGGCTAGAGAAAGCAATGTCTCAGCCTGCAGCCTGTGCTGCTCCCAGGACATAGCCGCGGCAAGCTTGCAGCCCACATCATGTTTCATTTGGTAGTCATGTCCTGCTCGTACCAAGTCTAACATTTGGGTGGCATGTGAATGCCAGCGACCCAGTGCCGCATAGAAGCTGCGCTGCCTCCTCCTGGACGACACCTGAGTGTATCTCATCATGAGATATCGCCTAATCACCAGTCTCGATTGATGTTTATGATACCGGGCAGTACTATCGAAAACCTGCACTAGGCGAGTGGCTTGAATATACCATCTTGCGCGCCGCCCTAAGTAACTCAGCTCGCGCTGGTCCTGGCTGTGAGAACGCATGTGACTGATAAGCATGCTGGTTGTTCTTTTCGTGTAATACTTCTTTGATGCGGTTTCTTGCACGGAGTCGAGCTTCGCAGCTATAGACCACATGTTCATTAACTCAAGGATAGAGAAATACTCGCATTTCCAGCGGAATGCCTGTGCTCGAGCTCGAAGATTCCATACTTCGAATACCCGTAGTGAATTCTCAGTTGCCAGAAGCCTCCGACAAGTACGAGCTCGAAATTTTGCCTCACATTGATCTCTCCACTCGTGAAGCCAGGCCATGACACCTGAAGCGGCGCTAATTTGCCGAGCTGCGTCTATTTGGGCGACATGTGATTTTGCTCGTCTCATCCACTTAGCACACAGATGACTGCCTTTGTAATAGTTGGATTTTCCCACAACTTTGCTGGCGAACCTGTTGTCAGTAATAGCTTGGTTGAGCCAGTGCCCAACTACGCAATTTTTTATGCGCCTGTCCGACATTTTGAAAGCCTGCCTGGCCAAAACACAAGTACGCCAATAGCTCAGAAAGCGTTCGGCTTTCATGTGTATGTAGCTTTGATAAATTAACAATGAAGCCACGTTCAACTGCTCTTCGTGACACTTAACTGCACGCCGAAGCTTCTGGACAGCAGTAACAGCTTTCAGATGTCTCACCATTGGAACTCTTGAATCCGGAGCGAGTGTCCAGCTGTTGAAGCAACGGAAGCGAACCATGTGCCTTCTTGCAATAGCTTCCCGTTCAAGTCGTACTGCAGTCTCATCAGCCCACTTGTTGAATACTTTGCTAGCGAGAAAAATTTGGCGTGCTCGCGCTGCTCTATTTCCAAGAAATTCATTTTCAAGAGTGTCCAAGTCGGATTGATTTGTATCTAGACGCGAATGAATCTCGGGGGTCTTCCTATTTTCCAGTAGTGCAGATGTTGGCGACTGCGCATTGTTGAATGGGAGATTGTCATTTGGTTTCTCATGAAAAGTAGCTGGGAGCGTTGTATTTAAGGCATGGTCATGCCCTGCCCCTATGGATGCAATGGTAGGCCAGTGATCTTTCACCGGCGCCAAACCGATCCTGGATGTGTTTGCTACTTTCAGTCCATTGGAATTGGTAGATGATGTTTTCACCAAGTCTTTGGCCGTGATTACTGGAGGCGCATCGCCACCATACTTCTCACAATTTGGCAAGCGATGCAGCGAGTGGATTGTGGTTGTATGAGCCAACGTCGGGGCTTCCTGAGTAACAACTACGTGTTTCGGCTGTTCTAGACGACGACCCGGCGTTGATGACCTTGGGCGAACTAGGTCAGATGATAGGTTCCTGTCCTTACCAGGAGAGGCGTCTAATTCGAGCGCGTTTGTAAGTTCGATCGTATCTTGTTTATCCTGCGTTACGGAGGGGGACCTCGAATGGGATGGATGTTGTGATGTAGTCGTATTCTCGCCAAATTCAAGCAATATCCCCATTCGCTTCAGAATTGCCTCAAACTTGTCCAGTAAAGACCCACCATGCTCACCCCCAATACGAAACACCAAGGCGGACAGGTGATGATCGGAGTCCGGGTCGATTCCAAAAGTAGGAAGTACATCGTCGTAAGCCTTGAATAGAACCGCGGCTGGTAGGGGTTTTGGGAAGGGCGATCTATCGAATTCATCTTGTGCTGAGGAAACCACGGAATGGAGGATTGCAATATCTGAGAATCGGATGTGTCAGCGCAAACGCACAAAGTTCGGGGCGAAAAGACAAGCTTCTCACTCCGTACCTTTATTTGAATAATAAGGTTCCTGAGTTAGTTGTGTCTGGTTGGGGCTGCTTTGGCTAGGGCGTTGGGCCAAACTATGGTCTTGACCATTAGTTGAAGACTGAACATTTGCCACTAAAGACATCAGTTTCGACCGACCCGTCACGATGGCTCGCTCGGTGTGATGCTTACTGGAGGCGATTGTTCCTTGTCACAGTTCGTCCATTGTACTAACCACCAGGGATAGATGACGTGTGAATAATTTCAGGACTATGGGGGAAGTCCTGCCTTGTCTGCAGCGCTTTTGAACTGAATTAACTCTTCGGAAATGTCGTGCTTTACTTCGTTCGCGCCATCAGTTAGTCCGCGACGGGGACGCGAAGCAGGGGTGGGAGATTGTCATATCAACTGGCGTAAGTGTATTATGTAAGCAACACTTTGGTCGAAAACAGTGCACAAACTTAAAAGACCCAAGTTTCCTAAGACAGTTTGACGTCTCCTCTTCAGAACAAAGACTTCGCTGCCGCTTGTTTTCCATTCGCTCATATCAATTGAACCGAGTTGATGTCTTGATATCTTGATTCAAAGTAGACCCTGTCTCGCATTTCATGAAACGTTGAACCGAGGAGCACCAACCGTACCCCGTAGAGGGCTTACCATACAGCCCATGCCTCAAGCAGTTGGTCGTTGTCAGCTTCATAGGCTGGCTTCTGCGGCTTCACTGTGCTCAACTCAGGTGCGTTAGAAATCCCTAGCTCTCCCGCGCGTTCATTTAATAACTAGGGCTTATTAGGCTGCTGTTTATGGGAGATGTGTTGTGGCCGATTATAATGCTATGGAGAAAGGGAAATGTGCCAAAGAGTTCATCAAACTTAAGGATTGCTACCTGGTAGGCTGCGACACCTTCAAACATCAATGTCCTAGCTGACACTAGAATGCGCAGAAGGCAGTATCAAAGAAGTAGCAACTTCTTCAAATATATTTTCATTGTTTGCGAGCATTTATTCCTTCAAGTCTTGAATTCTCGTTCCACTACACTATATTTTCTTTCCATGTCTGTTTATTTTTTCTATCTTGATAGCAGGAGAAGCGGGAGGCAGTTGCATAACACGAGTCGACTCCTGCTCTGTTGTATATGCCGCCAAGACGAGTATGACAATATATGAAATGTGGTGCCTTAGATGTTTAATAATCGCAATAGGAACGTGGCCTGTTGCACTTCTTGCTCCTCCTCCACAATTATTGCAGAGGGTGCACCACTCTCCTGCGCCTGTTCAAGGGGTCGTCTTAATGTCTTTTCGAACGTGCTAGATTGAGAGACCAAAACGTCAGCCAATCCCACGCCTTCAGGGTCAGATAAGACTTGATATTCCATCTTGACATCATCTGTGGCCTGAAGCCCAGCCTTTTTCCGAAGCCTCTGTACTCTGTTGATAATCTCCCTTGCCAGACCTTCTTGCGCCAGCTCCGGGTGGATTTCGGAGTCCAGGATGGTAAGAACTTCATTGTCAGAGTTGATCTCCAGATTTTTCGACGTTGCATCCTCCCGCAGCCCGCGTCGCACGACCAGATCTCCTTCCTCTAGTCGAATACCATCTACCAAAATCTCTTTGTTCTGTAAGTATTCTTGGACCTGCTCGCTGGTTAAGCTCGGCAAGGCCGCTTTCACCCGAGCCATGTCTTTCCTCAGTTTCTTACCAAGAACCGGCCAGTCTGCAGTGACACTAAGTTGAACGTTGTAATTTGCCTCATCTCCAGAAAGAACAAGGTCTCGAACATTGAGCTCCTCGGTAATATAATTTTCCAGAGATTTAACATCGTCAAGATATTGAGGATCGTGATGTATGATGACGAGTGTCTTCAGTGGGGTTTTCAGACCGAGGCTTCTTCGTTCTCTGGATACCCTGGCTAATTCAATTACTCGTTGCATTCTCGAGACCCTCCTCTCGACCTCCGAGTTGAATAGCTCTTGCCTGACCTCTGGAAATGGAAGGAAGTGTACGCTTCGAGGGTCTTCTGCTTGCAGCTCTGGGGGAATATGGGGAAGTAGCTTCAGATAAATGGTATCTGACAAGAACGGCGTAAATGGGGCTAACCCTCGACAAAGGGTGTATAGAACCTCGAACAGTGCGTTTAATGCATGTTGTGTATCTTGCAGACCGTTTTCTCCCTTGAGGCGACGGCGGTTGAACCGGATATACCAATTAGTGGTGTTATCAATGAGTTCGAGCAGACGTGGAACAACAGTATATAGTCGATATCCTGTTTTTGTGTTAGGTTTACAAATCTCGTAGCAATATGGGTGGGGGGGTTGGGTTCATACCTCGCATTTCCTCATTAACAAACTCCAGCAGGCTTTGACAACTCGCCAGAATCCAGCGATCCATGACATTTTCATTTTTGGATTCCATATCTGGGTTCCACATATAGTCCACTCCCTCTGCCTTCCTTAGCAGAGCGGTTTGTCCTTCAAAGAACTTGAAACTGTTCCAAAGAGGGAGTAAAACCTTCTGCACCACTTCCTTAACTCCCGACTCTTTAAAACGAAGCGGTTCGGCTCGAACAACTGGTGAGTTAATGAGATAAAGTCGGAGAGCATCTGATCCATACTTATCCATTACAATGGACGGGTCCGGATAGTTTTTCAGTCTCTTTGACATCTTCTTTCCATCCTCCGCAAGTACAATTCCATTCACGACACAATTCTGAAAAGGCGAACAGCCGAACAGGTGCGTTCCAAGTACAAGCAGAGTGTAGAACCATCCCCTTGTTTGATCGAGTCCTTCAGCGATAAAGTCTCCGGGGAAGGACTTCTGAAATTTTTCGACGTTCTCGAACGGATAATGCTGGCTAGCATACGGCATACTACCTGATTCGAACCAACAGTCGAAGACTTCATCGACTCGTCTCAGTGTACCTTTGCCCATTTTGCTTGGGATGGTGATGTGATCAACCTTATCCCTATGCAGATCTGTTAATTTGCCTTGGTAGCCGCTAAGTTCGCGGAGCTCTTCTATGCTCCCGATACAGACCCTTTCTTCCAGGTCATCACTGACCCAAAGAGGAATAGGTGTGCCCCAATATCGGTTTCTCCCAACATTCCAATCCCTAGCATTAGCTATCCAGCTAGCAAAACGACGCTCTTTAACGAAGGAAGGGACCCAGTGGGAGTCTTCTATATTTTTAAGCATATCGGGGATGACTTCAGGAATTCTAATGAACCAGGAAGGCACTGCGCGGTAAATAAGGGGAGTATCCGATCTAGGACACATTGGATATGAATGTCGCAATTGTGACTCGACAACCAAGCGATCGGCAGCTTTCAAGTGCTTGATGATGAGCTTGTCCGCTTGTTTGACATGCATGCCAGCAAAGTCTGGAACCTTTTCAGTAAAGTGGCCAGTATCATCAAGTGGATCTGGCGGAGGCCGTTTTTCACTGATAACTCCAGCGGCAACGGCAACATTATAATCCTCCTCACCAAAGGCGGGCGCTTGATGTACAATTCCAGTACCACTATCTGCTGTGACATAGGTTCCATTGAGAACACGGAAACCACTGTCCTTGAAGTCTTCATAGAAGTAATCAAAAAGTGGTTTGTATTGCCATCCCAGCATGTCTTTACCCTTGACTTTACCTACCACGGAATACTTGGCCTTCTTAGGGTCTTTATACAACGTTGACAGAAGCTGTTCCAGTATCACAAAGATTTTGCCGGATTTCTCGTCATGTATCTTAATGTATTCGAAGTCAGGATGCACAGCGAGACCAGTGTGAGAAGGCAGTGTCCAAGGAGTTGTCGTCCAGGCCAACAGGTGAACATTGGGATCCTCAACCAAGGGGAAAGACACCACTACTGCAGGGTCGGTCACATCTTGGTAATTCTGGTTTGCTTCGAAGTTGCTTAGCGCAGTGGTAAGGACAGTGGAGTAGGGCATGACCCGGTGGCCTTGGTACACCTGCCCCTTCTCGAACAACTGCTTGAAAACCCACCACAGTGACTCCATGAACTTCGGGTCCATTGTCTTGTGGCATGGGTCAGCATACGCCATGTTGCTGACCAGTTTAAGTTTCTCACCTTGTAGTCATTGTCGAAATCTATCCACCGTCCCAATCGTTCGATTGTCAGTCGCCATTCCGAAGCATAGCGCATGACGATGGCACGGCACTCTTCGTTGTACTTTTCGATTCCGAACTTGGTAACGGCTGCCTTTCCGGAGATACCTAGTTTTTTGTCGATTTCGTGTTCGATTGGTAGTCCGTGAGTATCCCAGCCAAACCTACGCTCGACATGATAGCCCTTCATAGACCAGTATCTTGGAATGATGTCTTTGATTGTCGATGCCAATAAATGACCATAGTGAGGTAATCCAGTTGCGAAGGGAGGGCCATCGTAAAACGTATAATGCGGACGGCCGCTGGACAATTCCAGCTATCAACAAACAGAATTAGTATGTTTCATGAGAGGTTATGGAGGCCTATAAAGCGATTTCTTCTCGTACCTGGCGGTGGAATGCGTTGATGGCGCGCCATCGCTCAATTGTGGCTACCTCCTCCTTCGGAAAATCTATAGACATGGCGTCGATATTGTAAATGAAGAATGTTCGGGGTAATTTTAAAAACGCTGGGATGTCCAACACCTTCACCACTTATAGCCCGCCAATTCCCCAGTTTCCGATATTTGGAATCCAAGAGTTCACGAAATGGGCTTGGTGAGGTCAAGACGATGATTTTTTCTCCCGTGAGTCAAGGTGGGGTTGGTAGAGTCATAGCGGGGGAGGAGGGGTCGAGCCGTCAATGTTTTGATGTAATAGTAGTACTACGTGTACTACCTAGGTACGTACCTGTGGCAACCTGGCAACCGGACCTGAAGTGTCTTTTCTTGGAGAGGGGGCAGCCCAGGTTGGCTTTACTACTAAGTACTTACTTAAGGTACTCTACTTACCTTAAGTACTTATACCTACTTAAGTACTTAGTAGATACCCACCTAGCTACCTAGGTACCTTAGGTAGGTACTTAAGTACCTATGTACTTAAGTAGGCTGAGTACTGAGTACCTAGGTACCTACCTAAGGTAGTCAGGCAGACATGAGGACTTCCGGCGCGTCGACCCGTCACCCCACGCGTGGTGGGCTGTTGACATCAGAACATTCAATGTTGTGGCGCCAGATACTTCACTTTAGCAGGCGTTCACTCATCCATTGTTTAATACAGCACAGAGGGACATGGGCAATTCCTTGTTCGCCAAACAACTGACAGCGGTAGACGGCGGAAGCATCGATGTCGTTACGCTGAATAAGTACGAGATACGGATTCCCAACTGAGTCCGACATTAACAACGACGATGTCATTCCTGTTCGGTAGGGCACGATCTCGCGCCGCGGCCGACCTGCCTAGACAGGCCAGAGAGCATGTGCTACGTCTTGAAGGCCCAAACTCTGCAGCCAAGGTACGTTCTTTAGACACTTGTTTTGCCATCTCACTGGCAGACAATTTCCCCGAAGGCTCATTGAACCTCCAAGGCCGAAGAGCTATCGCGGGTTTTAAACCAAATGAAAACTGTCCTACAAGGAACACAAGGTATGTGCGCTTAGTTTTCCCCCGGAGTATGCCTAATGAGAACACCCAAAATTTTGATTTGCAACGGCTAACTTCCTAAATAGAAACGGACAGTTCACCAGAACAGATTTATCAACTTGTAACCGGTCTCATTGACGAAGATTTGCTGTACCTCCTTGCGATTAATCTTTATCGTCTGCCCTTTGAATCGCGAAAGGATACCCAAGTTATATTTTCCTATGTGTTTAGGTTTCGACCAGCATCTGCAGCTCCGAAAAGCGACCCCATCGCCTTGTCGTATGTCGTATGTAACCGGCCACAGGTTCTTGTTGAACTATGCCGAGCCTACGGCTACAAAGAGAGTGCAACTCCAGCTGGGTCAGTCCTACGAGAATTACTTAAGAACGAGGCTGCAGCGGCTGTCATCCTCTATGACGACGGGGATGAGCCTGGCTCCAGTGCCAAGGGGTTGAATGCCATTGATCGCGACCGACCGCAAAGTGGGAGGGGAGTGTTCTGGAGGTTTTTCGATTGGATAGACAAGAGCTCATTTGAGGTAGCAGCCGATGCGTTTACCACATTCAGGGTACGAACTCTACAGTATACATCCATGCTCGTTGACCGACCATCTCCTGACGGTACATGTGATTGACAGATTTCATAGGAACTATTGACCAGGCACAAGGACCTTGTTCCGCGATATCTTTCGGTAAATTTCGACATGTTTTTCGAGAAATACAACGGTACTTTGGTGCAATCCAGCAGCTATGTCACCAAGCGTCAGTCCATCAAACTCCTAGGAGAGATTTTACTGGATCGCTCCAACTATAGCGTCATGACCGCGTATGTTGATCAGGGAGACCACCTCAAAATATGCATGAATCTACTCCGCGACGATCGGAAGATGGTCCAGTATGAGGGTTTTCATGTGTTCAAAGTATTTGTTGCTAATCCACATAAATCTATCGCTGTGCAAAAAATCCTCATTATGAATCGCGAAAAGCTCTTGGCATTTCTATCACACTTCCTCGAGGATCGGACTGACGACGAGCAATTCATCGATGAACGAGAGTTCCTGATTAAGCAGATACGAAACATGCCCCTCAACCCAGTTCCCATACAAAGATGACGTGACAAACGTTGGCAGAGGTGGTGGGAATCTGACCGTTGACAATTTCGCACAATATGACCTGCCGAACCACGGAGGGCTATTTTGGTTTGAGCTGCCGCTACCGGGAAGCTCCCAGCCTGCGAATGCGGGTTTGTGGAGGGGCAATGGCGTGATTGGCTTTGCTGTGGCCCTTCATCATCATTCAGTACCAATACATTACTATTACAGGCGAACACATAAGGAAATACAATCACAATGAAACTATCATCTGAATCTGATACTGTACATACATATCTTGAAGAGTTTAGACGCTCCTATAACGCCCCACTGAGCTTGAAACGCCAATACTACCACCTAGCTGATCCGGACCAATAAGACAATGCTATGAACCGTGGACCAAGAACTTTGCCACTGTTGCACCTCATCGCTGTCTGGACAACAACACATTAACACTTTCACGCGCGTTCTGTGTTGCCCAAACGCTGTTTGCACCTCCACGCCTCCATTCATCAGCCGCTAGAGCATCACCTCCGCCTTTGGTAGCGTCCCCAAGAATTACCTCCAGGTCTCGTCTTTGGGAACTAAGCCAGCTCTTGACAAAGGTTGCGGGGTCTTCGCTCAGGGACGAAAAGAACGAATGCTTGGCTTTTGAGACTGCGATGGCTTGTATCAAACGAGCCAGTTGATCATCAAGCACTGTAACATCCTTCAACATCGATGCATATTGTGAATTATTGATCAGAGGTTGTAGTGTATTGCGTAAAGGATCGTCGACAAGAACTTGTACATCGTAGACTGTAGCATGCGGATCTTTATGGAAGTCCTCGTCGACGCGAATCGTATATGGCAAACTGACTGGTGGTAGCGGCCGAAGGTGGTGAGTCACATAATCATTCAACATTGGGATGTAGCCGATATCGCCTCTTCCGACAACCTAACGACGTAAAGATCAATAAATGGCAATCGGATATAATAGGCTAATAGTCTCACCTTTCTCAAGAGTTCATCGCAGCGGAAGTTCCTTTTTTCTTCATCCTCTTGAAGGTTCCAAAATCTGATGTACTCCCATAGGGCTGCGACTGCCTCTTGCAGTGTCGCCTCAGACATGTCAACAACCTCAGCTAATTCGGGGCTTAGTTGATGCCGTTCAGGAGACTCATGCCGGTGCAAGTGAATCATGACGTTGATGTTTTCATCACCGTTTCTCTTGAACGTGAGCTCATCGAAATCAGAGGCGGAGGCTGTGCTACTCCCAGATTGAGTTTTTGACGTAGATTCTGGTTTTTTCCATTCAACATTCTGTGCTCCTCCGTTCCGAAAGCGAGAGGAATCGAAGTCAACAGATAGTGACTTGAAGAAATGAGAGAACCGATAGGTCGCAGAAGCTGTGGAAGCTGTGGAGCTGGTTTGATTCTCTTGGGATTTATCTGCCACCTCTCTGTTATGTGACAAAGCATTTGATGTCATCTTCCCATCGCCGACGCCTGGTTGCCTATTGCCGTGTTCGTCGTGATCTAGCAAACGACCTTCAATCTTGACGCGAAATGATGCTTCCATATTGGATGTGAAATCAAAAGTGTCAACATTTAGCCCAGCGCCCTGCCAAGATTGATCTTCAACCGTATTGCTAATCCATATTCGAAGTGTTTTGGAGAGCTGAAAGTCCTGTTAGCAAGGTGTGGGTGGACACAAAGTATGGAATCAGCCTTTTGAACATGGTATTTTCTATCACATACCTTGTTGTTATTTCGGTTACATGCCTCGGAGACATCAAGACGTTTGCGAGTTATCGTAGCGTCAAGAGTTCTTTCAACATCTCTCAGTGCTTTATATCTCTGAACCGCTTCTTGGTTGACGATGCTGTCTTCTACTCCCTCGGGAATGTTCTTATCGGTAGGCTTGCGGCTTCGGCGTCTCGCAAGCTCGTGGGCGTGAGCTTGCGCTTGCTGTTGCTGGGCAATCTGGGCTTGCGTTAATGGCACAGAGGGATGGGGACCAGACGACATCATTGGCCCTAACAGAGGTTAGTCGTTCGCATTTTGGCGGCAAGGGTCGGAAGTGCGCGCTCTTACCTATCCCTCCCCGACGCTGATTTGCAGCATGAGGAGAGCGTTGGGGGACTTGCTGTGCGTAGTTGCGATATTGGGGCTGCATTGTGACGTCGGGTTGGTGAATTACCACTAGATATCCAATGGTCGTACAATAATACTGTTTCGTTGCAATGACTTCTGAGCGTGTCTGCATCGCGAATGATTTGAGCCCCACGTGATCCATCACATGACCAAGCACAATGCTAACAAATTCCAACAATGGTGAAAAGGTAACATTTTTTCTACGCAAGCTGTAATTATTAATTATGGCTACGAGACTGCAAGTACTCTGTGAAAGAGTTATGAAGAGAAACCTGCGAGTCATCGGTTTACATGCGATGTATAATGATTAGATACCGCGAATTTTGCTTCGTTTTACTTGGAGCATAATCATTGGTAAAGGAAACTTGCCTACCCAGTATATACTACAGATGCAGTAATGAACAGGCTTTCAAAGGAATGTACACCGCAAAATTCTCGCCCATAAAAAGTTTATCTTTTCTCCCATCCTCCCTTTACTTCCCCGCTCGCGCCCCGGCTCTGGTCCCCTACTGATGATTAGATACTTAGCTCAAGGTAAACATGAGACGACGGCAGAATTGCGCGAACCTACTGGAACTACTCATTTTAGCGAGAGTAGTAGTATGATTTTCTCTATGAGCAACGAATTTCAGTCCCGTAATCAAGGGGAAACAATGACTCGAATATTCCTGTCTAAATGCTAAGACTCATTCTAATCCACTTCTTCAAGGAAACAGCGGACCATGAAATCTGATATCATATGGACAAGTATTTACCATGCTTAGTTGCGTGTGAGCATTTTCCTGTATGTACGGACCAATCCCCTTGACTTGTCTTAAAACAAGTAGGGAAAGACCGAAGACAGAGAACACGGCCGCCGACCCATACTAATACGAACAATGATAGAAAAGAATACCTTATTTGTACGCCTCGCTGACAATGCCATGATTATGTCTACTCTTCGGACAGTAAATGATAAGACCGAATGTGTAACTGCTCAAATGACCAAAAAAGAGGACAAGACAACTGATGACAAGACCAAGGATGGCAGTAGTTATTGTACAACTGCGGATTGGAAACTTTAAAATGCACACCGCGAATCAACCAAGCCTAAAATGCAGACCCCAATCCGTTTCGAGACTGTCTTTTGCTGAATCGGTTTCGTTTCGGTGTGAAATCATCGTGGCTAGGTTGGGTTTTACTCAAATGATTGCGCCCGCCTCGGTCATGAGTAGTATGGTTATCCGCATGTTGGACTCTACTACCCAAGGTGCTAGACGGGCTAGATACAGTCGAGGACATGTCCCCGAATGGGCCATCATTGCGTTGAGCATTTGCACTTTGGGACAAAGCCATATCTTTTGCTTTGTCGAGGCATTCGACCCACTCCTCCGCTGACGGTCGCTCTTCGTCACTGTTTATAGAGGGCTTGCTTTCTTCAAATGTATAGTGATAGCCGGCCTACGGGACGTGTCAATAACGAAACAGGCAGTAGGGGAATGAAAAAACTCACCGTATCAACACACCATACGAGTTGCCCCTTTGCGTCCCGTTGTGTTCTCCAGCATGAATCCGAAGCTAGCAGTGATAATTCTTGCTTTGCCCTCTTCTCCTCGCCCCCTGCAGGAGCCAACACAATGCGACCGCTTGAGGTCACCATTACAAGGCGCTGCCTCTTTTTGGTTGTACTGCCTCCAAAGAAACGTGATAGTTTCTTATGTCCCTCATCGGATCCTTTGCGATGTATACTGTTCGGAAGTGGCGAGGAAACAACCATTAGATCTCCTAATTTCAATATTCGCTCATTGTTCTTTGTTAACACCGGTGACCATTCTATGTCAAGTTGTGTAGGCGGAGGAAGTTCTGTAATAATTCTAGCCGGACGATTCCCTCCACCCGTGGTAGCAGTTTGTGAATGTGGCATAGATCTAGGAAGAGATGCATTGCTGCTTGATGGCCCAGCACCAGAGAAGCCATTTAATTGAATGATATTTGGCTCCTGAGCGGGTGGGACATACGGTCGTAGCCTCGGCGCTTTTGCTCGCCATAAACTTTTTCCAAACTGCTGTCCATCAAAAAACTCATGGTTCTTGATATGCTCTATCGTCAACCTTCTTGCCGGATCCAAGACTAGGCACCTCTCAACAAGATCACGCGCTGGAATTGGAAATCCCGGTGGAAAGTCGTACTCAAGGTTAACAATCTTCTGAAAAGTAAGATACTCGCTGCCTGCCTTGAACGGCGGCCTGCCTGCAAATAGTTGGTAAATGATGCATCCAAAAGCCCATAGATCGCTAGCCTTCCCTGCGCTTTTATGTGTAAGCAGCTCAGGGCTAACGTACTCTGCTGTGCCGACAAAGGATGCAGCACGGCGGTCTTCCTCGGCATCCCGTAGCGGCCGACCTTGTATATCGCTGCGATTAACAGAGCCCGTGTCGTTGCTTTCCTGAGGGTCGCCGAGAAGCTTTGCAGTACCGAAATCGGTGATCTTGACATGCATCTGGTCATCCAACAACACGTTCTCAGGCTTCAGATCGCGATGAATCACCCCGCGAGAATGCATGTAGTCAATAGCGTCCAGTATTTGTGCGCCATAAAACCTGACGCAATCCACATCAAACGTTCCAGTCTTTTTCAATACCCCTAGCAATTCTCCGCCATTGCACAGATCAAGTACATAGTATAGCGAGGTTTCGTCTTGAAATGTGTAATAGAGCCGCACGATCCCGGGATGCTCCGTCAAACGGTTGAGGGTATTCTTTTCAATGTTCACATATTTGATCTTCTTCTCCTTGATTATATGCCTCTTTTCGAGGACTTTGATAGCATACTCTTTCAGAGTCTGCCGGTCGGTGGCCAAGTATACTGTGCTGTACGAGCCCTCCCCCAAGATGCGGCCGAAGGAAAAGTCTCGAACGCCCTTTTTGATTTGTCGGACGATCATGCGGCCGTTGCTGTCCACTTCACGGCGAATACCGACAGCTGCACCCCGATCCTTCCAGTCCTCGCTGGATTGATGCGATGATCCTTGATCTATTGCTACTCGGCTCAACGCAGAGCTGGGCGAGGTGGAGAAGTGATTCCCCAAACTCCTTGAGCTTTCGCGCATCGGAACTCCGTATCCGGATGAGATTTGTGTCTGTTCTTTTTGTATCGATGGAGGGATGCGTTGGTTGTCTAGCAGACTATCACCTCGAGCTGAAGCACCTGTTGAGGGGTCATCCATACCAAGTAAGGGAATGGAAATGCTAGAGCTTGGCCGTCCAATTTCGATGGCTTGTTCCTTATTATGGAGACGACTATACTCTTCCGGTCCTGTCTGCATTGTATCGGTATCATGGTCGGCGTCGTTTGTACCCGAGATTCTCAAATTTGGTTCGTGAGCGTTTAGGCCAGAGGCAGGGAGTGCACCATTGCTGGCCTCATCGGGGTTGGCTATTCGCAGTCCGCCAAGAGCCCGAGAGAGACTTAAGTCTCCATTCATGGTGAGTTGTGTCAGAGCCTCTAGCCTGGTCCTCTTGAATTAAACGAGGACGCTTTCCAGGTGAGTTGGAAGGGAATCTGGTGACGGGTCTTGGTGACGTGTGTCTGCAGTACTTCGAGCGTCGGAGCGACTTGCTTGTTGCCTTACCTAATGAGGCTGGTGCGCGGCAAAGCGCGAGGCTCAGTTGTCCCATCGCACCTGGCAACCCCTCTGCGAATCACATTGCCGCGTTGTGTGACTACGTTCCATGGCATTATAGAAGGAAATCCACGAACGGCGAGTCCACTGCATTCTAGGATCAATCCCTTGAAGAAACCCATGGCTTTCGGTGCAGGAGATGCTGCCGGCTTTTCTCAGCTGGTTTCAAATATAGGTATAGCTAGCGTAAGACACCTACAATGCACGCCTTCTACCTGTGGCTAATGACTGACATGGCAAAGGTGATGCTTTAGAGAGAAGCTACATCAAGCTTTGGGTTCCTTGCTACTGCGTCCTGAATTCCATGCATTTGTATCTTTCAACATGCGGCGATGCTGTTAGTTTTCCAGGGCTGTGACTCAGTGCCTAATGCCGACGTCTGTTATAGTTGCAAGTGTTCTCATCTAGCAGTTCTTCTTGCATGCATATAAAATAAAGGTGAATCTGATTTAGGCTAAAAATACATCTCGCAAAAATTATTGCGATACTTTCGCTGGAAAAACGAGCGAAAGGCCATGCTAATACCCAGGACACAAGGTGAAGCTCTCGTCATTAATCCATTACCATCGCCGAATCTGGGACATTACTCTGTCGGTCGCCTCCTGCCATGAGACCAAGCTCTGGGCCCTCAAAGCTCGGTGGGGATAGCTGTAAGTTTTGGAGTGCTCCCTCAGCCGTTCGGCTAACCAACCGACCCTGACGCAGATTCTCGGTGAAAAGGTAGTAGCCATCGGATGCTTCGACGAGATAGGATTGGAGGCCTTTGCTCTCTAAACAAATACTGACTTTCGATAATGCAAAGTTGTTTTCGATAAACCTGGCCCAGCCCCGGGCAGCAGCTTGGATATGTTCCTCACTACTCAATTTTCTCCAGCCAATACCAAGATGAATCGTAAAGTTGTCGATCCTCAAGGTGTCGTCACCAACAGGTCTTTGGTGGCAAGAATTCGAGGACGTTGGTGATATGGTGGTTCTTTGCAGTGATGCCTGGCATAGATCATAATCTAGACGTTGTGACTTGTGGCTCCGTATTTTATGTTGACTAGCTTCGTTTCGGCATCTCGCTTCGTGTTCTGGAGCATTCTTCTCTTCCAACCACGTGCCGGATTGGTTAGAAGCATCCGCGACAAAGCCTTTGTCAGGCTTTATCGAAATCATCTGTTCGCCGTATACCCTATATTCCTGGGAACCTCGGGTTACTACGTCTTGCGAATCCGGTTCTAGGTTTATCGATGCCTCATCACGAGAGCGTTTCCGTCCCGCAGATCGTACGGGGGGAATTAGGGCTGACGGTGCAGTGTTGAGTGACATTGGCAACGGGTGATATCGCCCAAAGGTGCCTGCAGAGAGCTGTGTCTGATAGTGCGGCTGCGGGGGGATTGCAAGTACTGGGGAAGCGGTAGAGTATTGTCGGGCGAAATTGGCCATAATTGGTGAAGGGTTAGGCAAGAAGACGTGATCTTGGTGAAGCTGGAGCTGCTAATGTTAATATCAGTACGCAAAACGTTTGAACAAACCGCAAAAATAGCTTGATATTGCTGAGGCGCGTAGTTCGGATTCAATGTGTGGTAGACCAAGTAATTTGAAAACCAAAGAACAGGCAGAAAGGTGTGTCGACGGCGAGAGGATGGACGCCGCTGAAGAATTCCAAGGCAATCAAATTGCTCAATATTCGATTTTATAGTGCAAAGAATCTTCTAAGAAATATAGAGACGTCATATAGTTTCTTTGACTGGTCAAAGTTGTGCGCAATGGACGCGCAGGAACTGGTGGTTGGGTGTACAGACAATTGGTCTTGGTGAGGATGCAGGAGGGAGGTTACTGCGCAACGCTGCGTTGCAACTGGGGCTTGTTAAAGAACTTGAGGATGTACAATCCTAACCAGCCAGTGAAAAGCCATGGCAGAACGGGTCGCCAGACCTCAGCGGGTTGATGTGATTTCATTCGTCCGTTTTCGTGGATGATGGTCTGGACTACACTTGGCAGTAGTACCTGATGGAACAGTAAGGATTGACGTGCTTAGCGGGCACCGATAAAGTGTCGTGGTTGGCTGATTTCCTCGACTTGGAAGCTCACAGGGCTTAGTCATAAGTGCTAGCGCGACTCTGTGGGTCAGGCTGACACCTGCCGAGGTACCGGATGAGTCGTCTTTGGGAGACCCGGTATGAGGTACACACATAGAAGATACCTCGTAGGAACTAGTCGAATACTCTTTTTTCTTTTTCCTTTTTTTCTTCTTGTTGCAAAAACCAGGGGTACTCGGTCGTTCCTGGGGTGGGTACTGGAGTTATTGGCTGGGGATGATGGAGCCACGGGAATGAACTCAGTCAAGTCAGTTTAATGATCCAGAGTCTGATAAATTAAGTACCTAGGTAGTAGGTAGGTACCTAGGTAGTCAGGCCAGGTTGGAGTGACAGGATCTTCCAGCATCCGCTGACTTGGTAAATAATTTGATCAAATAGCCCTGCCAGTGTGCTCCTCTAAGAAAACCTACCTTCCCTCCAACTACCTACGTTAGGAGCAGAGAGCATTGATGGGCTTGTTGTCACGTCGATCAACAGCCTCCAAATCTAGTGTATTAAGTACCTGGGGTAACACGAAGGTAGCCAGGCTGCGGAGCTTCGATCTTGGCTAGCGATGGTTGGGACACTCTGGTTGGTGGGTGACAGACTCCTGACCCATAAGACCCGACTCATCCAGGTTGCTCACTTGAGCACATACTCCCCATGATGACGACCTGGTCAACTCCATAGAGCCTCTCTCAATTCATTATTGTTCTGTCACGCATAGATTTTTGTTGTATACTTCAGCACTGGACATCGAGTCCACGAGTAGCGTATCTCGATACCCTTGGTCATCATCTTACTCACGACGACCTGACCTCGGCTGCACCAGACTTGGCTATACGCAACATTCTATTCAACCTTGGCTGCTGGACACTCGTCCTCTTGATACCACCGCCATGACTAAAGTCAGCCAGCTATTTTTGTTGGCGGACCACATCAAGCTTTCACTCCTAGAGCGCCAGCGTGCGACCAGTCTTCATTTGGACAGTGACAGTCAAGATGGACATATATCCCGGTCGCTGGATCAGTTCCGTTCAGGTCTCGCGTCTCTTGAACAAGAGCAGTCTCAACATGAGCAAGAAAGGGATACTGAGTAAGATTCCGACACCCCGGGTAAGGTAGGTGAAGTTTGCCTCTGTGCTAACTCAGTTATTGTTTCTCACCAGGTCGGCGAACTCTCTAGCGACTCTGCGTCGGCAGCTGGAGGACTTGACGGCTCAGTTCCACGGCTTTACCAGCGCTTCCATAGAACACACTCTCACCGTGCCAAACTCAAATGAGTTAGCAGAAGACTTTTCCCATGCATCCTCTCGAGGAGCAAAAACCGTTCGCTTCAGTGATTCTCCATTGGCGCCAACAGAAGAGCCGCTAGGACCGTACCGAGACGACCCAGCGATAGATTCGGCCGGATATCGTGATCAAGCTGCTGAAATGACAAATAAACAGTTGCATCAGTACCACTCGCAGATTCTAGATGAACAAGATGAACAACTCGACCGCCTGGGAGAGTCGATCGGTCGTCAAAGAGATATCAGTATTCAAATCGGAGACGAATTGGACAGTCATGTGGCAATATTGGATGAAATGGATACCACTGTTGACCGTTATCAAGGCCGTTTAGACCGAGCTAAAGGCGCACTAGGAAAAGTAGCGAAGGGAGCTGGAGAAAATAAGCAGATGACTGCCATAGTCGTGCTCATCATCATCTTGATATTATTAATTGCGATTTTGAAATAGAGAACTGGCCGATCCGACTCCGCTACTTGCTACTTGCTAAGAACAAGCTGCTTCGCCTGTATGCTGTGGTATTTGGGTGGGTTCTGAATGTTCGTGGGTTTTGAGTTCGAGTCCGTTGCATTGTGCGTCGGTGCGTTGTTTGCCACTTCCTCCCTTCCCCCCTTTTATTTTGTTACATAGTCCACCATAGCCCTACCCACGGCCAGGCATAGCTGCAATTCGACACCCGTTGTTAGTTGACATTACTTAGTAGTTTCGGGATACATATTCCCTTTGTTGAACCACTTCTCTGATCTATTGCCGTTTCATGTTCTCAAAATCCGGACAGGGTTCAGACCACACAGCACAAAGCTAGAGTGCAACCTAAGAGTGTCAACGAATCACATCCCCCTCCTTTATGATTCCTTGCAAATCCTCGAGAATATCGCTGCCACCAAACATCCTAGACCGGGTCACTGCTCTACTTCCTTCCGTTGACCAGACTTCATGAAACTTAACGGTTTTATCGCTGGACGCAACGATGATACACTCATTAACAGCGCTCGGGTTTCTATTGGATGCCTTCGATTCTTTTAGAATACAAGGGTAGGGAACGGCATGGAGAGCGCGTAAATCATCATCCCAAGGGATGGCTGCAATTTGCGAACAGTCGGGCCAGCTAAATACAGCAACCCTGTATGGGTGCTCTGGGTGAGTATAACCGAATGTGGCGGCTATTTCTCGTTTTGTATTTGACCAAATTAGAGATGTGACCTGGGCTGCGACGGAAATGGTGGCAAGCGATGATCCAGAAACTGTGTGGAAGAAGTGTATGCACTTGTCATTCGAGCCGCCGCCTGTAGCCACCAGTTCCTGAAGCCATGGACAGAATGCAATAGCCTTAACAGCTGCTTGATGAGTCCAAACCTGACTCTGACATCCGGTAAGAAGGTTTCGAACATTCGTTTGTGCGGTTATAGGCATCCTAAGGGATCCTCCAACAACTGTGGGAAAGGACCCTTGACCATTTTCCCTGCCAAGAGAGGATGGCGAGACGCTAGGAGTCGTCTGCATCTGAATCAAAGTGTCGACGATGCTGCTAGGGTACGGACTGTATGCGTCGTGATCATCTGGGTGCAAACCAAGATGTTGAGGCGCTAGGACTTCGTTCACGTCAAGAAGAGAACACAGGTTATCGTTGGCCCCCGAAGCGAACAAATCTCCATTTGGCGACCATGCTAGACCGCAAATTTGCTGGCTGTGTATCGAAATTCGGGTTACCAGGGATATCGAGCCAGGCCAATTATCACTTATGTTTTCTGATGCCATTGGCCACTCAACTAAGTAATAATACAAATCTCCGCGTTCATCTCCCACAACAAGGTCTTCTGTTGTTACCAGAGTATTTGGGTTGAGAGGATTGCTAGAAAATCGCAATGTCGAACAAGGGCGCCAACTGAGACAAGCGACTGAATATGATTGTTGTATTTCAAACCGAGGAGTTGTTTCCAGGAGTGACATCACGATGAATGTTCCGTTTGATCTTCCGGCTGCAAATAAATTCTTGTTACCTTCCACGGAAGAGAATGATATCGATGTGAGCCACGTCCCATCTTGCTGAGAGCCATTGACGGAACGAACTCCTTCCTTATCGGACCACGTATATATGATGTTACCCAGACCTATAGCAAGGGTTTGACAACTGGATGAATACGCAAGAACTGAGCAGTAAAAGTCGTCTCGCAAATTAGGAGCATCTAGAACTCTGTAAAAGCAGATTAGCCAAGCCGACAGTCACAAGCCACGATGGCAGGGCACTAGTACTTGAATGGTGCTACGGGAAGAGATCTTGTACTGCCTCGCGAGGCATTGACTAAGTGCACGTTAGCTCAGGGCAAATAGAATTGTAATACTTGGAGTTTACGGGATCCTAGAGCGCTAGAGTTCCCAGGAAGCGTGGCTTCTTTCGATCTACCAGAGAATGTGCCCATTGCGGAATCACCCAAAGGGATTGCGGAAGAAGCACTTGAAGGCTCCAGATTGAAATCTAGGATTTTGCGGAAGAAATTGATGTTGAGAGCAACACCAAGGCTGTTTTGAATTCTCTCGTGTTCGGATTTCTGACGTCTTCCCGCGAACGGTCGCTTGAGAGACTGTGCATGAGCATTTGTTGGCCTGTGAACTAGGCTGCCCTCCGTACTTGACTCGGATACAATTTGTGAATAAGGCCAGAGATCGGGTGGTAATGTGAGACCATGTCCAAATAAAGGGAAGACCCGTTGGAAGTGTCCTTGATTGTACTTTTTCAGCCCCTTCAGATATCCGAAAGACAGGGTTGTGGTAATCTTACCCGTTCGACTGCTGGTGCCGATATCTGGAGATGGCTGAAAGCTAAGCAGTGAATACACTATTGACAGTGTTTGGTGTAGATGAAAGCTTCTCAACACCGGACAAACGCCAGCTCTCATTGCCCTCTCTGTCCGAGACAGCGTGTCTGGCTCTTTATTGGTTCGGTATCGTTCTGAACATGGAGTCGAATAGTTTCTGATCGGAACAAATCGGTCGACTCTCGCAAACGTTAGCCCAGAGTTGAAAAATTGTCTTCTAAAAACCTTGCATTCTATTTCCCTGTCGACACGTTTAATAGCTGGTGACCATTTGAGTGTCAAGGAATGTTTGTGCAAGGTGGGATGCGAAGCGTTGCTTTGGACGGTTTCGCTTGCCCTGGATGAAGCTTGTGCCCTCGAGTTAGTGCTATTTGATGCATTATCGTGTCCAATTCGAGATGTAACTCTACCGTGTCGATTCAGATGCCGTGAGCCACGCAGAGCAGGCAGGAGTTCCCTGCTGTCCAGTCTAAATAATGAACTAGATGGAGAGCCGACGCCAGTAGAGATGCTGGTGTTAAGTGATAAGTTTGCCGTAATCTCTCCGACGGCCTCACTTGAGGAGTTCAAACTGCCTGCATCATCTGCATTTATGGATCGGTAACGCGCAGCCAGTGCATCGTTCTGACTTGATTGCATTTCTGGCGATGATCCTGAGGTCTCGGTTCGAAGTAACAAGTTAGCTCGCCACAACTTGAATCTATACTGTCAGGTAGAGAGATAGCACAGCGTTCTCGATATATCACCAATGAAGAACGTGGTATGCTGACTAGAGCGTCCCGATAGCGAGCCAGAAATAGCACCATGCAGTTGACCAGGCCTGGAACTCTGAACAGCTAGGGGGATACAAGTGCCGATATCACAAATCTCAATTGTGCAACAAGCATACAAAGTCTTTTACTGGATACAGGTAAAAATAAATAATTGCGTTGCTGTAGGAGAGAAGAGGAAGTACTACTGTACGAGTGACGCAGGCCTAAAAACAATTCATTTTCACGGGCTGAAAGCTACCTGCTTTGATGTGGCGGCGTCTGGTCAGGTTGCTGATCAATTGATCGGTCTTGCCAGTTTGAGTATGAACTTGCGTGTTGAAGTCCGGTGCTGCCTACGTGCCTGCATCTAAGTAAAGTACCTAGGTACCTACCTACCTAGTAGTAGTTGCATGTAGTGCTCAGAGACCAGTCAATACTTTGATGCCCCATGTGTTTGTATTGTTGGGAAAGGCACAAGATATCCAATTGTTTCCAGGGCTGAACAATCGAGCGTATTTAAGTAGTCAAGCATAGCCGCACTGTCCTCCCAACTCTTTGAGTATACTCACTAGGAGCATCGACATCTTGATGAGGAGCACCATAATTCGCAATTGCATTGCATCACGCTTTTCAAAACTTTCGGTCACAGGTAAATCTAAACAGCCTTGGGGGAGGTAGAGCGCTGAGAACCTTGTAACCTTGTTCAGCAAGTGACGGGAGTTAGAACCACGGCTATCTGCAGGGCCGATATATATGAAAGTAAAAAATGATTCAGTAAAGCACCGTCTTGGAAACGGCCAAGCATCTATGTACACAGCCTACCGAGGTAGCTAAGACGATGGTTATTTACGAGTATGAAGGGCATATATATACGACGAATTCAGCAGGACCACCCCAGCCAAACTTGGCATGACTCATGCTCAACATTTAATACCATCCTTATCCTACTGGCCAAGAGAGACGGATGCAAGATGGACCCGCAATGATGATAGATGGCACTGAAAATATCACCAGTGTGCTGAGCAAATGGAAAGAGAGAGACAAGGGCCTATGGCCCAGGGTCGTCGGTTATGACACACAAGTCGGCATAAAACTGACCCTAGAAATTGCTTGCGGTGCTGACCCGATTTGTGTGTTGAAAGCTGGCTAGAACTAAGCCATCTGCTTCCTCATATTGTCATATTTGGAGTCAGGGTAGTTGAGTAGATTCTCAGTGGCGTCCGGTTCACCAAGTTTGTTGCTACTAGTCCCAATGAGTGAGTCGGGCCCTTTGCGGTCAGCAGATGCCTCCCAAAACATGCTGCCCCCTAATCCCTTGCTCTTGAGGTAGGTAACCTTTTCTTTGGTAATATCAGGGGTATCATAGGAAATAAGTTCTTGGGTGCGGTTATCGTAGCTGTAGTAACCCTTTGCCACGTCATCATATATAACCGTCGCGCCGGCTTTGGGAAGAACCTTGTAATCCCAGACTCCATTCTCCCAGCTGCCGTCGCCAACACCAGAGAATAGCTTTCCAATTCCATTGGTCTTCTGGAATGATTTTCCATAAATTGGCATGCCAAGAACGATCTTGCTGGCCGGAACACCGCCTTTAATGTAATCATTGACAGCATCATCCGTGTTGAATGGTGTAGCATTAAGGTTGCCCGGATTGGCGTAAAGATTTGCGTTGTGTGCGCTGGAGTTGCTCCATGAACCAGAAAAGTCATAGGCCATCAAATTGATATAATCCAACACCTTTCCGAGGTCGCCAAGGTGCAACTTATTATAGTTGGCAGGGCCAGCCGGAGCGGCAATCGATAGCTGAAAATGGTATCCCTGAGCAAACTTTGCCGCGTATGCGTCGAGTTCATCCCGAACGGCTTGAAGAAGAAGAACCATGTTTGTGGCTTGAACATCGTCGGCAGGGTATTCCCAATCAACGTCAATGCCATCAAAGCCCCAGTCTTTCATAATAGTGACCGCCGACTTCGCAAAGTTGCTTCGAGTGGCTGCCGTCGAGGCCGCGGCTGGGAAGTTCGTTGACCACGTCCACCCTCCAATAGACAACATCGTCTTCATATTACGGTTCGCTTTCTTGAGGAGATATAATTGCTTGACACAGCCATAGACATTGTTACCGACATCATTCCAAGCTTTGAACCCCAAATTAGCCACACAATTCATTCTCAAGCCACGTGAGCATGGGCTTTTAGCCCCTAAATTGGAGGAACTTACAGTCATTTGGGTAGTGCTTGTCTGTGTCAGCCCAAGAATCTCCAGTGTAACTGCAGGGAGTCAGTCAGCCTGATCTCAAGACCAATCAGAATGCCTACATTTTATGAGGTGAGCTTACACGGTGCCGTTATTTGAAAGGTTCAAGAACGAGTACAGAACATGGGATATCTGAGAAGCGGGAAGGTCGGCTGGCTGATAGTTTCGACCGTATATTCCCCTGTCTACTGGTTAGTATCCGACCATAGCATGTCTGATTGCTCTTTGGAATAAATGGCATGTGAGCAAGGATAGCAACAAGATGGACCGGGAAGAAATTACCAATTGGTGAAGTAGACCGCGTTGACGTAACCACCGGCATGTTTTCCGATGACAGTATCAGGAGCTGATACAGGGGTGGCAAGACCGAGAGTGGCCTGCAGAGTGGCGATGATTGCCAGTGACTGAGCAAATAACGACGGCATTTCGTTGACCCGAGTTTATCTCTGTACTGTAATTTGAATAGAAGTGCTTGTCGAATTGATGAAAGAGCCACCAGGGCCGGGTAGAAAAGGGGGGGGGATATGTAGGGAGTGATGTAGTGGTAGCGTGTCTTCCGTAGAACTACCTCGAAGGAATGTGGCCCCTATTTATACAAGACCACGACGACGTTGGCTTCGCAGGTATTCGGTAGTTGATAAGGAAATTGTCTACATGGGTAGCATGGTTGAGGCGAAGAAAGGCTTGCCGTCTCATCTAGCATGGAAGACCATTAGGCAGGTTAGAGAGTGGTGGGAACATGCCACTCATCCATTTCCTTAGCATACCACTGGTTACTGGGCAATGCTGATCTCGTGATAGTCTTGACTGGGATAGGAGGCCTACCTGGCTGGTAGGCTCGCCCTGGGCTGAGACAGTACTCATCATTCGGCTCGGCAACGTTGCTGATGCGCTCAATTGAAAAATACCGACTCACTAATTGACCACACGTAGCCTATTCGTGGCTACCTGAGTAGTTGGTGCAGTCCATAAAAGGATACTTCTCTCATTTCCGTACAGCCATTTGCAGCTGGGAGCATCGCAGCAAGCGCTCCACCTTGGCACGTTTGGCGATGAACAGGACGACGCATGAGCAATGGACAGGAAGTGACAAGATGTCAAAAGTACGCACTACACCCCAGTAACCAAGTTCCGTGCTCCATGCATGTGTGCAAAAACCTCACATGAGACGGTAAAGATGGTGGGGGAGGTTCCAGAGGGCGGGTTGTGAAGCTGTGCAGAAACTACAAAGCCCACATGAAGTCTGAAGCTTGCGCATGCTGGTATTGACGGAACATGGGCTGGTTGAAGATGATTTCAAGTCTCGCACCAGATTCAGCGCCAGTGGCCCCCACCCTAGGTTCAATTTTGTATCTGGGATGAGAAGGAGCTATCACGGCGTCCTGCTGCTGGTGGTCAGAACTACCATTCGCCCATATTAAAGAATGACTGGGGAACGTCGTCGTTATCTCTTTAGCTGCCCAATGGCTCGTGGGGCTTCCTCTGCCATGTAGTTTTCTTAGGTAACCGAGTCTTCATGAGCCATTGGGCAGCTAAAGAGATAGACCTGGTTTACTGTAGTGGAGCCGCACGCCCCTTTTGTTAGGGACGCTTCTCACCAAGTGCAATCATCATGGGATGTTATCTGTATGTAGTAATCGAGCGCTTAATTCCGTCATCTTCAGAGCTTCGTATCATCCAACTGTCTAGGCAGGTAGGTAGAATCCGAAAGCGTCCACTCATTTGCTAGGTATGTCTGGTCTGGTCTGGTGACCAGTCAATACCAACCTTGGTAGTTGGGGGCTCTGAGAACCACGGGACAAATATGAACCTTGCATCAAATCACCCAACCCTCCCGCGTGCCACCACCTAATCTTATCTTTGGTCCCCATCTGACCCCCGCCCTGGAACCTGTCCGGACCTCTGTATTAGAGCCTTGAACCCGGATGACAGTCCTTCAATAGCCAGAAAACCGCCGCATGAATTAATTTAATGAGCTAGCACATGCAGGTCTGGCGACTAGTGCCAATGGGTTGCTGTCATGTCCCATGTGTGCTCAACGGCCATCTGCTTTATGCGTGCCCCTTCCGCTCCTAGCTAGACCTTTCTTAAAGGATCGGTTTTGGATGCCACCGCCAGAGAAACCGGCATGTTGCCAATGTGTGCTTTCGAAGCCAACCAGCTTAGCCGATATTTGTTTATTGTCTCCTTACTAATGTGGCAAGTAGTCAAGAAACTGCAGCATACAATACATAACCGACCGCCATTTCTCATGCTGCCTAAGTACCTAGGTATGTAGTATGTGCATTACTTCTCTTTTACTCCCCGGCCCTCGGTGGGCCTCTGCTTCTTCTACTGCTTCAGCATGAGCCAGTGTTTGGGAAATAGCTACCTAGGTATGTAAGCAATAAATGTAAACTACCGTCCCCTGGACATAGAGAAGGGACGTGGAAATAACGAGAGTAGCATGAGTTCTAACTCTAGCTTGAATATTGAGTAAATGGGAAAGGGCTTCCCGTATTTGGTGCTTTAAATGCTACTGATACAATGCATTTTGTTGGGAGCTTGGCGACGGGAAACTCTTCCCAAGCACCCTACGCCGAAGGAATTGGTACTTAGCATGTCATAGATTAGCGTGTGTGATATATGGCGGTTTCTCTCTATTTTTTCCCCATTTGCCCTTTTCACTCGCTTGTCTCTTGGTGTGTTTACATGCCCACGATGTAGCACAACTATTATACGATAGTGTAAAAGTCTGTGCTTGCACGATACTTGTATCATGCTTGTATTAATATTTGTCTCAAGAGGGAAATAAAAAAAAAGTTAATAAAAATCTAATAAACTAAATAAAAACTCTCACGAGTTGTCTTAAAATAGCTGTGCTGTCACCAGAACCAGGGGCCGCGCGCGTAGTAGTAGGTATCAATGCCGCACTTGACTTATTAGCCACTCCCCACCGTATATAGTCGTGCCCGCCTTTTAAAAATTAACCGTTGCTCAACTTAAATCTGATAACTTTTAATACCGCGATGGCTGTATCTCTTTGAAAGTCAAGCACCTTATGGGGGCCCCGCTGCCCCACGGATGGTGGTGGAACAAGGCCAATACCAAGTAGTAGCAGCATAGTGTAATTAATATAATATAACTCCTTATACTTAACAGGGATATTAATATAATTTATATTACTTGAGTTATAAGTAAAAAAAAGTACCGTTTAACCGTTATTATCCTATTAGCTATTGACCCCTAGGCTTGGCACCCCACAAGGTGCTCGACCTTCAAAGAGATTTAAGGATAATTTCCTGAATTTCCGGCGACCATTCTGCCGCTGCTTGCACTGTGGGCTGTCTATCTACCTGTCCAGGACTATCGCGAGGTCGTCTCCATTGTTGCGTCGCGACTCGTTTAACTAGCTCAACTTACTTTTTTGTGCGCTAGATGCTCAGATTAACTAGGGGACTGCATGAATAACGATTTTCTGCCGCACAAATAATAGCACAACTCGTTACATCATCCCTAAGTACATAAGTAGTTACATACCTAGGTACCTATCCATCATGTGGTTGTTGGGCTTGTGGAACGTGGCTCTGGGAGGCAAGGTTGAGGAATTGATCAAATCCCAGGGCGTCAATCTCCGTCCGAACTTCAAATGTTAAGTATTGACCCATCAGTGGGGTCTGGCGTCACTACGGCCAGGGCCTGCATTGAGGCACGTGGGACCACTAGGTGTCGAGTCCGGTAGCTATCAGCGCCGCCACCCAAGAAATCCCGACAACCCCCACGCCCCCCCCCCCCAGCTTCCTTGCAACGTTACCAGGTTGTGCATAAACGAAAAGGGTAGCTCAGTTGTTGGACCTATCGTACTTGATCCGGTCTTCATGCCTATGACTCCTAGAGGCCCCGGCCCTCCCCGGCAAAAGCATTGTTGAGGGTTTAATTTAATTACCCAACCAATATCATCCACAATGGTCTTTCAAATTTTCTACCTGGCACAGACGGAACTCGTCAAATTCTTGCTCCGAAGTTGTCGAAAGTGAGTTTACCATCTGCATATTTCAGGTCACATATTAAGAGGCTCTCGACTCATCTGAAACCATTGATAGAGGGTGAGACTGTTCGCCAGTGCCTTGAAAGTAGGGCTTGAGAATCGACCGCACATGGCACTTTCATCCGACCTCATCTATTGTGGCGGCCGAACCCGTGGTAACGGGCCATCGCCAGCGAAATGCCAGTGGGAGATCACTCAACATAATTAAATAACGGTATTAGCTGTATCCATGAACTTCTTCGAGGACATCTAGATGTAGAGCAGATTTATGAAGCCCTAGTTGAGTATACCCCTATCAAGGACAGGTTGACAATTAAGATGCTCCAGGAGGCAGCAAGGCGCCTACCACTTTGATGAGCCCGGTTCCCAGTCATTGAGTAAGCTCGATTTAGATTGCCAAAGACACTTCGAGCATTTGGAGCAGAGGACATGTATTGCACGACTAGCTAAGGCGAAGACTGAATAGTATACAGTCCTTGCGGAACAACGCGCATCTCCCCACAGCCTTGACTGTGTCGAATCCAAATGTGGCGAGCCATCATGAGTTGCATAAGCAGGACATAAACCCAATGTGGTATAGATCTAGTTTTGACACGTGGACTTCACAAGACCCCCGCCCTTCCCAACTAGACCTTCAAGATAGTCTAGCAGAACTTCGACCGGCAACATATCCATGCGGCCTAGGTCGGGGTTGGAAGATTGAAGAATCCTGCCACCAAATAACACACGAATGTAATGCCGGGAGGGAATAGACAAGGGAGTTTGCGAAGGAGCTGGAGCCGTCTTTATTGTCGTGCTAGATATACAGGAGCAGGCTGACACGAGTCGAGATTGACTAGAGCATTCTGCCAGGAACGAGCGTGGAAAAGTTGGAGAGCCACTTGTCGAACTGGTGACGTTTTGACATAGTATACTTGCTGATGTAGGATGCTGAAGCATATGTCGAAGGCAGTTGTCATGATGACAACGAGGTGCGACCACGGACGTCGTTGGGCTAGGGTTTGGTCCATGGTCCTTTCGCTTGTACAGCTCAAAGACTACTTCTGCGCCCATTCCTGGCCACACCATTTCATTAATCTGCAAGACGGAGAGTAGACGAGACAATGATCCGTCATGAGCTATGTTGTGGAAGTAGCGTATGTCACTTGATCCACCCATAACATCATGCAGATGGGACGTGAGCTCTCCAATCCAGACCCCGAGAGACGCCACACTAGCGGGGAGTGACGAGGGATGATCACGATATATTTGACTGTATTCCCAGTTTCCCAGACGATAGACCGCATTGGCAAGGTCCTGCGAGATGCACCTAGTGCTGTTTTGGCCATCAACTAGCTTGCAGGGTAAGGGTTTAGCATGGCATTGTCTGGCGGAGAGGTTATCATAGTAGTGGTCGAATGACGAGTGGAATGCGCCATCGCTCGAGGGAACTCCCGAGATACCATCGAGGGTACTGAACAACGCTGCGGACGCCTCTAGATGCTGTTTCCAATCAGGATTTTTGTTGGATTTGATGCCATTGAAGAGTGTATCGGCTGAATGACAAGGGTATTGTGGTTCCAAGCTGTCGACTCCTGGGGCCTAGGAACAACAGCTTTTGTCAGCAGCAGAGTGAGGAGGTAGACCAAGTAGGCTATTGTGGAGGGTGCCGTTACGAGAACGGAAATAGAAGCAGGATAGTCATGGGACGTGAATGAAATCTAGAAGAGAGATAGGTAGGGAGAGGTGAGTGATCCGGCTGCGTAACATACCTCAACAATTAGGGGATATGGGTCGTTTGTCCACCACATGCCGCTGACTACCATGCCAGCAACCTGGCTCGTGATAACATTATTAGTAACGCGATATCGCACAGAGGATTTGTAGTCCGAATTTCTCGATGGAAGGAACCCCAAGAGATCATGATACACGGCATACAGATCAGCACCGTGGTGCCACGAGTCACTTAGACCGCCAGACGTAATTTGAGGAAAATTACAGCTCCCAATCCAGCCAGGTGGCACGAATGGGTTCATCGGAGAAATATGCCCTTTTCGAAATACGGGAGAAGATTGCTTTCCCTGCAAAGGTTCGCCGTAGAGAAACAAGTGTGCATCTTCGCAATTCCACTGGTAAGACTCAACCGGGAAAGCATTTGAAGCGTACGGCGTCCGCTTGTGGTGCCTGTGAATCTACAAAAATAGGTAAGTAGGAGATCGATGGTAATAAACGACATGGAGGAAGTAACGGCTCCAAGTCAGGTACAGAACGAGGTACGTAGGCTCCTGAACATACCAATTCAACATATTGTAATTCATATGCCTTGTCGGCCACAACGTACTCTGTTGGTCGAACATGTGGCATATTGCACCAGTTGTATGCTCCATAATCGCGTTGGGGAGTATTTGACGAATTAAAAATAAACCCATAGACCCCATTGGAAGCCAGCGCCGACGTAAGGTTGTTGAGCTGTGTTTCTGCCGGAGCGTGCCAGCTTGTGTCAATAGCCCTTGTGCCGTGGACGGCCGAACTTGCCACCACCAAAGGTATCATGATCTCGGCAAATAGTACACGCCGTCCCATTGTGTTGTGTGCCAAAGGCATAGTAAATGAACAGCTTTTTTCTCTCCTCCTCGTTCCTGTCCGCTGGTGAGACAAGTCTACTGGAGCGGGGGACGTCGTGCTATTTAACATGTCGACTCGGATTGTACTTGAGCCTTGAGCTCGAGGTATGCAAGTATTAGGTACCTGGACTAGGTGCCTAGTAGTAGTCCGGTTGCGACGCGGCTGAACCTAGCAGACCGGGTTATCACCACAATGAATTTGATGAGATTGAGAAGACCCCGTATTGCGGAGAGGATTCCCAGCAAGTCCGGTGCCTGGATTGGAACTAACAAGACCAGGTGCAATATACACATGTAGGCTGTCAGCCAACAGGTGCCGGTGCCTCTGCATGTGCATGAACGAGTGAATGAGCCAGATGCCTCCCACGTGGACGCCAGAGACAGCATGTCCAGGTGCCAAACTACACCAGACACTTCAAAGTACTTGACACATTTATCAACAAGTCTGGTTCTTGCCACAAACGTCACTATGAGTTTTCCTTACCCTTGTACGGGTCTTAGACGATTATGCCCTGATCACACGCCAAATCATACCGTTCTTCTGGTGGAACTTGGGGTGTCCTGGGTGTAACCCATGTAATATCTTTGAACACCATTGTGCGTCTGGCATTTTAGCAATTAACGATGCCAGGTATATTGGAAATCCGTCGAATTCCATACTGATCATGCAGTTCCATTTGAGGCCATCTCCCTTCGATATCCGACCATGTCCTACACACGTCTCCGTGCGCAACGGTCTAGCTACACAAATACATTGAGTCGCTCCTTGCTAGACAAACATGCCCTCAACTGGCGGACAACAACTCGACATAAATCCTTCAAGCATGTCACGAAATAGTTCCGCGGCCCGAGCCACGAGGGCGACCTCTGCGCCTTCCTCTTCCCCTTCCCCCTCCCCTTCTTCCCCCACGGGACTGGGTATAGCCTAGTTCAGTCGAAGCACGTTCTCTGCTGTTCATTCCGCTTGCAGGAATGTCACTATCGCCGCTGTCATCACTAGATGATACCGCCATGTCTATGGTGCTCCCGTGCTCGTCTTCGCTAGACACCATATCCGACAATCTAACAACTGTTTTCCGGGTAGTGGAGATATCTGATGACTTGGAGACGGATTCCTGCTCATCGTCTGAGAGATTGGTTAGCGGTCCCGCCGCCGCCGAGCTTGTTCGTGGACCAGGCCGACTTCGTGACTGATGACGATAGCTACCTTCTGTGCGACCAGCCACCGCCGATAAAACCTGACGCGACTCTCTAATCGTAGATTCTGATGCTTCAGAAACATGTGGTCCACCATCCTTATCCTTCAGTAATGGACTGGCAGCGGCTCTTCGCTTCCCGATCTTAAATTTCCTGCCTTTGAGAGCCAATCTTTCCGCCATTGACATGAATGGCTGACTTGCAGACTTCAAATTTCTTACTTGAGAAGCTGGGTTCTTGGCCTCTGGTTGTGATTCCCTGCCTCTGGGGTTAGAGCGCAGTTCACGTCCAATATCTTTGAGATTACGTTCTTGGGATATTCCGACCGTCGCAACGCTACGCACTGATGGTTCCTCGTGTTGTTGCAAAGACGCTCCGATTGAAGAGTTGCTTTTCAACTGCTGGTAATTGCTTGACCTCACATTAGAGGTATCAGGAGCCTCGCCTAGAGATTCACCCTGATCCCTTAATGCTCCTGCTGTACCATCTGCTGCTGTATCCGATTGTTTAAGAGAGACAACCGTTGATTTTCTTGGTCGCCCACGCCTGCGAATGGCCGGCCTGGGGCTTATCGGGTCGGTCATTGATACAGAGTCGACAGACCTCAAACTGACCTGTAAAGGTCGTACGCGGCTTTTCCGACCCTGAGTTGATTCCAAGTGTTTTGATGTTACCGACGCCTCCTGTTGAAGTCCACTATTTTGAACCTCCGAGAGTCGAGCTTCTTCAATCGCTTTCGCAGCCTTATCGTCCAAAAAGGCCTCTTGACCAGATCCTTCGCCAACCATTTCACCCTCCTCTACTTCATCCATGTCAACATCATCAACTTCTACGTATGATGCTAGAGGCCTTGCATGCCGAAGAATAGGTTCCGTGGGCATGGTCTCGGTAACGGGTTCCGTTGAAAGTGTCTCTAGATTTCCATCTTGGTTTTCCGCGGGGTGTCTAATGGTGTTACTCGATGGCAGCCGCCTCTGACGCAACATTGATGATGCCGTCGACGGCTCCACATCAAAAAGCGCTGGATCCAAATTATCCAATATATCTATGCCATTTGTATGCCGTGACCGTTTGTGACTAGATCTCCCGACTATGAAATCTGGGTCCTCATTCTCCCGTTTGGCTTTACTCTTCGCAGCGCGAATAGACTTCTTGACGGAATCAGGTACTTCGAGGTCGGCGAGGTGTATAGCACTAGGAGAGGGGGCTTTATATGGATCGAAGAGGATTTTGTCGGGTGTATCATCCTGCTCATAATACCCCATCCCGATACCATAGTTTGAGGCTACAGAAGGATCTGGGTAAGGAGATATGCCGTTATGCGCAACCGGTGGTCCCGCCGAATCCGACCTTAGCCGTGAGCTATTTTCGGACTCCAAGGCGAGTGTAGGATACTCATGAGCACTCTGTCTTTCAGGATCGCGACCCTCTGGGTCGGTGTTCGTGGCCCTCTGAGAATTATCGCCGTCTCCAAGAAGGGCCCTTTCACTTTCGACTTCAGCCAGCTCGCTTCGTGCCTTGGCGTGGTCAGCTTGTTGCCGCAATATTTGCATTCTCCGGCTATCTCTGCTCCGGCTTTCTTCTCCAGCAGCCTTCAGCCATGACAGATTATGCACCCGAAAATCAACCAGGGCTTCAACACTTCTGTCATCCGCAATTGGTCGAGTATCATGGCCAAGAGAAGTATTCTTAGGTGTATATGGGTTCGTGTTTCCTGCCCGACGACAATAACCACAATTGCAAATGCCCAAGCATTTTGGGCACTGCCAAGTTTCATTTTGCAAAACTGCCTGCGGCATCATATCGAAAGCTCTATAGAGAACACCGTAGCAATATGCTTCTGCACACTCCGAATTCGAGCATTCATGAACTCGATAACTGTAGTCCTTATGGCAGCATACGTGACATCGGCGGACTTCGCCCTTCTTCTGCTTCCTTTTCGTTTTCTTCTTAGGTTCATCCTCAACGTCTCCTTGCTCAGAATCACTTGCAACTTTGCCAACGTCTTGCTTCGTAATATCTTTCCACGGACGCCTGATGAGGGCCTCCTGACATATCTGCGCCACTGATTTCTTGGCTGATTTTTGTCGAGCCGTCTCGAAAGGAGGAGGTGAGCTATGCAGATCAACAAAACCATCATTGACAATGACCATCTCACGCCATAGCTCATATTTCCCGCTAAGCTCAGACCAAGACCATTGTTCACACCATTGAAGACCAGATAAGCAAGCACAGGACCTTCCCATGGCGTAACATTCCATACATATATCGTATGCATCTTCATCTCCGTTAACAAGGACCCTTGTGCAATTTTTGCAGGTGAGGAATCGATTGAATATATTGCAGCGACAGTATGAGCAAGTGACGCATGAGTCAAAGGGCAGTCTTTCGACTTGTTTCTCGTTGTATGCAAAGGCCTCATCGATAAGTATTTCTGTAAAAAGACTGAAGAGAGACCTAAAATCTCCAGCAAGCTGTCTCGCCCGGGGTGAATTTCTGACGATGTCTCTTCCAATGCCCATGAAGCTGTTCTGGGTGATATCTTCTTGTCTTTCCATTTCTTTCAAGAGCTGGTAATATTTGTGCAGGGTGAAATATATAATCGCCTTGTTTTTATATTGTTCATCACGACACACCAGTCTCGCTTTTGGTAGAGCCTCGCGCAATGCCAAACGCAGAGTCTCAGGGGTAGTTCGGTTCCAGGCCACTTTCATTGTTCGAGTACCTCTGTTCCAGACTTGATGGGCTGCCAGCGGCGGAATGATGATAAAGTCCCCAGCACGCTGATCGACAAGGTAGACATCGAAAGGAGCCTTCTTCCAAGCGTTAATTTGCGCAAAATGCTTTTCAATCTCAATATCATGGCCCAACATCGACAAAAAGTATTCACGGACCACATCACGATCTTTACTTTCAGTCATGAACCAGATAGAACTTCCGGGTTTTTCTCCAGGGCTATCACCTGAGGTCTCCACCATGATATTATGTCCAACAGAAGCACACATCTCTCGATGAGCTGGTGTATAGGTGCCTTCGTGACCAACATAGCACATTAAGTTTTCGGCCCGCATCTCCTCGGGTAGGCTTGACATGAGGTCTCCCGCAGGAGCTATGGAGTTTTCGCCATGTTGACCATCGCCTCCAGGCCGTCGTGTTGGATTCGATGAACCTGATTTTGTGACGTTGTCGTTCAGATAAAATAAGTTGGGATGCAAAATTGTTTGCAATTCATATCGCCACTCCACGGGACAGTCGATGTCTTTCAGGTAAAGTCTTTGCCGGCGCTCATCCCGGAAGTTTTGTGGAGTCCATTGGTTTGTCAGTTGCTTCATCGACCTTAGATAATGTCCAGTTGTCATTGGAATATCTGTACCGGCAGTTACGTCGCGAACATTTTCCTCTGCAGTGAGGTGAGCTAAGCAATAAATAATGGCAAGATGCACAAAGAACCTACTTACCTTTTTTATCATATGTCTTTTCGAGCCAGTTGACATTGAAGAGCTCCTCTGGGAAGAGCGCATCCCAGCCATCAATGACCAGTGGTTTCCCTCCAGCGATAACATGTATTTGAATAAGCTTTTCAAACCCCTGCTGACCAAGACCAAGTACTTGAGACCTTGAGACTCTCTGTACCCATTTGAAATTCGGTGTCCGATCTACCAGGCCGTACAAATCAAGGTCTGGCGGAATGGGATCGAATTTAGCTTGCGGATGGAGTGAAGTCGGCATCTCTGCGATACAGGCACTGTGGGCTCTACATCCATAATTTGCGGACGCCAATCACCAGCCAAATAACCTCGATGACAGGGCGAGGAAGTGAGAGAGTGCGTGGATGCGAGGTTTGCATGCACTGCTTTCAACTTGAGGTAAATGAAGCATAGGAGTCCGGGAGTGAGCGAGTTAGGACGTTAAAGTAGTCATAGGCATCCTGCAAACAGGATCCTACTAGCAAAGGCCGTCCGGACGCGACGGGGATTGGTTTGCGCAGGGTTGAACGGGCAATGAATGCGACGCACCAACAATGACAAACGTGTGTAGTCAGCAGTCAACTCGACTCAAACATAACGGACATCACGTGACGTCATATGTGCCATAGTCCAGACGTCAAATTTAATTTCGATACTGAACGAAGTGCTGGAAAGAGCTCACTCTGTTTCGAGTCGACCAAAAATGATTATCAGTACTATGCCTGAAAGCCTAAAGCTTTGAAGGAACTATCTACTACTAATTTGAGGACCGCGAATGTTGGTTAAGGGCCATTACTACTCCCAGGTTTAGAACCATGAGGCCGCCAAACGTGTCCCGTGTCTCTACAGCGGCGTCTAAAATTTCCAGAGGGCTTCAGCTTACGCCCGCGGGGCAGAAGATACCTTTCTATGCGAGAGGGTGCGACGGTTTGCGCGTTCTTCAAACTGGCTTCCTCAGACAGCAGCTTGGTAGACAACATCAAACGCATCATCTAGCATCGTCTTCTGTTGAGCATCAAGCCAAGCTAGAGAACCATAGGATACTTCCAGCCTATCAACCACCCAATTCTGGGATTCTTTCACTGATTCCAGCATCATGGGTTCCATATGCCGAACTCATTCGAATTGACAAACCAACAGGCACCTATTACTTGTACTTTCCATGCCTTTTTTCAACATTGATGGCAGCACCAATGGTTTCACCGATGCCCTCGGTTGGTTCAGTCGTTGGTACCTCATTACTGTTCTTCTCTGGTGCCCTGATAATGCGCGGAGCAGGATGTACCATCAATGACCTGTGGGATCGAAATCTCGACCCTCACGTCTCCCGCACTCGACTTCGACCAATTGCTCGGCGCGCCATTTCTCCCTTCAACGGCTTAGTGTTTACCGGGGCTCAACTTCTAGCTGGTCTAGGCATCTTGATTCAATTTCCAGCGCCTTGTCTTTTCTATGGCATACCGAGTCTTTTGTTCGTTGCGAGTTACCCCCTGGCTAAACGAGTAACCTACTATCCACAATTTGTCCTAGGTTTGACATTCTCATGGGGCGCGATAATGGGCTTTCCAGCTTTGGGCATAGACTTGTTGTCAAACGGGTCAGCTCTAGCGGCTGCCGCCTGCCTTTACGGCTCCAACATCGCCTGGACCGTCTTGTATGACATGATCTATGCGCATATGGACATCAAAGACGACGCTAAGGCTGGCATTAAAAGTATTGCATTGAAGCACGATTCACAAACCAAGCAAATCCTCACAGGGCTAGCTACAACGCAAATCGCTCTTCTTGCCGCCGCTGGCATTGCCACTGGTGCTGGACCGGCTTTCTTCATCGGAAGCTGCGGCGGAGCTGCAGTCACTCTGGCACTTATGATCAGGAAAGTCAACCTTAAAAGTGTCAAGAATTGTTGGTGGTGGTTCGTAAATGGATGCTGGATTACGGGTGGCACTATTAGCTTGGGCCTAGCAGCAGATTATCTCATCCAACTTTCAGACAAGCCTACTGCTGGTGATGACATGGATCCGGAACGATGTCAATACTAAGGGACCTTCTGTTTGTACAATACTTCATTTCTCCAATAACCACGTATGGCTATTCTTTATAGATATAGTGTTCTGTCATGCTTCAAAACGAAACTTCCATTTAAACTGTGGAATCTAGCCTCTTATGATCAAAACCCAACCTGTGATGCCAATGCAAGCAAGCCGATCCGACTCCTCATGCCGAAAATTTGACCAGTTAGCGTCGCCCCTTTTCATCCGTTGCCATTTTTAAGAACGAGGCTTCTCTTTCTTCTCCTTCCACAGAGCCAAAAGACCAACGCCAGAGACCTTCACAACCTTGAATCTGACACCTGGAATGTCACCCTTTGCCTTGCCCTTACGACCGAAACCAGCAAGCAAGACTTCATCGTTTTCGTCCACAAAGTTCAAGCAACCGTCGTTAGGAACTATATGATATAGCCAATTAGCTAAGGGAATAATTCGGTGGACCAGGCCTGCGTAACATACCAAAGGCAGTGACCTTCTTGCCGTTCTTGATCAATTGCACTCGGACACACTTTCGGATAGCAGAGTTAGGCTGCTTGGCCTCAACACCGACCTTCTCGAGAACAATTCCCTTCGCGTGAGAAGAGCCACCGAAAGGAGATGACTTGAAAGCGGTGCCCAGGGCACGCTTCTTGTAATGGAGATCGGCCCATTTCTGGTCCTTTCGGTTCGTTCGCAACTTTCGCGCTGCGTTAAGACCACGGGGTTTGCCTCCAGCCATGATTGCTATTTTAGTTAGCAACGAAATAATCACATTAACATTTTATTTTCAAGATCGTTCCTACTCGAATGTTGATGTACGTACCGATTTTTGTCGTTACCGCTCGGCAATGGGTGTGATGATGACTTCGAGCGGAGCAGCAAAAAGTTGAGTCTGCATGCCAAGTTTGACACTAGGGTTTCCTGGCCCTAGAGAGGAAACGACTTCGAGTCCCAGTGGCTTTTCATTCACGTGCCTATTCACGTGGCATATGCCTCCGCAGGGTGCTCTCATGGGTCCACTAGCAGGCGGTCACTGCCTGTGCTAACTGGCAACTACTACTGTCTGGTTGCGTGATCTGTACTGGGTACCTACCGAGTAGTTACTACCTTAAGTACTTAGGTCTAGGTAGGTAGGCGGGCAGATACTCGATTGGACCTCACTTCAGAATGGGATAATAACGAGGAGCTATTGTTGGGCATCTTGTCATATTAGGGATGAATGTTGCTATTGCCCTGCCTGCAGCATTAATGTCTCCGATGTCGAAACCAGTGGGAAGACAACGCGACCCTCCCCCGGTACTCTTTCTTCATCCTTCTCCGGGCGGATCACGCGTTTCTCTGTCCAGCACTTCAGCTCCAGGACCAGCTCTGCCGACTTCAAGACGAGAACTCTCTACTTTGGAGCGCAGCACATCTCTTCGTTCTGGATCTGCTCCAACAAATTTGCAGCGATCCGGTAAAGCAGGGAGCACTCGGAGTACGGATAAGACTGATGCATTATGGGCGGAGATGCAGGCTACTTTAGAGGAGGTTGAATTGTCAGCGTCAGGTGGCACTCACGTGTTTGGACCTGGGCATGATCAAAAGCTTTCTGAGCTACGCTCTGCGCAAATAGGACTCGCACAAGCCTGGGCAAGAAGCGAGACTGATGAGTCAATTGGGGCATCTGCACGGGATAAAGTCATTCCCTCTCCTGGCGAGCAGCTTCACAATTTGCGTGGCGTTTTCATGGAACCGCCGAAATCGAGTGCCTTCGAGGGAACTGAACAAGCGAAAAGTCTTAACAAGACATCTGGTGAAGGATTAAAGGGCAAGAATGAAGCTTTGGGCTCTTTTGGGTCCAAGATCATTGAGGAAACGGAGATGGATATTGTTCTTGGCCGGAAAAGAAGAGAGGCCAACGATAAATATTTTCAAAGGGTTAACGATGGTGTCATTGACGTGGTAGCAAAATTGGAAAACGTTACGGTGGCTATGCGAGCAGTCGAACAGGAAAGCCAGGATGTCTGGAATGAGGACAAATCTATCGATACACGTTACTAATGAAACTTGAGCGAGCAACCCCTTCACGCGTCACGATGCTCCCTGTTCTTGTGCTTGCCAATCTCAAATTACTCCCAGGTAACTGAAATCCCATCTGACTCCATGTCTATAAATCGATGGATGCATTGCCACTCCACGGCTCCTATTTCCTCTAGCTGACTTTTTTTTTAGTGTATGTGCAAAACTGAGCTCCCTATCTAGGCAGGTGGTGACATGGAGACCAGTGCGCCGAGTTGCACACCTTATTGCGTCTGGTTTGTATGTCGATCGCAGAGCCCAATAATCTCTCATTCATCTACAAGCCTTACCTCTCATTTTCTTCTTATCAAGGGAAGAAAACGTATACGTGGAGTGTTTCCATTAATAAGGTCCTCAAATGCCGTTGCCATCTCTCACCCGAGCATTGAACAGACTCTACTGCGCCTCACTCGGGGAGTGAGGCTAAGTAGTACTTAGGTATTAATCACCTTCCAATTATGGACTGCGCGCTTGGTGAAATGATGCCGGACTAATATTAAAGCGGACGGTGGCTTATGATGCCATGAAACATGACTGCCACTCAAACTCATCATCACTTGCAAGTTGCAACCACTGCCCGCCGTACCCCTTCTTTAGGCATTTTCCTCGTACAAAACAAGAATACTAGCATCTTCTATCTCGCCGAGAAGCCTCCGCAAACCTATTCGTTTCTTAGTAGAGAAAATGAAGTTTCTCTCGAGTCTGGTCGTCGCCCTTGCGGCCCTCCCAGCAGTTTTGGCTATGAATCAAAAGATGTCAGCTATTGTGTATTTTCAAGAGGATTCCACGCCCGATTCCGTAATAGAAAAGGCAAAAAATACGTTGATAGAAGCCGGAGGGAAAATTACTCATTCTTATACGATCATTAAGTGAGTTAGCCAGGCTAGACTCTTAGACTTCAACTAACTCGCAGTAAAACAGAGGATTTGTCGTGATCGCACCAGAGAAGGCGCTGCAGGCGCTGCAAAAGGTGCAGGCGTGGGGTACAGACTACGGCATGACGGTTGAAGAGGATAAGGAAGCTACAATCCAGTGAGTCATTGCGGAAGGCTGTTGTACGTTTCACAGTATCAGATGAAAGGCATCATTTTCTATTATCTTCCTTTGAAGGGAGGGGGTTTGTTTCGGTGTTCGTCACAGCTCGAAGATGGGATATTATTCGGTCTTTTTTTTATATTATGATGATGATACCTGCCGGGATATTGGCATTTATGACTGAACGTATATTTGAAACGCTTTAGTGTCTGGTACTGCATTCATAATTAAGTAGACTTGACCTCCATTTGTAGCAATAAGCACGTTCCAGTGCCTGCCTGGGTTGGTGAGCGGGCGGGAATATCAAGGTTTATATGCGACTTGCAAGAAGATGTGTTTGAAACAGTCTATGAATGCATTCTGTGTCAACCAGCAGTAAAGAGATAGTGTGTCATGCTAACAATTACCTCTAAGTAATTAAGTACCTACTTACCTAGGTAGGTACTTACCTAGGTATGTACCTACTTAAGTGATTGATAACGGCGCATCACATCGTACGTATCGTTGCTGCTAAGTATAGGTACCTAGGTACCTAGGCAGGTACTTTACCCAAGGTATTGACGCAACAAGTACTAACACTCCCCTGAAGACATGGTGGTTGTGGGGCTGTATCATATCTGATGCGAGACCCTTGACCGCGTGGAGTCCGTATTGACAGCTCTAACCTTCATGTCCTTCGGTTCTCCCGTTGCCGAAGCTGCTCCTGGATATTGCTCCTCATTTTCTACGTACCTTTTATTAGCGTAAGAGCATTTCGGCACGATATGCTTCCAGTTCCCTTTACATCACTTCCTGTCACGACTACGTGAGCTCGGATCCGATATGCTGGTCCTTCGTCTAGAGTCTCCCCAAACTTTGACTAAGCTGCGTCAACTTCTGAAAAGCTATAGGCCGTGCCCTCAAAAGAGCTTGGGCTTGCATGACAATGGCACCTCCATCTACGACAAACGCAATGCCGACATACGGTCCCCGCGCGCAGGCTGCTCTCCTCAAGTCTGTCAGTGAACCTGCTCAATGGCCCCGATAGAAATTTTAACATTCGTTCGAGCTTCATTACGGTTGACTAATTCAAACTTTCAGGCCAACCACATTTTTGATTTAAACCAGGCTGCCGAATCCCTCGATGAATTAACAAACGGTATTACGCTTGCCCACATTCTCCATGAATTAGATCCAGAATTTGATCCATCACACCTTGAGTCGAGCCATGGCACCTCGAAGTACCTGACCAACAAACGAAACCTTCAGGCCGTCTATAAAGGTCTCTTCAGATTCATACGTCAACAAGTCCCTGAGCTTAGCTGCCAAGCAAAAAAGTTCGATTATCATGCTGTGGCAGAGAACCCGGAGCCTCAAGGCATCAGCCAGGTGCGTGTACTCAATTATGTATAAGATCCATAACCCATCTACCCTTCTGGTTACTTACCAAGTACACCCTTTAGCTCCTTGCCGTCATGGTGTCTGCTGCTGCTATGGGCCCCGATAACGGCAAATATGTTCCTAGAATCCAACATGGTCTCGACCGTGAAAATCAGGCGGAGATTATGCAAATCATTCGAGCAATGCAACAAGATATCTCCAATTACAAGGATGACGATGATCTGGATGAGGCTATCGATGCGGTTATGGAAGCGAGGGATATCGATCTCCTAGTAGAAGAGCAAAATGCCGTGCTTCGGCAACAGCTTGACAGCACAAAGAAGAATCTCTCGGATTATATTACTCGTTTGGAATATCTTCAGCAGAGCCATGAAGAGCTAAAATATGAAAAGGAAAAAAACGATCGTGAACTCGAGGTTTTACGAAAAGCTACGCAAGACGGCGCCAACAGTGCAGAAGCTATCAAATTACTTGAGGCTCAGGTCCACGAACAAATGGAAATCATAGCGAGGAATGAAGAGACTATCCGTAATCACGATCGAGTTAAATCTCAGCTAGAGGGCGAGGTTCAAAGATTGAACCAGAAGAGCATACAGGCAGACGAACTCAGGGATCAGGTAGCAGAATGGAAGCACAAAGCGGAGGAATTTGAAAAGAAAGCAAATACAGCAGAGAGATACAAGCAGAAACTTGAATCTCAGCAACACCTTGCTAAAGAAGTCCAAAATCTACAGTATGAAAAGGCCGAGTTGCAGGAACAGCTGCGCTTCCTCGTGGATGACAGAGAGAAGAATGAGAGGACCCGGAAAGCCGAGGATGAACTCACTAAAATGATTACACAATCCGAGCAACACCTGTGGGATGAGCGCAATCAAAAGAATCAGCTGATTAAAGACGTTGCTGCACTGGAGGAGGAGCTAACGAGACTAAAGGCTCAAAGAACACACGATGAAAGGTTCATTCAGGACTTGCAAGAACAGGTGCAACAAGGGCCAGATGGGGTAGCACAAGACGGCAACATTACCGCACTCTCCGGGGCTTTTAGTTTGGAGGACGAGTTGAATAATGCGACTGACGGGGATAGACAGACCAATCTTCCGTTAGAATTGTCTCGATTTAAGGCTGAAAATGAACTTCTAAGACGAACACTTGGATCGACTGGCGATGCAGCCCTTCTCAGGCGTGAGCTTGAAGAGCAACGCCGGCAGCGGGATCGTCTCCAGCAGAATTTCAATGACATTTTCGAAAAGCATACATTATCTCAAGAACAAATTACAGCTTTAATAAATGACTCCAGCAATGAAGGGTATGGGACCAAGATTCGATATCTGCAAAAAGATTTGAAATCGCATAAACTAACCATCCAATTTATGACTACAGGTCCGAAGCATTCATTAATTTGCAAACTCAGCTCGTCGGTTCACAGGAAGAGCTTGATGCAATCAAAAAACAAGCCGCCGAGCTGCAATCTAAGGTTTCAGACACGAATCGAGAGCTGATTGCAGCCAAAGCAAAGCTTTCGGCCGCAGAAAAAGGCGGGACCGAGGCTATTGATGAGCTCAAGAGCACTGACAAACTGATATCCGAATCCCTCAAGGCAGAGCTGGACAGGCTCAGGGAGGAGTACAATTTTGTCGTCAGTGAACGGGACGCTCAGAAGTCTCAGCTAATTGATGCACTTCTTGCCAAGGAAAAGCTCAGAAAAGAGGTCGAAGACACAAAAGAATTGCAAGAGAGCTCAATGGCTGGGTCAGCGGATGCAGACATGTCTGAGACGATGAGGAAATCCAGTGAAAAGATAGAAAAACTGCGTACACGCCTCAAAGAACGTAAATTGGTAAGTTGCTACAGTCGTCCTTGTCAATATCCCTGGTCTTTGCATACGGCTGTTATCATATGAAGATTTGGCTTCGCAGGCCAGATAACTATAAGCTGGCATCGGGAGCCGCGCAGTTGCAGTCAAGTTGGTCGCCGAAGACGCATGGGACACATATGGTCAAATACTACTGTTACGGCTGGCTGGACTAGTCCTCAAAGATGGCAAGCAAAGTGGAAGACTTCACTGTGTTTGCCGCGAGTTGCTGTTTATCCAGTTGGTATTTCGACATTGATTGCACAGTAATGGATTGGTGTCATCATCAAGACCTCGGCCTCAAAATATTGACCCGGTCTCACAATATGAATGTTTTCTGCCTTGGTTCTAACTTGTCTTGTCCACAGCAACTTGAACAATCGGAGCAAGAAAAACTCGACTTGCAAAATCGTCTCAAAGCAGAGCAAGGCGGTGAGGCTTCGGCTGGCCAAAGGGTGAGTCTATTCATTTCGCAGCTATGAACTAAGCAACTGCTGAAGGCATTTGCTCTATCCCTCATCTAATTTCAAATTTACTAATTGTGGTATGTCGTCAAGGCTGCTACTGATGAGCTTATGAAGAACCTTCAAAGAGAGAACGCTCTCATTGCGACAGCGTGGTTTAATCTCACAAGCCGACTGCAGAGCAACCATGTTGTAGTTCAGCGGCGGCATGACGCGCCAAGAAGCTGGCTGAACAAGCAGAGGCAGATGGTCAATGGTCAGTTGCGCCAACGCGACTTGCTCTACCTCTACTGACCAAATGTCTTCCAGCGACTCCGCGAAGATAGGATCTTATGGTTTGAAGCCGCCGTGATCGATCCACCCCAGAACTGTATTCATCTAATGAGACACAAAGGCTGAATATGTCTGCCTTCGTATCAAGCTTGCCACTCCTCTCGAGGAGCAAGATTTCCTACCCTACCCTGGCTTCCTCTCGCGCTCTTTTTCCGGTCTGGTAATACTTCCTACGTCTTATCTGATCTTGGGTATGGACATGTTGGTATTCCAGAATGGTTGAATCATCAAAACAACTTCTATACCCACCTTAGACAATGCCCTTTTCTAATGCATCCATTCATCATTAATTTGCACCTAATTTTGCTTTGGAGCCCTAGGTGAATGCTCTGAATCAACAGTCAATCTGTCATGTGTAGCTATGACCAAGTGAACCAGCACCTTCGAACCTCGCAAGATAGCACACTTTCGTTACTCGAGCACTTAAGGCGTTCCCCGTTGGCAACCAAGTGGGCTAGCATCTCACGGCCACTTAGTCGTCGCTGACGGATAGTATTGACGGCTCAAATTCCTAGGCACCTCGGTGGTCTCCAATAAAGTCAAAACAATGCCTGCCCTTTAACTTACAAAACATGCGCAATCATAGCGTTTGTTTGATTCCGTTTGTGAATATTATCCAGAATCCTATGTTTTGGGTTGTATTTGATACATGCAGGTAAAATCTGGACTCTAAGACTACATAGTGTACCTCTTTTCTTGAAAGCAACGAGGCTCGCTGAAACTAGGACGGGTTTTCATCGGTTGAGTTTTGCACCACTATAGGGGGCGTTTAATCCTTACTGGCAATTCGGCTCAGTATACCGGATCCTTGACTCTTGTTTCCTTGCAAGATATCTAGCATATTCTTCCACACTTGTCCAGGTTGCTGGCTAGCGTCGATGCCCTTCCATATGCCAGTCTTCTGATAGTAATCGACAACTGGTGTCGTCTGCTTATGATACGTGACTAGACGCTTCTTCAATGCATCTGCATTGTCATCGCTTCGCTGAACAAGGGGCTCGCCTGTGACATCATCCTTCATAGGTTCCTTTGGCGGATTGAATGTACTATGGTAGGACCGACCTGACGCAGGGTGGATCAAGCGACCGGTGATGCGTGCAACGAGCAACGAGTCATCAATTTGCAGCTCAACAGCATGCTGAAGCTTCTGGTTTCGCTCTTGAAGCATGGAGTCAAGGCCTTCTGCCTGAGGGACCGTGCGGGGGAATCCATCAAGGATGAAACTGGACTTTTGGTAAGCAAAGGCTTGGTTCGATTCAAAACTTCCAAAATGTTGTACACTTACCCTCCTTGGCACTCCTTGTTGTTTTCCAGCTCTTCTTTGATCATTCCGATGACAATGTCGTCACTGACGAGACCGCCCTGATCCATGATCTTCTTTGCCTCTCGGCCAAGGGGGGTTTTCTTCGCAACCTGAGAACGCAACATGTCACCCGTGGCCTATGTTATGCATAAAAGGCAAAGATGGTCAGAAAAAAGCGAGCTGACGAAACAATCAGAATATTACTTGGGTATTTTTACCAATGACTTACCAGATGGCAGCAGGAGAATCGATCCTTGATCTTTGGCGCCTGCGTTCCTTTGCCTAAAAATTTGAGGTTACTCGACGTCCCGAGGGATGACAAAAGTCACAGTGTTCTTACCAGCTCCGGGCGGTCCCATAATTACCATGCGAATCTCTTCAGTGGAAGGGGAGGAGCCCGTTGCGCGCCTCTCCAGCTGCTTAATGCGCGAGTCGAGGTTGCCGATGACCTCTTTCAGCTGCTTCAACTCATCCTCGACGAAACCCATGATCGTAACAAAGTGGAAGGACTGGGTTCAAGTGGTGGAGGCCAATTGGTCAATTCGACTCTCCCGGGTGCTGAAGGAGAGCTTACCCCGTGGCGGGTTGCAAGAATTGAGATATGAAGGGGAGGGAATGGACAATAGAGGAAGCGGGATGGATGGCTGGAGTCAATTGATTCTGACGAAAGAAGCGTTGTCGGCAGAACCATGGCTCGGGATACGGAGTAGTGGGTGATTCTGTCGGCTACGGAGCACTTTGGCCTAAGCTCCGTCCGCCCTAGCGGCCAGGCCTGATTGGTTTGTCTGCTCAGTGCATGTGGGTATGTCGCCTTGCGCTCGCCCCCAGTGCAGTCCAGCTGCTGGCTGTTAAGCGCTTCAGTCGTTACATACCTGGCAATCAAGACATGCGACGCTGAGTTTGGCGCTGGAATTGAGCGACAGATGTACCGACATGGAGTACAGGGCAACCGTGGCCTGCGAAAGCCCGGTAAGCCGACAACGAGTGCGTACCTCTTAGATGCCAGCGGTCCTCGCTAGGTACTGAAGTACTTAAGTACCTAGGCAAGCTTCAAAGGTCAGGCGGTGAGGCGGTGAGGCTTAGGGATCTATTGACAAATCTCCATTTGCCCGTGAGCAACATCCCACTAAGTTTGAGCGCTCAAATCTCCAGATGTCAGGCAGAGACGGCACTCAGTCAGTGGTCATGCCGCTGGTTCGTAGCTGGTAAAGGTCAGCAGGTGCTTGCTGCACGCCATCCCACCGTTGTGAGGCTTTTTGGCGAAGCCCCAGAGGTGAGCAATTTCACTGTCGAGCATGTATATTGAATATTTTCCCTCCGAGATGAGGTTCACCTATGTCAAGGTGTCTATTCCTTTGCGTATTCTTCGGTATATACTATTTTTTAGCCTTGGTGTGTGGTTAGTTGTGGTTCCCTGGCCTTGGTACAACCAAAATGATAGTGTTTCTTACATGATCATCCGGCCTTTTTTTAAGCAACCCAACGTACTAATATTAAATACTTTACCTAAGTCGGTACCTAGCTCGAGCCGTACCCCTAACACACAAGGGATTCGTACTGTGTCTGGAGCTCGACTTCGGTAAAATAAGGATAAAAAATAACTGCCTAGGTCCTGTCAGTAGGCATTAGATACCCGAAAACAGAAACAAACGGCCTAAGATAGATACCCTAGGCCCTGGTTATTCCGGACTGACTGCAAGATGTTCGTGCACCCCAAATTGTCTTAGTCTGAGCTTTCTGCCCACGTGACGTTCATTCAGGCTTCGCCCTCGAGAGCTCTGTGGCCCACACTCCTCTGCAACTACGGTGCACCTAGTACTCCGTAATGGCAGGCTGACCTCATCCATCTGGTAATTCGAAAGCTTCCGAGTCCCCCAGCTTTGCCTTTGCCGGTCGTTCTATCCCCATATAATCCTTTCGCTAGCACTACCTTGTGTGTCGCGAGTACAGTCATCCGGCACGCGACTCTTTTTTTCCGGGAAGGCAGCGTTAAGGCTTGCCAGCACAGGCATCAAGGCAGCCGCGGACACACGTACATCAGTCAAGAAGAGATCACTTCGCGCTCACCTTCTCTCGACTGCCCCGATATCACACCAACAGACTTTCTCTGCAGAGCCTCATACCTAGGTTCTGCTGGACAGACGATGCCTACCACCACTGCAGAAACTCTTTCTCTCGTCACCCGAAACGTTTCCGTTGCCCCCCTGGTGCTACTTTCAGCGGTAGATCATTACAATCGGACGGCTCAGAAAAATAAGAAAAGAAGAGTAGTTGGCGTGCTTCTAGGCCAGAACGACGGCAAAAATGTAAGAGTGTCAAATAGCTTTGCCGGTACGTACTAAATGTGGTATACTCTTGGAAATTGGCCGAGTAGCCGGTATCTAATTAGCTTCATCACTCAGTGCCGTTCGAAGAAGATGATACAGATCCGTCAGTCTGGTTTTTAGATCACAACTACGTGGAATCTATGAATGACATGTTCAAGAAAGTCAACGCGAGAGAGAAACTGATCGGATGGTACCATTCTGGTCCGAAGCTGCGAGCCTCGGATCTCGAGATTAACGAGCTGTTCAAGAGATACACACCTAACCCGCTGCTCGTAATCATCGATGTCCAACCAAAGGAATCGGGAGTGCCAACCGACGCCTACTTTGCCGTTGAAGAAATCAAAGATGTGAGTAGACTCGCCCCTCAAGGTCATGGAGGCCCGAGTGCCTGTAGTTGAATGACAGGTTTCGGTGTCCCATACCTTCCCTGACGAGCCACTTGCCTCCCCTCAGACAGCCACTAACACACACAAGGATGGCACTACCACTTCGAGAACGTTTGTCCACACGCCTTCTATCATTGAGGCCGAGGAGGCTGAGGAAATTGGCGTCGAACATTTACTACGAGATATCCGAGATGTCGCTGTTGGCACTTTATCTACACGCGTTACAAACCAGCTTCAGTCGCTTCAAGGCCTTCACTTACGGTTGAGAGACATTGGTGCGTATCTTCAGAAGGTTCTAGATGGCCAACTGCCCGTCAATCACGCCATCCTAGGTAATCTGCAAGACGTCTTCAATTTACTGCCAAACTTGTCCTCTCCTGAGGTGGATGGAGAATCTCGGGGGGGTGAATTAGCATATGCCATGAGTATCAAAACCAACGATCAACTCATGGCTATCTACTTGAGCAGCTTGATACGTGCCATCACTGCATTCCATGATCTTATAGAAAATAAGATACAGAACAGGCAGCAACAGGATGAGAAGGAGGCAAAGAAAGAGGAAAATGCTGCTAAAGAAGAGAAAAAGGAAAACGGCGTCAGCGGACATAACGCCGAGCCCAAGGAGAGGAGTGACAAACAGAAGGATGGCAAAGACAAGAAGAAATAGTGGAGGTGATCTGAATGGTCATACGTGAGCCTCCTCCGTATCTTGGGCTTCCGGGTATGATTCGAGCCTTGTCGGGTAGATTTGAGGCTACATATACCATCCCTATGTACACTTCGTTATTAATAGACAACGACCGACCAACCCATTGACCCTTGTGATTCCGTGAGTATATTTCATCATCGTTGTGGAATAACAAGGGGGCGATTCCTTAGATTAGACTTCTATTATGATGATTTCAGTTCTTTTCGGCAGGAATCAAACTGCTGACAGAAAAGCCGCCATCCCATAATCTGAAACAATCTTGTTTACAACACTGTCCGCAAATAAATGCCCACATCTTTCAATCAACAAGCACGCTAGAAGATGTTTACAGCTCGGTAAGCTGTTACCATTGACAAAGGTAACACTTCGGGGTGTATTCCACGATGACAATTCCAGCCCACAAGCCAAGGCAGAGTGAATACAGTTAAACTGCGTATCATTCAAGCGTCGGCTGCAAAATTTAGCAATGGCGAAGCTGGTGCATGAGCAATTCCAGGCCGTGAGGTGCACAATGTGCGTTTTTGGTATGGCTCTTGCCTCAGTCGCTGTCAAACGTAGGGATGTGGAAGAAAACGGTCGAACAGCATAGACTGACGGTTCGTTGTGACCCAATTCCGAGGTCTTGTTGTTCTGGGAAGTCTGAGAAGGCCACGTTTGACCAAGTCCCTGGTCATCGGTGACAACCGGACCTATTTCTGTCCCAGCTGATACATCTGAGCCAACGCGAAATTTATCAACCAGCCGCCTATCTATTAGGTCCAATGCAGGTAATATAAGATTAGGAAATAACACATGGAGTGTCAGCATCACACTCCGAAGTTCCCTTATTGAAGCCTCTTGCGAAATCTGCCGAGGCATGCCGGTCGATTCCTCATGTGTAAAGCAGGATGATTTGGATATTGAAGTTATAAGCGAGGATAAGATCGTGCCGTGGGAGGGAAGAGGCCCTGGCGTCATCGTGAGACCTGGTTCTCAGCCTAGATTATTAAAGCCGGCATTGTAGCAAAGTGTGAACAAGGGAAAAAAAGTTCAAACGTTAGGCTTGTCGCTTCTTACTATTTTTGAGGCAGTAAGGGATGATGGGTGTATCCAACCAACTACCTCTAGGTAGGTAGGTATGTGGCGTGTTGGACACAGTGCTAAGATCTGGTTGTTACGGTGCGGCACGTCGGGTCCGAATGTGATGTCCAGATTAAGTCACGGTCTTGAGCCCAAACATAATCCGATTGTCTGTTCGGCGAAACTGAATAAGCCATGTTGCTCGAATTCTTGGTTGCACCAGTGTCCTGCTTGGGACAGCACCTCGCCTAGAGTCGTTGGGAAGAACAAAAATGGAGAGAGAGCTAGTATATTCACTAAAAAAGCACGAGACGTGTAGAGACATTTGAAATGCCATCTCAAGCCTGCTTCGCCTTATAAATTTCACTGACTTTATTTAACATAAAACTGGGCAATTATTTTACACATGGCGCAAATACTACCAGGGCATAAGCCTCCCCGCCTGCAGATGCTTGGATTCAAACCCAGTCCTTCGGGTCTTTCAGAACGTCTACGAGGCGCTGTTCTCTACTTTTTGGTTCTGGCTCATGCATATACTTCCAGCTCGCGGTAAGCGGTAAGCTGACGAGTATGCTTTCCACTCGCGATCCCGGAGTGTTCAGTCCAAAGGCAGTCCCCCGATCGTGCACAAGATTGAATTCAACATACTTGCCACGCCGAATTTGCTGCCAGTCCTTCTCTTCTGCCGTAAACGGCATATCCTTGCGTTTTTCCAAAATGGGAAGATATGATGGTATAAATGATTTCAAGCAGTCCTGGATGAAGGCGAATGTGTTCTCTTGGTCACGTTCTGAGTCGTCGAGGTCATCGAAAAAGATACCTCCAATGCCGCGACATTCGCCTCGGTGCTTATTATAAAAGTACTCGTCGCACCACTTCTTGAAACGTGGATAGTATGTCTTGTCATGTGAATCGCAAGCGGATTTTAGTGTCTTGTGGAAATGGATGGCGTCTTCGTCAAAGAGGTACGAAGGTGTCAGATCACTACCTCCACCAAACCACCACGCTTGGGATGATCCATCTGGGTTCGCTGTTTCGAAATATCTGTAATTGAGGTGGACCGTGGGTGCCATTGGATTCTTGGGGTGCAGAACCATGCTCAGGCCGGCGGCGAAGAAGTCGAGGGACTCTACACTTGGATCGAGCATCTTGTGGTTTGCGTGCATCTTTTGTATGGCAGGTTTTGGGAGAGAACCGTATACCACACTGATGTTGACACCAGCCTTCTCAAATACGTTGCCGTCTTGGAGAACACAAGATATGCCGCCACCGCCATTGTCTCGAGTCCACTCATCCTTCCGGAATCTTTTGCCGTCCACTTTTTCAAGTTCTTTGACGATGACCTGTTGTTGTTCCTTGATGAATTTCTCCATTCGAAGCCTCATCGGGGAATCCTCGTTGATTGTCGCTTCCCTCTTTTTCTGGGCATCTTTTTCTGCCAGAGTCGTTGCGTCGAGGCTTGCTCCGTTCGTTGTTGCCTGTGGTTGAGAGTCATGATGAGCCATTGGATGCGAGAAATTAAGCATCAAATTAAGCATTCCATAACTCACTGATTGGATTGCCAATGGCGCCCCGATAATAAGGGCCAGAGCTCCTGCCCAGACTGGCGTCCAGGCCGGTCGACGAGTTTGGTAGCCAGCGGAACTGGACACAGCACGCCGGCCTACCTTGGAAGGGCCATTGTGACAGTGAGCTGAGAAAACCCACGCACGAGGGCGAACCCCAGATACAAATCGCTGCGCTTGGCGACTAGGTGAAGCCATAGTCGACGACGAAGCTCGGTCGTCTACAATTGATGCTGCAGCCACGGTATAACTATCCAAAGGGTATTAAGAATCTGCAGTGACTACAGAGTAGCAGGCTGTCCAAATTCCTGCAATATATCGAGTTTATGTGTGGCGCGTTCGGGCAAAGCCGGGGGAGAGGGATGGTTGAGGCCTGGTTGCTCAAAAGGGCGGGAATATCGAATGTTGTCAAGAACGTCTGGTACCATACTCTTGCCAAGTCAGCTGTTCGCCGAAGCTGTAATTGATTTGTTTCCTGATATTACCTACCTAGTAGGTACTGGTGGCCTCGGCCTTGCCAGCCTTCCAACGGAGTACATGTAAGTACCAGCGCATCTGAGCTCCACTACACGGCAGGTGAGCTGGCATCTGGTAAAATCTGGCCACCAGCCAGCTGCTCGTGCTATCCACCCCACGTAGGTCGTAGATGCGAAGTCAACTTGAGCAGTTGGGGCACGTAGTAACAGCAAGCAGTCGCTCAGTTGCTTAACCACACAAGCTCGAGATGCTCTCAATATATTGAAATACCTAACGCTAACAGCACTTACAACTTTGACGCATTGCCATTCGGGCAGGCTTGCTTTCCGTTTGATGCTAGGCGGGAATCGGGCGTTCGAGCCGATGTTAACCGGTTTATGTTTCTCCGATCATTGTTAGGCATGGAAATTATGCCCGTGACCGAAGCCGACGACGACTACCTACATTCCCATATAAGCCTGAACGCCGGCAGTTTTTTCAGGTAATTTCGACATGGCCGAGTTGGCAGAAGGGACGCGGAAGCCTGAAGAGCTCGATATCGGGTAACCTGATAGAAAACTAGAAGCCTTTCGGCGTAACCTTTAAAGTGTCTCAAAGGAGAGAGGGCATGGAACGTATGAACCTGTTCGAATAAATCCATAGTCCCCCTGAGTAATACTCTGTAATTCTTATGATTTTAAAATTGCCAAGGGGGTCTCAATACAGCTTCCAGTGATTCACTCGTCGACCTCAACGCTTCCGGATTTGGACTAGCCCAGTCACTCCCCGCGCTCTTGGCCTCGTGCCTGTCACTGCCTGCCACCGCCTCTCTTTTGATTTGGTCATCTTCCGCACCCCTCTTTCTTCCGTGGCCTGCTGCCTCGTCATCACCTGCCTATTAGTTTAGGCAGCGCATCATCTCCTCCCGCCCGGTAGCCTCTCCCTTCCATCGACAAGCTTTGATCTCTGTCACTATACATTTATTTCGACCTGCTTGTTACATCTCTGATCGCAACAACATACGTGCAACCAGGGCCTTAACTACTACCAACATATCTGTGCTGAACCGAGCATTCACTCATCATGCGAAGCAAGTTCAAGGACGAACATCCGTTTGAAAAGCGTAAGGCTGAGGCCGAGCGCATTCGCCAGAAATATGCGGATCGCATTCCAGTAAGCATCATACGCTGAACTAGGGACCAGCTTGGCGACTGTCTGTGATGGCCTTGTCCATTTCCTGGCCTATCGTCGTCAAAATAGAAGCATCGCATCACTGCCGCAAAGTCTCAAAAGCTGACTCTTGTTTTGTTTCAGGTCATATGCGAAAAGGTAGAGAAGAGCGACATCGCCACCATCGACAAGAAGAAATATCTGGTGCCATCAGATTTGACGGTCGGGCAGTTCGTGTATGTCATTCGCAAGAGAATCAAGTTGTCTCCAGAGAAGGCAATCTTTATATTCGTTGATGAGGTGCTGCCACCAACTGCGGCTCTAATGAGCAGCATCTACGAGGAGCACAAGGATGAAGACGGGTACGCTCCCCATCGCTAAAAAACAACACTTGGACATACACAGCAGTGGTCTAATTTGTCCTTTGCAGATTCCTCTACATCACCTACTCGGGCGAAAACACTTTTGGCACCGCGTAAAAGCTTAGGCGGGCTCGCGATATTTTTGTTAGATGGTGATGAAGGGCGTTCCGGTCTTGCACGGTTGAAACTTTTGTTTGATTTGGTTCCGGGTCTCGATTAGAGTTGCTTGTTCCTGCATCTGCCTACTTCTCGAAACGGATTTGGTTCATATTTGTGCGACATTCTTTGCAACCCGCGCTCAACAATGTGGAGGCAAGTGAACCAGGTCTCAGGAAGGTCACCGTTGAGGGTGGATTTTCGAGAAATGACATGACTGTCACAGCCCATACCCTTCTGCGCAATCGTTTCGCTTCAAATTCCATTGGTTCAGCTGAGCTGGCGCCGATGAGACGAAGCGTGAAGTTCTCCTACTTTTAGAGTTCGCAAACTGGAGTTGTGGCGAGCTCTTGGCTACAGCTCTGCTGGCTAGACAAGACGGCACTATAACGAGCCTGCTTATTTGATTTAGCTTTGGATTAATTTGAAGTACTCCTTATGTTACGCGCCTGACGTGAGCTTGAGCTTGATATCTACGCTCCACATCAATCGAAGTAGCCGGACTATGGAGCAACACGGCACGTAGCTGGGGTGGATTACTGTGCGATAAATGTACATATGTATGTACATATGCAAGCCTGTCGTGTTGCCTACGATCGGCCAGCGCCGTATCAGTGGAAGTTGCGACCATGTAATGAATGAAACGGTGACCTGGAAGTCCGGACATTGAAGTGCCAATCGAGTAGTCTGTACGTGCTGCATTCAAGAGGAGGGTAGAGGGAGCCATGCCCGAAGTTCGATGTTTTGAAGCTTAAGTCAACGGACATTATTATAGAGCTCCAGAGCCGAGTCCGGCTTGTCTGGCCCCTCAACGCGTCTAATGAAACGAATTGACCATGTGTTGCATGCTTGTTGTAGCCTGGTGCGGTTCAGAGCCTCTGAGACGATTGGGTGTCACGGGTCCCTCAAACAAGCTGCATCGACATGTGGTGCTGTCTTGTTGAGTGAAATTTGAGCCCCAGCGCGGTGGATCAGTGACACTTTTAGATAAGTCTGGCGCTGGGGTTTCAAGGGTTCCTGTGGAAAACATCAAAGCCATCCACAACCTCCAGCAACGATGCACATACGACTTCACGCTAGGTTGCTCGCTGTTGTCGACTGGCGGTGCTCCTGCAGATGCCTGGAGTTTCGGATTTCGAGCGGGCGTCAAGACGAACACTGGCTAGCGCCAGCAACATTGAATAGGAAGCAGGTAGATGGGTGAAAGGGTCTGGTGTCTGGCCGCAGCAGATGCGGCCTCTTTGGGTCTGGCAAGCGAACCTAGCACACCAGCAACATTCGAAGCTGACGGGCCATATCGACTCTACCAGACTGCCTGCTGAGTGCCTGGCAAAGGTCTAGCCTTGCAAATTTGGCCTTCCAAAGAGGAACACCTAGCCTTGGATGTCGCAACAGGGCACGGGGCGGGAACACGAGTCACTGCGTCAAAGCATTTCTATTTTATGCCCGAATGCCTTCGATGCTCTCAGTCACTGGGTCTTTATGCATGTAGACACAAGCATGCGTGCTATTGTCCTCGCCTCCTCAATGTTCTTCATCATTGCTTGGCATTGTACGCATGGAGCGGAACAATAGGCACAGGTTCATTAGCTGCCTATTACACAACAATGCCGGCTTGACGTGTTTCAGATAAAGAAAGACAGGCGGGAACTCTGGACGAGGCCTAGGCGAATTCCTAAGGAGCTTTTCTTTCTTTTGGTCCACGTGCAATCCCCGACGTTGACGCTCTGTTTGAGAAATAACCTGGTCAGGCACTTCAAGGAGATTCTACTGGATTATCTTCATCGACGCCCAGCGCTTAACGAGAGCTCAGCCCCACTGTAAGCGCTGAGTCGCAAATGGTCATGCACTAGATCGCCGGGCATGCGCAGAGCACCAGAGCACCTCGAGTACGTACATGTATCCAAGTACAAGGCGTGAGAGCGCGTTTTGGGCTGACAGCGAATCGACCTAGCAAATAGTTCGTTGGACATGGCTACATCAAGAGTGAATCAGGCAGGCAGTTGCATGGATCTCTTGATGCTTATTGTTCTTCGTTTTCCTCTTTTTCTTCCCTTTCGCTTGCATGCATGGATTCTTCTCAAATCTTTGTTGCGCCTTTCTTGCACAATGACCATGGGAGAGCATACGAACTGATCATTAGCACACATCTCTCTCTCTCTCTCTCTCTCGTATACTTTGTTCCCTTTCACCCTTTTTTTTTTGAGTTCTTTTGCTGTTCATCAACTCACTTCTTTTAAAAGCTAATCGTACTTTTTGTCCGGTGCTTCTCCCTACTTCATTTGAATCGTCCTCTACAAACGGGCAAACCACACAGTCACTACATATTTCCGTCCATACATACGCTCAATCTTCCTTCTTCTACAAACTACTTCTACAACGTTTTTCTTTTTCTGTTTTATCCAAAGCAACTAGGACCGATACGAATAGAGCAAGGATGCCCTCCTCCTGGAACCAGAGTTCCGCAGTCAACTATCCAGACGTGCCAGGCTCTCTTCATGCCCACCCCATCGAATCGTCAGAAACACCAAAAAGGGCCCAGCGTACAACAAAATCTACAACACCTTATTTGGGCCTAAGTTCTCGGCTCTCCCAAGTATGGATCAATCGATGGACAATTCTCTTACTCTTGGTTCTGGTCCGGATCATTCTCTTGCTTGCTCAACTGAATGACAATGTCGACGATGCAAAGGCCAAAGCGCTGGCTGCTTGCACCAAGGTGGAAGACGTAGGGAGTGCGATGGCATCCATGCCGCATTACCTCTCTGCCGGCGTGAATCATCTTGCCGCGTCTAGCATTTCGAAGGCTGTGCATGCTATGGTCAAAGTGCTGGATTTGATAATACAAGGCGTCGAAGCAATCATAGTATGGTACATCAACTTTCTCACTGCGACATATGTCTGTCTCATCACGGCTCTGGTTCATGCTAGCTTGGACGTGGTTGCGTCTGTTACAAAAGATGCCACAGCAGCCTTCAACACGGTTATCGACGGAGCTACAGGAGAAATTCAAGAAATAGCCGGCGGATTACAAAAAGCAGTCGGCAAAATCAAGGATGGTATTCAGAATAGCATTTTCAGCAAGTTCAACATCGACCTGCCGTCTATTGACTTTACCAAGCCAGTCGAGAAATTAAAAGGGTTCAATCTAAACTCATCACAGTTCGTCACAGATGTGCAGAAACTGAATAAGGACTTGCCAGATTTCGAGGGTGTACAGAATTTAACGAAACAGGCAATCTCTATCCCTTTTAACTTTGTTCGAGAGGCACTGAACAATAGCCTCGGTAATTACAAGTTCAACGAGACCATATTCCCCTTGGCGAAGAAGGAGCAGCTCAAATTTTGTTCCAACAACGAAAAATTGGATGGGTTTTTCAATAAGCTATTTGACCTTATTCATAAGGCCAAGGTCATCTTCGTCATTATCCTATCCTCGCTTGCCGTCGCTGCCATGGCGCCCATGGCTTGGATGGAGATCAGGCGGTGGCGAAGACAAGAAAAGGCAGCCGGACATATAGAACAAAAAAGGCTTTACGATACGTGGGATCCCATGGAGGCTTCCTACATAGCATCGAGACCAACCACGGCTCTTTTTGGCATCAACATAACGTCTAGAATGAGTGGCAGACGCCAGGCTCTCGCTAGATGGTGTCTTGCGTACGCCACGTCTGGACCCGCGATCTTCGTGCTGTCACTCGCTATCGCTGGTCTCTTCTCATGCCTCTGTCAATACGTCATACTGAAAGCAGTCCAGAAGGAGGTTCCGGAGTTGACAAAGGAAGTTGGGGAATTTGCAGACGAGGTTGTGGCAAAAATCAACAATATCTCAGCAAATTGGGCGGCTGATGCGAATGGAGTTGTCAAAGGGCTCAATGACGATATCAACAATGACGTTCTAAAGTACGTGACGAATGCCACTGGTGCTGTGAATAACACGATAAATGTGTTCCTTGGTACCTTGAATAAGGGTCTCGAGACGGTCTTCAACGGTACAATTCTTCTCAAACCTATTCAATCGGTCTTGCATTGTGTTATCGGCATAAAGCTTGAGAGCGTGCAAAAGGGATTAACCTGGGTCCACGACCACGCCCACGTCGATTTCCCATTATTTGACAACAACACCTTCAGCCTTGGTGCCCAGCAGAGTGTGTCTGGAGACTCGGGCCTTCAACATTTCCTTGCCTCGCCGTCTTCGGCAACGACTGATGAGGTATCAGCGGCGGTCAACCGGGTCACCAACTGGCTCTTGAAGGGTATTACCAAGGAGGCCTTAATATCTACCGGTGTTCTCCTTGTTTATGTCATAGTCGTGTTAATCGGGTTGATCCGAACTCTGGCTGGCATGGCGTTTGGCGGCCGCGATTCCGAATCTGATGACTTCCCGCACGCTGGGAAAACTAGTGGTCAAGATGAATCGCGGTCAGAACAACCAGGTTCACCTCGATACTACGATGGCCGGGGCGAGAAAATGGAAGAGGTACATTTAGATGATTATCAGCAACACCCATACAAGCCCTTTGACTCAAAACACCCGTACTGAACAGTGTACTTCCCGCGAATAGCATTGCAGAGTCTATTAATGTACTATAAAATAGAGAAATGGAACATATAATTTAGATTTAGATTGAAACCTTTTACTGCCATTTCTCTGTCCGTTGGCGCCGCATGACCAATTTGTGCCAACAGAGAAAAGTTGGGTCCAAGGATACACTTTGTGTTGGGTTGCAGAACATGGTGCAGAGTATGAGACGAGAGTCAACGCCATAAATGCGGAGGTAAATAGCTACACAGTACGGAGTATCTACCAATTGCACCTCACACCCTGTACCATGAATACTAGTGCTAGTCCTCCGTGCATCCGAGCTTCACATTGACGATCATCTTTCCCCTTTAGGCAAGTCCGGCATTGTGGGACCCCCGAGCTGCAGCTCAGATGCAAATGCGGGATCTCGCATTTTCGAAGTGACGGAGAAGACACTAAGTACTTACGTAGCCTTGCAGAGATAGGCGGAGGGTATTCGTTGCAGCAGGGGATCTTGGAACTGCCATTACTTACTTATGTACTTATACAGAGTACGAAAAAAAAGTAGAGCAACACAGGACGGGACAGGCATTTAATTACTAAGTTGACCTCTTAGTAGGTACTAAGTAGGTACTAAGTAGGTACTTACGATGTACTCCGTAAAGTACTTACGAGGCGCCGCCTGTGCCAATTGACCTACCTCTGTTACTTAGAGCACAGATGGTCTGGTAGTTATATGTACGTACCTACCTAGGTACCTACCTACCTAGGTATGTACGGAGTACGGAGTACATTGACGTACTACATACGTACGTACTACTCCTAGTCTACTACTGTGGCGGGTAGGCTGTGATTCCGCGGGGCTGCGCGCCTGCATGTGCCCCATTCCTCTGGCAACTCGAGTCAAGTACATACAATCCAGACTCGTCATTTTTTCCTCCCCACTTGAACATAAAAGAGGCAAACGCCCACCAGCTCTCAATATCCTATCTTTAAGCCGTGGCACAGTCAGTCCCTTATCCTCGAAGAATTTATTATAGTGCCTTGATTGTATATTTGGATCCGTCATGGATGCTATCAAGCAAACCTTCCAGCGCTGCAAAGCGCAAAACAAGGTCAGCTCCGTTCTTTCCCACCCCTCGCCAAGGCTTGCTTGCTTCATCGCGGGGCATGACATTGGCGGCGTATCTATTACTGACACGATGCTCATACAACAGGCTGCACTTGTGACATATGTCACAGCAGGCTTTCCCCAGCCTCAAGACACCCCGGATATTCTGTTGTCCATGGAGAAAGGCGGCTCCGGTACGTTCACCAACCAGCCTTGCTCCGTGCTGCGTATCCCATTGAAGCCTGACATTCGTTGCGTCTACCTCGTCCTTAGATATTATTGAGCTCGGTGTTCCTTTTACAGATCCAATTGCAGATGGACCGACCATTCAGACTGCCAATACAGTACGGTAGCCTCCGGCATCGATGCTACTATAGGCACGCATGGCTAACCTGGCTAGGTTGCCCTTGAGCACGGGGTCTCTATTGAGACAACACTTTCCATGATAAAAACTGCACGTGGACGAGGCTTGCGGGCGCCAGTGCTTCTTATGGGATACTACAACCCCTTGTTGCGGTATGGTGAAGAACGCTTGTTACGGGATTGCCAAGCAACTGGCGTCAATGGCTTCATTGTTGTCGACCTACCACCGGAAGAGGCCGTCTCCTTCAGAAAGCTTTGCACTAAGGGGAGGTAAGTCACATCTCGCAAATGTCGCGAATTCCTCCTTAACCAACAATCTTATGTACCTTCTTTTTCTTAAGCAGTCCCATGATGGCTAATTTGGAATCGTGCTTGGCAGCCTCTCGTACGTCCCGCTTATCGCTCCCGCAACATCTGATGCAAGGATGAAGATTCTGTGTCAGCTGGCTGACTCTTTCATTTATGTTGTATCACGGCAGGGCGTTACCGGAGCCTCAGGGTCACTGAATGCCAACTTACCTGCTCTCCTTGAACGTGTGAAAAAGTACAGTGGGAACAAGCCTGCCGCTGTTGGCTTCGGTGTTAGCACGCGTGACCATTTTCTTAGTGTTGCCAACATTGCCGACGGAGTTGTTGTTGGAAGTCAGATTGTTACCACGTTGCAGAGAGCTGCCCCTGGCCAAGGTCCAAGTGACGTAGAAGAATACTGCGCGTACCTGTGCGGAAGAGGTGCTCTGCCACAAGATGATGCAACACGAGAGGTTGGAGTCGTCGAGGCAATTAGTGGTGCCAGGGGTCCAAGTGGAGATAATGTGACAGTTAACGCTGTTGTGACTGACCAAGATCGACTTACAGCCGAGCAAGACAGCGATCTGGTGTCGCAACTTGCAGCCCTTCATGGCAAGATTCCCGACAGATTTGGCGAATTCGGCGGTCAATATGTTCCCGAGAGTTTGATGGATTGCCTGTCCCAGCTGGAAGAGGGATTCAATAAAATAAAGGATGATCCTGAATTCTGGGCAGAGTACAGATCCTACTACGACTACATGGGGCGACCATCACGGCTCCATTTGGCCGAAAGACTAACTGAGCACGCTGGCGGTGCCAACATCTGGCTTAAAAGGGAGGACCTAAACCATACTGGCAGCCACAAGATCAACAACGCTTTGGGTCAATTGCTACTGGCGAAGCGTTTAGGCAAGACCAAGATTATTGCAGAGACAGGGGCTGGCCAACATGGTGTTGCAACAGCAACGATTTGTGCCAAATTTGGCATGGAGTGCACGGTATACATGGGAGCGGTAAGTATTCTGTATTGGTGACTCCATCTGTCGAATCTTTGACTTATAAGTTAATTAGGAGGATGTCCGTCGCCAAGCTCTCAATGTCTTTCGTATGCGATTGCTGGGAGCAAAGGTTGTCGCTGTAGAAGCTGGCAGCAAGACTCTTCGGGATGCGGTGAACGAAGCCCTCCGAGCATGGGTTATCGAACTTGATACCACTCACTACATCATAGGCTCTGCAATTGGGCCTCATCCATTCCCGACCATCGTCAGAACCTTTCAATCCGTGATCGGTAACGAAACTAAGAAGCAAATGATGGAGAAGCGCCAAAAGCTACCTGACGCAGTGGTCGCCTGTGTGGGGGGTGGCAGCAATGCTGTCGGCATGTTTTATCCTTTTTCCAACGATCCCACTGTCAAACTGCTCGGGGTTGAAGCTGGTGGTGACGGTGTCGACACAGAAAGACACAGCGCCACCTTGACCGGAGGATCCAAGGGCGTCCTTCATGGAGTGCGTACATATGTCCTTCAGGATAATAACGGTCAGATTTCTGAGACCCATTCCGTATCGGCTGGCCTTGACTATCCAGGAGTCGGCCCTGAACTCAGTTCTTGGAAAGATAACGAGAGGGCCAAGTTTATTGCTGCTACAGATGCACAAGCCTTCCATGCCTTCCGGCTGATGAGCCAACTGGAAGGTATTATCCCAGCACTTGAGTCAGCTCATGGAATTTACGGTGCCATCGAACTAGCCAAAACTATGAAGAAGGATGAAGATCTCGTTATTTGTCTGAGCGGTCGTGGCGATAAGGATGTGCAAAGTGTGGCTGAGGAACTTCCTAGACTTGGTCCGCAGATTGGCTGGGATTTGCGATTTTAAGAAACTACTTATACCCAACATCAAACTTCTTGTGTGAAGTAACAATAATGTCAAGTAAGGAGTATTCGGTCATGGAATATGTTCTCATAGTAGGAATGATCTTTTTTTTGTACATGATGACATAGAATAAAAGTACAAAGGATAAAGTTACATGACATTATGCTCCAGCCGTTTGCCTCCTGGTCGGCGTAGACGCCCCATCGAAATTTTCAAGTTCGCTGAGTAATTTTCGCTCCTCTTCATCAGATAGTTCTTCCGCGCCCTCGAAGTTAGCCAAGCTGTCATCTCCCAGAACGAAGGTATCTGCTATGGTGGCTTGCATCTCGTTTAGAGTAGCCCGGCTTCGCATGCTTAATGGACCAGGAGTGGCATAATCCAATGCAAAATGGATTACATCGTCTCGGTTCTCAATTTCTTTCGGTTCCAGTCCCAGTTCAATCCTCTGTTCGTTAAAGCGTTGTTGAACGGCCTGGGTCTGCATTAGAATCCAGCGTAGATTCCACCCCCCTGGCCCAAGCTCCCTGATACGAGCAGGCTTGCTCTTGAGGAGGTAGTTCTCGATCCCCCCTTCCCTCCGAATGGTCTTCAGCACGCGCAGTGTCAGCCGGGTCTTAACACGAGCGCCTAAGGAAGGGGAAAAGAAAGTCTTGACGTGAACGTTTGGTCGCCAAAATCGGCGCGACTTGTTGTTGTGCTTCTCCGCTACGTTGTTGCCGAAGCGAATTCGAGCGCTGCCGTAAAGGCCGCGGTTAGATTGCTTATATATACGGCGCTCCCCATACGGATAAGGAGGGATCAAATCTGAGGGTAGACGATGAGGTTTAATTGTCTTTGTCTGTTGAGACGCTGTCGTTGAGAATTGTTTTGGCGAGAATGCATGGCCGTTGTAGCCAGCTATTCGTCGAGGAATCGAGAAGCTGGTTATGCGATAGGCATGAGAAGAAGTTTGGGAACTAGATGAGGACATTGCTGACTGGCATTTCGAAGATAGGAGAGCCGTGAGTCGCCGAACCGGGTTGAAGGTAGATGTAGGCATGGTGCGGCGCAGAGGAGGACCCGAGGTCCGGCAGTGTCGCAGCTGGAAAGAGAGACCGCAATTTAGAGGCTCAATGATCTATAACTAAGGCATTGAGGGAATGTCGTGGGAAAATCCAGTGTCGATTTTTACCAATGGTGGTTGCCAATACCAGTGGCCGGGAGTTCCACGAGTCGTCGTGGAAGTTTCTTTGACCAGTAAAATGCCATGAATACGGCGCAAATAGTAGACCGGGGCAAGGATTATTCCGTGCCTTCTTGGGTCTGGGTATCAGGTGACTGCGTGGATATTTGGCGCATGGTACTTTATGTTGTACACTCCATTAGCTGCCCCGCTTTTGACACCAGTGCGCATCGCCCGAGTCTGTCATGGCTTGTTCATGATCATACTTTACCTGCTGGAAGATCAGACCCCGAGATTGGCCCCTTTACACTGTTCAACCCTTTAAAATGTCCTTATTGATATGAGGGATTATGTAGAAAACCAGACCCCATTTGTCATATTCCCCCCCCGCATCAGTTGTTGTTTTGGCAGTCTGCTTTAGCACATCACCATCCACTGCCTGCCATCAGTCCATCGTCAGCGAACCAACAAAAGGGCAACATAGAAAAGCAAGAAAAGATAAAGACTGCCGTGTACCCTCAGTTCAACCTGGCAGTTTGGGCTGATGTATGCACCCTGAGCCTCATGATGATTCCCTCAGTGGATGACCAAGTCTTGCGAGATAACCCTGAATTTGCAAAGCTATATTCGGTTCTGAAAAATGATATTCTGAATCCGGACGGGTCTACCAAATGTGATCCTGATGTCAAAGAGCGCAAAGCCGTAACTCAGGTAAGCTTATCGGACATCACCTCCATGGCCCATTTTCAGAATGTTCTGGACCTGCTTTAGCTGCCAAGCTACACACATGTCAGCCGTGGGAAGGGGGAGTAGCAGAGTTGAACTTGGACTAATTGGCCATGTGCTGTCGGTATATAACAGGAGTTGAATAGCATGCGCCGCCGTTGCGCTAAGCAATACCTACTGCAGAGAGCCATCGCAACTGCTTCACCTCCAGATGTCAAGACATCAGCAGACAAACCCGCAGACACCAGATCCGACGAGCTGACCCTGACAGAACCGTCTGGTTTGCTCGCGGAACTTCTCCTCATCCTGCCATCTCTTGTCGACAGCGACCTCCCTGTCGATAGTCACGATGTGGCTTTGATACTTTCCAACCCGCCATTCTCGGAATTTGAGTCCCTGCTACCGGAACTTGGTGCTATTATTTCCGCCAATCTTCACGCCTCGGCACTCAGTCTGGTAAGGATTACACATCCGTCCAAGAACCCGTCATACCTTCATCGCCATATTCCTTCTCTTCCAGCAGACCATGCGGCACTCCGTGGCAAACTTTCTGAGGCACAGCAAAGTCTTATATCCAATAGGCTACAGGCACTGGCCTCATTGACAGAGCTCATCAGCTCGTACACTCAGTCTCTCACATTACTTATTCAGGCGTTGGAGTCGAAACACGGGCTCGCCGCCAGAAGTCTCGAGCTGCGGGCTCTCGACGTATCCCTGGAAGCACAGAGCACGGAGCTGGATGCCAAAGCAACATCGACCAGTCTTAGCAAAGAAATGTACTCACCTGAAGCCGTCACAGCGCTGAGACACTACTTATCTCACTTAAAGGACGCCCAAGTTCGTGCGGCCGAGCGAGTTCGAGGCTTGCAGGCAGAACTGGGAGAGTACGGCGTCGGCGTGGACAAAGACGGCTCCAAGGAAAAGACAATGAAGGAGATGGCACGAGTATACCATGAGATGGAGAGGCAAATGGAGGATGTTAAGAAAGATCTTGACAGACTCGACAATAAGCAAGATGAAATGGGTCGTACGTGACCGAATGTAGATTCTTCTTTCCCTGTTGAGGGCCAGTGCGAATCAAGAAGAACAAAGTGATCATTCCATTTAGCTTGCCGTCTCATCTATACCTAGACTACAAATACATTTGACAGCCACGTTCACGACTGATACAAGATGGTGTATCGGATATCAAGGAGAGAAAACACCTGATACAACGATCTTGCCCTAGTCCCATGAGTGGACTTACATGCCAACACAGACTCATCGTCGCTCATCATCATTTTGAACACCCAAGATACAATCCGGCGCAAACTACTGCCCAATGGTGAAGTTTATATAAGGCTGGGGGAATACATGGAAAAGGCTTGGGTAGGTCAGCTAGTTTAGCCCTTGACGTTGTAAATGGCTTCGGCGAGTCGGCCAACGTTGTCAGAGGTGATACCAGCGACGGAAATACGACCGTCCTTGGTGGCGTAAACAGAGAACTCCTTGGCAAGCTTATCCATCTCCTCAGCGGTCATGCCTGTGTATGCGAACATGCCGATTTGGCTGGTGATGTGAGACCAGTCATGCTTGGAGCCCAACTTCTCCAAGTTCTCCTTTAAAAGAGCACGCATGGTGATAATGCGGTCAGCCATGCCCTTGACCTCGCCGAGCCACTGCTTGTACAACTTGGGGCTGCTCAGGATTTCGGTAGCGATGCGGGCACCGTGAATGGGAGGATTGGAGTACAAGGGGCGAATAAGAATTTTCAGCTGAGAGTCGACACGCTTCTTCTCGGCGGCGTCGGCACAGACGAGGGAGAAGGCTCCGACACGCTCGCCGTAGAGACCCTGAGGTACGCAAGAGAATATGGAATTAGCCCACTAGCCATGGTAATGCAGAGGCCTATAGAGGGCCAGAGACCGAACGTCATAAGAGGAGTCACGCACCATGTTCTTGGCGAAGGATTGGCACAAAGCAATCTGATGGCCCTGTTCAACGAAGTGGCGGACAGCAAAAGCGTCCTTGTCAGTGTCACCGCTGGCGAAGCCCTGGTAGGCCATATCAAAGAAGGCGAAGTGACCTTGCTCCTTCACAACGTCGGAAATTTGTTTCCATTGTTCAGGAGTAGGATCGACACCTGTAGGGTTGTGGGCGCAAGCGTGGAAGAGGAAGATGCTGCCCTTGGGAGCTGCCTTGATATCGCCAACCATGCCTTCAAAGTCGAGACCGATCGTATCCTTGTTGTAGTAGCGGTACTGCTGAACTTCGAGGCCAGAGTCACTGAAGACGGCCTTGTGGTTGGCCCAGGAAGGGGTAGGGATGTAGATCTTCTTGTCTCCAGGAAAGAATCGCTGGAGGAAAGCGGCGCCAATGCGCAGGGCACCAGTGCCAGATATGGACTGAGTAATGGCGACGCGATCCAGAACAGATGAGTCGGCACCATAGGCCAGCTTGGCAGCCAGGGCAGGGAATTCGGCAACGCCAGTGATGCCGGCGTATTCCTTGTTCAACTTGTCGTCGATGACCTTCTGCTCCGCTTCGCGAACAGAGGGCAAGACAAAGGGTTTTCCCTGATCATCTCGATATGCGCCAACACCTAAACAACGGCAAGCGTAAGTCATTTCGTTTGCGCGAAGAAGGAGAGGAGATGTCGAATGGAAATCATTCCATCGTCATGTGGTTCTGGGGGCTGGGTCCAAACATACCCAGGTTGATCTTCTTGTCGGACTTGTCGGCCTTGAAAGCTTCGGTGATTCCTGAGTTGGAATAAAACACACGACAGTTAGAACAGCCGTCATCATTCACTACACGACTAAAGCCAAAGGGCGGGACAGTGACATACCGAGAATTGCCTGCAAAAAAGAACAAGGGAACGGCTTGTCAGCGACACTACAAGTCCTACCGCGCGCAATTGGTTTCAACTTACATCCTATGGAGATGTGGCATTAGTACAACAACAGAGCGTTGAATTGAGACGGAAGAATTGCGCGGCCATAGCTATCTGGAAAACTTACTGGAGGACCTTGAGGAACAGCTGACCAGGTGGATGCGGCGCGGATGGCGGCAAAGTTGGTAAAGGCAGAAGCAGGCCGGCGGGCAGCTTGCCTGGAAACAACTCGAAGGGTCGAGAGCATCATTGTGACGAAGGCAGGTTGAGGCAGACAGGTGTAAAAGAAGAGAAAGAGGTTGAGCAGAGCTGTCAATGGGTAACGAAGGAGGGAGGAGGGAGGCGTGCGTCGAAAGCTCGCTCTGTTCGAAGATGAAGTGCGAAAGCCGAGTTGGCGTGGGAGCTCCGAGGGCGGTAAGAGTTTTGCTCCATGCGTGCCGAAGCAAGCAGGTACGTAGAGGCACTGGGGATTCAAGTACGGAGCACGGAGTACCGACAAAGTATCCAAGCGCCCACTCACTCAGGTTCGGTGGGTTTGCACCTGATAGTGCTTGGTAGAAAGTCGACTCCTTTACCGCGGTTGAGTACTTACTAAATACTAAAAAAAATCCGTGTGGACGTACATAATGACCCACCTGCAGCCAGCCTCAAAGTGCGTCGAGTCTGGTCCGACACATGCATGCATTCGGCCAGTGCTGGACCCTGAAAGAGTCGCCAATCGATATGCTCGTCACTGGCACAACGACAGGCCCTTGAAGCTATATATAAGCCCGCAGACAGCAAGACACTTCACACGGATGCGATGATGCAGTTTGATGGTACCAATCGCATCCCATGCTAGATGTTCCAAGTACGAGTCCCAAGTTCGAATGATGGTCAAGCGTTGCCATGTGTCAAGACTTGGGACCGAACGGCTGATTCTACAGGCATGGAGCGCCTAGTACCCTAGCGTGTCCACTAAGTACCTAGGTACTTAAGGCAGGTACCTAAGGTTATACTAGTACTACTAGAGAATATACATGCATTCATTCGCCTTGTCCATCAATTGACATCATCCGTGTCAACTTGCCCCTTGACGCGCCAAGTTTTGGGCAACGCTGCCTACCTGCTGGGTCTTTTCATATACATATATATGTATGTATGCGGTTCACGATTCCGGGCGTATTTCCTCCGTGCCCAGAACCAGAGAACGAAGCAGAATGGCGCCGCGGCACACCGAATCCCTGGCCCGAGAAGCCTGACCTGCGATTTTTCTCACCAGGGAGTTGCCATACGGGGCAATTTGGTATTTCAACCACCAGGAGACTGACACTCCGTGCATATGCAGCGGCTGCCCATTGTTTTACTAGCCTAAGAAAGGAGGCCCCTGGCAATCTTTCGGACAAAAGACGACATCTGGACGGCTGGCGGTTGTAGTAAGTTACCATGTTCATGTGCTGGGTTGCCGTTGAGAGACGACGCCCCAGTGGTATGCATGTTCAATGGCCCGATCTTCTTGACTGACCCAGGTTGGTATTTACCTACCAGGTAGTCACGTATCAAGTATTGCACGTTATGTACATTAAACTCCGTACACTACGGGAAAACTCGGCCCCTCTCCTTTGTCGTGGAGGGTAATTTGAACAAGGCCAGAAACGGCTCTTGGCGCAGCTGATAGCATGTGAATCCAAAGCTGGCGCAAGCGCGCTTACCATCGCCTTCCAAAGGCGCTTATGCAAATTGAGTCCAAGAAGATAATATAGCAGCTGGTGAGCAGCATATGCGCTGTGTCTGAGTTGTGTGGACGTTGGTAGAAGCTCCTTCCAAGACCACGACGACTGCATAACGCTCCTGTCGGCGCCAAGCCTCATATCAGATGATCCCTTATCAATCGAATAATGGGGAGTCGGATGTCGAGACTACGTCATCACGCGCACTCGTAATGCTTAATTTAAAAGTGCCACATGGTATTCCATGTATTATTGTCAGATCATTCAGTAGCTCCCCTATATGTCTTTTCGTTTGCGGCCATTTTCAGGCACCCCTTTACCTTTTACAAACTGGACTACTATGCCAGCGTCCCGCTCTTCTCCTGCCTGTGATGCACGTCATTTTCGTACCGGTTCAATACCTTGTCCTCGACTGTTTCGTGGAATACATCTACTTCTGTGCTGGCAAATTTTCGGGCAGGAACACGTCGCTCGAACAATACGTCTAGTTCTGCGAATGTGCGACCTCGAGGCTCTGGGATGCGGAAATATGTATAGACGATGCATAGGAAACATATGGCCCCCTGATAAAAGCAACCGCTATTAGGAAAAGATTCAAGAGCAAACAGGATGTCGAAACGAGAGTGTCAACTGCACTTACCCAAAAAAAGCCCGCGTAATTGCTCCAGTTCCATTCCCCCGGATTCAGCATATACGGTGTCAGCACGCTATTGATGATGCCAACAATGTTGCTGCAGGGCATAGTTAGCGGAAAATCCGAGAGACTCGGGATGAAGAGAGCAATATGTCAAAAGCCAGCACAAGATTGAAAAAAAAAGGAGTCCGTGGGCTCGAATGAGGCACATAGGTACTTACTAAAGGTTTCTCCCCAACACGACTGTCTTGATCTGGAGTCTACGTGACGACAACTCAGTTACAAGAGAATAGCACACGGTTCCCACCGTCAATTGATAGAAGAGTGCCCAAACAATCATGATGCTGCCGGTGGCTAGAGACCCTGCTCGGCGGTGGTCGTGAGGCACAAGGCCGAGAAATCCAAGGATGAACAGCATCGTACAGAGGCCGCAAAGTCCATATAGGTAGAGCGACCTTCGTCCGATACCCAGCGTCATCAAACCCCATGCCCCAAACACGCCAACCATGTTGATGGCGTACTGACCAAGAGCAAAAGAATATGCATCGCTGTCTGACAGGCCGGCTTGCTTCAGAAAGTAAGTCGAATAGTTGGAAAATGAATTTCCGCTCAAGTTTTGAATGGCCCACGTCATGCATACAATTTCGGTCCTTCGCAGATCAACGCCCTTGAAACAGTCCCAATACGAAGCTCCAGCAGTAATCTTCTCTTCTAGAGCAGTCGTATGCACCATCATGGCAATCGTCTCGTCGGCATCAAAATCTGTTTCCCGGTCGAGGCTGGTAAGGCGAAGGAGCGCTTTCTTGGCCTCTTCAGTCCTGCCCCTCCGCACCAACCACCATGGCGATTCCGGCGCAAAGAATATGCCGACAAACAGGGGCAGCGGCCACATCCATTGCAAAGCATATGGGATGCGGTATGCCCATTCGTCATCACGGCTCAGCATAGCGCGAATGACACCGATGCCGATTTCCTGGCCAAGTCCCCAGCAAAAGTTGACATAAGTGGTCAGATACCCACGTAGGGCAACAGGGCAGACCTCGGAGGCATAGGTGACGGCCAATGTCTGGAAAATACCCCATGGAATACCGCATAAAATCTCAGCGACCAAGAGGGTTTCAACGTTTGGGGCAGTGAAGAATATCGCGGTAAACGCCGTTACCATGACAAGACAGGCCATGACTGTATATCTGTAACCAAATCTTTCCGAGACGTAGCCATTGATGAAAAGACCAATGATTTCGCCCACCATTGCACCCTAATTCCCCTTGTCGTTAGTTGATGTCTCCTTCTGGACGAATCTTGTTGTCAAGTTGGGGTGGCATTGCAGCCTGGAAGGAGCAGCAAAGGGGACGCTCGTACGTTACTCAGACCCGCTTGCCACGGAGCAGTAACTTCGTAAGTTCCAGACTTTGGCTGATATTCGCCATACTTCTTGGTAAACTGGGGAAATGCGTCTAGATGTGGGCAAGGTTAGAGTCGTTATGACCGATGAGGGGCATTGATTGAACTCACAGAAATTGTTAACTAGGCTAATATCATAACCCTCCATAGCGATGCAGGTAGATATTAATACACTCCAGCCTACAGCCTTGGGGTATAGCTTGATACCTTGCCAAAGAGTCATGCCCTGTTCCTTGGCTGCGGCTGCCCTTGCGTTTTCGATAATGGTGCGATGTGTTTTGGATGGATCTAAAACGTCATGGCCATAGTCCTCGGCGACGGGAGCAACGTCTGCTGGCTGTACGGCGGCGCTTTCCGGGCGGCCGTTGTCCTGTCTGTCGACGGCCATGGTGTCGATTGTTGAACAGGGTATTGAAGTAGGCAAGGGTGCAAGTGAGTGAGCAAGCTTCTCGTGTGGCTACACGGTGATGCTTGGGAAAGGGACAGACGTTACCCCACAGACGTATGAGATGGGGGAGACGGAGATGTCAAAGAAGATGTAGTTTCAAGGCGCCCAGACCGAGATATCAGAGGCGGATAGCCAAGTGTGAGCATCCAAGTCTGGCAGACGTCAACAGGTGACGGGCGGCGGCGTCTTTATATAATGTTACCAGACGGGGAGTCGCACAGGAAGGTCAGCCACTGGTGATGTGAGGAGTGAAGCAGGGGAGGGAAGCGGGATGAGGTTAGTCGGGTGGCCCGGGCGTCTGGGCCATGGATCTAACAGCCGCCTTCATGCATCCGAGTTGCCCTGTGAGGCAGAGGCATGAAGCGGCGACCGAGAAGACGTGCAAGGACCCAAGGTTGCTGGGCACACACACGAAGATGTGCTGCTGCAGAAAATTTGGCCGCCACCGATGAAGATTTTGGGCCGATGGTGGGGAACAGACTAGTGGTACGGAGTAGTAGTACTAATATTTGAAATAAGGACCAGTTGACGCACCCCGGCTGTCAGCCGCCAAACAACCTGGGGTGCTTGGACAGGACAGGGGCATCGAACCGTCGGCTGGTCTGGCCATGCCTGGCAATTGAACAGTTCGTCTGTGGGGTCCAACAGGTTGACTGGCTTTCCAAAGTATTGACCAGACCAGACTACAATAGTGATCCATTGCTTGCTCTTACTCTACAGAAAGTTCTTTCGCACTCGTCCCGTAGTTTCATCCGGCGTCAATTGCATCGTGGCAGATACAGTCGATGAATCTCTGGGACATGAGCGAAGGATCCGAGTCATTCAAGGCCACCAATCCGCATGGCATGTGTGCTCTCTCTTGACAAACCCGCACGTTTCGTCAGTTGCTCGGTCGTCTTCCCCACGACCCCAGATGTGGGGAAGAAAGTCCAGATGTCCCTGTCCCTGGTTGACTACTGTGCCACGTTTGTCTGTCGCATTTTTAATGCTGGCGTCGTATTAATTCGAGGCAACCTCGACGAGTGCCCCAGGAAAGACTCCCCAAACGGCCCCAGGAGCAGGGGACAGCGTTCCCCGTGGTAATCGAGGATGATCCCGTCATTGGGCCACCTCGCCTTCGCCAGCCAGCCACGCATGCAGTCTGGTGCCTCCATCCCTGATATGCGGGGAGGAAGCGCTGCTCTGTTTTTGAGGGGTAGTAGCAGTAGCTACTTTACCTAAGTCCTTACTTAGGTAGGAACCTAGACCTACCTACTTTATACGGCGTACCTAAGCAGGTATTTATTATTTATAACTTTGGGACTCGCCGTCGACCAGAGCCAACATTGAAAACAAATTTCTCGCAATCAAAGCGCAACCTCGCATCCAAGATATGAATGCCGTTTTCTCGGCAGCCGACGCATCAGGCTGTGTTACTCTCCGTCCCTCCTCCAACTACCGGCCTATTTCATTACCCGAAGTCTGCCACCCCGTTATCCGTACAAGAGCATTGATAGGTGTGCAAGGTGATGGCTTGCCGTGGCGCTCACCTGCCGTTTATTTAAGCAATACCTCCCCTGGCCACAACGGCATCTTCCTCAATCAAACAGTGGTTTCGGAGGGGCTTCCACCCGCGTCTAGATGGCGTCCACCGCCACGCTTCTAAATGTCCAAATGCCCTCCCAGTGGCGCTCCCTATCTCGGTTTTGCGGCGGCGAAGCTAGCCTCGATGAGCCTTTCACAGCTCAGGCTGGGGCAGGCTTCTGATTTATTATCCGCCGTGCATTTCCCAGTCGAGATACAACCTGGGCAAAAGACTAAAGTGGCTTTCCGCCTGCTTTTCCCAGTCTTGAATATTCCCGAATATTACATATAATATTATTTTTTTTAAATCTTTTAGCACTACTCGACCGTGTACGCCATGACTCACTAGGGGTTTCGTTTTCCGCTGTGAGTTCAATAGTTTAGCAATCCCTCTGGATTTTTAACGGATTACTGGTATTGTTCGATCGGATGGGTCAAGTCATGTGGTCCAGAGAACTCAACAGTGTCAATATGATCCCATTTGCTTCCAGATTAATATACACGCCTACACATGAGACACATGGCTTGGACGAGCTATTTCTTTCGCCAAAAGTCCCTCCACCACTCTTTTAAGCCATATGCCTTCTCATTTCCCTCGGGGTGAATATTAACGCTGTGTCTTCCAATAAACATATCTATCAAACTTGAGTTGGCATTGTTCCCGACACGTGTTGCTTTGCCTGTTGCTTTGCGCCCTACCGTCCGAACCTTGATTTCGTCGGCGACGAGCGGCGCAACGTCTGCATAGCATGAGTTTAACTCCCTCTCCAATGAAAAGTATGGCTTCTTGGCCAGCTCGGGTGCCATCAGATTGTAGCTCCTGGTAATGTTGTTCAGATTCTGAATGGACAATTTCATGTAGGCATGTTCCGCTTCCTCCCAGGCTGGATCACGAAATGGCCTTTGGACCACGTTGACGGCGCCGACGCCGCCCGAGGCTGCTGTTGGGGTGGAATCTCCATGGACCTGAGCTGTGTTTGATATATTTCTCATAACAGGATGATGCGTGGCATTGGAAGACACGACAACTTGGTCCACGTTCTTGTATCTCGGATTGTGCGCCAGCTCTGCGTCGGCAAATGCTGCTGCTCGTTTCATTTGCTCCTCCAGTGTTCCCCCTCGTGAAGCTATCATCCTAGAAGCATGCCTTTTCCAATCATTCCGCAATCGCTCTCGAAATGTTCTTGCAGCTTTGCTTAATTCCTGTTGCTTTTCAATCCAAGGGGGAACAATCTCTTGGCGTTGAATCATCTTGTTCATAATGTACTCTGTTGTATCAATAAAAGGATTGTCGCTTCTTGGATCTCGTTCCATCTCTTTACCCCGGGGCAGGTTTTTGAACTGACCCCTCGAGATAGCATCTTCTATGCGTGAATTAGCTAGCGCGGTCAAACCGGAGATCGAGACAGGGACACTTCTGGCGGCGGGCTGGAACCGCTCTCGCAGCTCCGCCTTCATCTTCTCTCTCTCCTCGTCGCTCAGCCCTTTTGAAGCTTTCATGTCCATTCCTACATACATGCTAGCCTTGTCGCGAGCACTAGCCGCCCTTTGACCGTGAGTTTGCGGCACGCTGCGCCGAATTCGTGTGTCCACGACTGGCGGTTGAAACTTCACTTGACTTTGTGACTTTAGGCGTGGTTTAGCGTCATCTAGCATCCGCAATACCGCATCTTCGGTAGTCTCAGTGCCTGCCCAAGGACGCGAGCTGTGACTGTGCTGTATGCTTTTCGACGCAGATGATGGTATGCCTGCTTGGGCAAATGAGCCCGAGCATTGTCCTTCGAACTTGGCGTCTGCAATTTTATGGAGAAGCTTCTCCTTCAGCTCATCTGAAAACCCGGCATCTTCAATGGCGCGCCGTCCGGATAAACCACCTGTTAGAAGAGCTTCTTCCGTAGCCTCTTCTAGCCGGCGTGCCAATGGACCTGGTTCCTCTTGCCCATGTGAACCGTTTTTGTTGGCTAGGTCCTTTCCGCCGTCTCGTTTCCTATCACCCCCCTGAAGGCTTCGGAAATGCCTGACAGCTGCAGGAGCTTGTAAAGGTCGAGTGTGAAGAGCTTTGGCTGGCGAGGCACAACACTTAGGACACAAGCTGAGTCTCGTCATGTGATGAGATGAGGGCATGCTCATCAATGAGCCAAAAGATATACGGGGACAAAAATCGACAGAATGGGGATGCGAACGAGGAAATAATAGCGGATGGGTTTGCATAAAATCCACGTAAATCCTGGATGAAAGAAATGATGGTCTGGATAATGAACAGACTGGCTCCAGTCCCCATAAGCCCGGCGTCAGCTGGTGGGGCCGGCCGCCGAGAGCGCCGAGAGAACAGTCTGGTTCTGCGTAGACTTAGTCATCAGCGAAAGTAAAACAACGCCCATGCAGGACGGCTCTCTTGAGAAGCAACATTATGCCACCACCTAGCTAGCTACCTAGGTACGGGCCTTCCCTGCATATGTCCCGTGGAGGTGCTGGGTATCAAGCCCATTTTCTATTGACAACTTATACGGAGTATCGTTTCCCCATATATTCATAGCGTTCCCTGATTGACTTTGAGAGGATCCTCATACCGGCCCATAAACGAACGCTCTAACAGCTTCACTAAGACCCCAGTCGTATCACTCGGTTCGCAGTATTCATGAACTTCGCCGACCGTACGGCTCAAACGGGAACAGCGCAGAAACTATGGCTGCCACGATGAAGATGGCGGCGCAAACGTACAGCGGCGCTGATGTGGCTGTATTGGCCTCTGACGCAACCACCGCAGAGACAATGCCCATGATTCGATTGCAAGCCACGGCAACTCCATTTCCAGTTCCTCTGTGGGCGCTAGGAAGAACTTCTGGTGTGTATGCATAAAGGGTGCCGTAGTAAATGTTGAGGAAACAAGCTATCAAACAGGTAAAGGCCAAGTCCTGCACCGCGGTATTTACAGCCGTATAAGCGAAGAAGAATGCCATCGTTATGAGCGCACCGATGCTCATGGTATACTTTCTCCCGAGGATTCTCGTGTTGCACATGAACCCAGCAATAATAGGACCGGGAATACCGCAGATGTTGGTTATGGCATAATTACGCCATGTTTCGAACTGGGTTCGGTGGAACTTCAAGCCGTGGTTTTCCAGGTATGTACTGTATCCTTATTAGTACTTTACGCGGAATGAAGACGAAATAAAGGGGGCCCGAATGAGGGAGAGAAAGGAGGGGGTCGGGCGGATCAAGGGGGGGAAATTAGGACAACTGTGTGTTGAAATTTAAGCTGGATGATAGGGGTTTCCAAAGTGTCAAACCATGAACTTACGGTAAGAATACGTAGAACAATGGGTAGGCCAGACCGATGAGAGTCCAAGAAAGCCAGATCATGAGCGTAGAGATGGCAATCTTCTTGGTTGAAAAAAGACCACTGAAATGTACAAGAGACTTTTGCAAGGAGAAACCCTTCGGGTCTTGCACTGCTCGGATAGTTCCGCATGCCTGCAACTTCTCCAATGTCAAGGAACAAGGACGATTGTACTTGGTGGCCAGGTAATGGAAGGTCTCAACCACCTTTTCGTCCTCACCCATGCCCAGAAGATACTTTGGCGTCTCTCGCAGTCGAACAACTGTGATTCGAAGAAGAGACATGACCAGGACCAGCGCCCCCCCGGTGAAGAGGCCATACCGCCAACCCCAGTTGTCAGCCTTGGAGCAGGACACTGCATCTACACTGCAATTCCACCTCTCAGGGACCAGGAATCCCCAGCCGATAAATCCTGTAATAGCCTGACCAAAGCCCCACCAACATGCAAGAAATGTTAGAAGCCACTGCTTGTTGCTGGGGAGATATTCGAGGAAAACGGTTGTGTCCATGATCAAATTGCCTCCCCCACCGAAGCCCAAAAGGGCGATGAAGAGCGCGAGACTGGGCCAACTTGGCATGGCACCGGCAACGATGCAGCATACGGAGCACATGAAGAGAGAGATGTTGAAGGCGTACTTGCGGCCAATTATATCGGCACTGAACCCCCAGAAGAGGGCGCCTGATAGCATACCACAGTACACGGCAATCGTGAGAGCGTTTGCGTAGCCACTACGGAACTCACGATGAGCCGGCCCTGCGATAATGGACTGGAAAAGGAGAATCATGGAATCTACAGCATATCTTTGGGTTTATCAGCGTCGGTCGGGACCAAGAGGGTTCCAAATAAATGAATGCTCGGGGTACATGCAAGTACATGCAAACGCCATACACGACTCGAGAGTCGACTTACCCGAAACCATTGAGGAAGAAGAGCTTTAGGTGATACGGAGTCCAGCCAATCTCATCAATTGCCTTTGAAATGTGGCTGTTAGCACTGTAAACAGAAAGGCCACAACCGACCGCAGGACGTGAAGGCCTCCATGAATCGTGGCCCCGACGAGCAACTGCGCATCACCTGCAAAGCACTCACATTGTTGACCAAGTGCATTTTCATATTCAGGGCCGGGTCGAGGTCTTGGAGCGCAAGAATATCCTCACCGTCGTGCAGCGAGGATCCGTCGGCAGTGCGGACATCGCCATGACGTAGCAAATCGTCCTTGTGTCGTTGACCGACCTTCTCCTCCAGCTTTGCAGGGTCAATGGCCGACTTGCCCAGACTCTGATGATCCATTGTATCAGGCTCAGAGGGAGCTCGGGCGCATTGGCAGTCGCGATCAATGTCAATGGCCCAGCCTAACAATTGCGATCCCTCCTCGCTCGGCTATGAGGCGCCAGGAATGCGGTGATGACGGGCTTGGCTGTGGCACAACTGCGGACCTCCAATACCCAATGCCAATTCCTTTCGAGGGTTGTTGCCAGAGGTGAGGCTAAACACAATTTACGCGAGACTTGAACGACATGGAAGAAAAACACGGCTCAAGCAGACGGGAATCGACAACGTGGGGGAGCAAGGGGCTCAGAAAGGGTGGTGGACGAGGACAGACGAGAGCGCCGGGAGAAGACCAAGCTCGAATGAGGTCAGAGTCTCAGGCCAAGCAGCGCTATTTAAAGCTTTCCAAGAAGTGATGCAGCTGGTTCAACGTGGTCAAGGTTTTGGGGCGAGCTTGCTTTCCATCCTCCAACGACCTGGGGTGTGGGCACGCGATGCCTTGCTGCATCCTCCATGACCCATGCCTTGTAGGTTAGTGCCAATTGATGTCTCCAAGTCCCTCGTCATAGCCCGTGTCCTTGGAGTGTCTCGTGTCCTTTGAAGATGTCAACAATTACACCAGGCCCCAAACGCGGCTACATATACGGCTCAAATTGCCGCGGCGTCATTGGCGGGCCAAGAGACACGGGTGACGGGATGCACCTTGTAGTGATCGATGGTGACTGTCAATGGTTTCAATGTTTCGCCCGGTACATAATAATTGTCAGTACGCTGAGCTTTGCTGGCTTGCCAAAACGCCCTGCGGGGTCATGGTGTGAGCACTGAGTGTTTACTGGTAGGTGTTGTTGACTGCATGTGGTCTTTTGCACTTGACTTGACATGTGGTGAGACGGCGGTGGAGACATCAAATTACTGGGACTTGTTGGCTCCCTTGGCTGGCCAGGCTCCATGTCGGCGCGTGCATTGAGAGCACGGCGCTGATAGGCTGCCTAGAGCGAGCGTTGAATTGATGGCATTGACTGGTCAAGGCGCTGGGTGCCTTGTGCGCCACAAGAGCTGCTGCGGTGTTCAACGTTGAATGTTGTGTGCTCCGTCCGTAATACCACACAAACCGATCGAGACGCTCTGATCGACGCATTTCGCCCATTGTGTCTGCGCGACGATCCGGTAGCCCCAGGTTCGTTGCCTAGTGGCAAGAATCATCAATCCGTCTTCATTTCAGATCCGTTTCGAATAGCAAACGTTGGACCGAGAGCCAAACGGCGCCCAGGCGTTCCACATTCTCTGCGCTCTTTTCCGGCCAGAAGCGGACACGCCATGCTTAAGCCGGCCGAGTCAAGGAGTCGACTCGGAGCGCACATCTTCTTCTCTTGGCCCCCCCGAGGCAGCTGTGACTAAACACGACATGGCAGCACGGCTTTTGCTAGGTTGCGCCGGTTGACTGATTGATTCGACTTGGCGCGCCAATTTCGCCAGCAGGCTCTACAAGATAGTGGGAAACACACTGAGACGACTCAAGAACAAGACTGCTGAGCTTGTCCATCATGTCGAATGGCCGAAATGTCTATTCAAATGGCTGACATAGTCTATCTCGCGGAGAAGATGCAGACTTTTGTTCTGGTGGAAGATGGCCTCATACCATTTGACATGATCATGTGCCACCCGTTTTATCATCTATCCTGTTCTCCCATGCAATTTTGAGTTCAACTCAGGCGGCCCTTGATGTTCTAACCAAACGCCATGCCCCCAAAGTCAGATTTTCCCGAGGATGAGTCCTGTCAATGAGACGAAATTGACAACCATATTGCCAAGCTCGAGTCTAGCCCGATATCCAAAATTAAAAGCGTGTAATGTGTTGTGCTCAAAGCAAAACAAAAAAGCAACATGCATACCAAAAACAGTCAACAAATTTTCGTCTGCCTCGATCAACGAGATCACACCGTAAATTGACATCAAATCTGACTCCCCTCAATTACTTCTCGTTCCAGAACTTCCACTTCACCAGTCTCTCCAGTACGGCGACGTTCTATTACCCAGCGTGTTTCCCCGCTGTCCTCTTCTCTCAAATAGGATACGCTATCTGCTGATCCTTTATGGTGGTGACCTTTCACTGGGGACCGAGTAGGCTCGCTCAGTGTGTATTCATCCGCTCGATTGTGGGCATCGGCGGTGGAACTTCTCCGACGTATCGGGCCTTCATTTATATCATGTGAAGTTGGGACATCAGGACCCGAGGCGACAGAGTTGCCTTGAACTGTTGCAACAGTCGAATGCCCACCGACGCTAACATCTGTGGCATCTTCTTCGAGTATTGCAGCTCGTGACCAGTGATCCAGGCTCATGGTAGCCATAGTCATTGTAGGGCTTCCTGAGGCACTTGCTGCGTCTGAATCATAGCCCACGGCTGAAAATGCAGAAGACATCCTGCCCTGGCCCTGGTTTGCTTGGCTGGCTTGGCCAACGGAAGTTGACATCCACTGTGAGTTGGAAACATCTCCTCGGTCCGACCTTGGGGAACCCTCTCTGCTGGAGGCAAGGCTGGCTTGAGAGCCACCCCATGCCCTGGATCGTAGACGAAGAAGTGCTGAGAGTGTCATTTGATCGTCTCCGCAGTCTGCCATCATGGCCAGTTGTGCCAGTCCAGGGCTTTGAACAATCGGAGTTGATGTACTGAGTGGAGCATAACCCAAGCTCATGAATGAATTCCGATTGGAGTATTCGGACCTCTCAGTAATGGGAGTAAGGTTTGGTTCGCGGGATATCATCCTTCCACTGGTGCTTCGATTCAGTGCGCCTATGCCTTCCGGGCCAAAGAAGCCTCCGTTTGCATATTCATACTCCTTGAGGCTGGAAGATCCGCCGTTGTGAGCCGCAGGATGGAGGCCAGGGGGTGCGGAGTAGAACCCAAATTCTTGGCCGTACCAACCGTCGGAGTCACTTGCCAAAGCACTGGCATTCGCCTCGGCAATAATTGCGTCGTCATCAAAGTCGAAGTCATTATCTTCATCGTCATAACCACTGTAAATATTATTTTCATGAACCTCCGAAGCGGAATCATCATCGCCTAAACCTGGGTTGGAAGAGGGCGATGAGCTTCTCTGGAACTTGCCAGAAGCAGCTGCTCTGTGGGCAGCTGCAGCTAAAGCTGCTTGATAGGCAGCCACAGACTTGGCACCGTCACTTGCAAGTTGCGAAGTTCTGTTTTCACTCCCCAGTTCTGATTTCTTTTCATCACATCCACCTGTCTCCTCCTCTTCCTGTCCGTCAGCACTGACCGACGTGTGAGCAGTCGAGCGAGAGACAACAGAATGGGCTGAAAGACGGGAGGTTATGTCCGACTCTCGCTTTGTAGAGCTCTGTTGATCAGCGCGACGCAGTGATTGGGCCTGTTGAAAAGCACCAGGGACAGGCCTGCCAAACTGATCCGTATCATTATTGTCGAAGATGGACTCGTCAAAGGGTTGATCAGCTGCATCCGGCGAAGCTGCCAGATCCTCGGCAAATTCATTCTCAAATCCAATCATGCCGTCGTCAAAATATAAATCGTCTTCCTTAACGTTCTGGTAGTTGTTACTTGCTAAAGGTGCAGTGGCATCTAGAATGCCCAAACCAGATGCTCTGTGCTCAGAGACATCGTCTTCGCTCGGGGCAGGCAATGGAGATGACATAGGAAAGGTGGAGGTGCCAGGGGTGTCTTTGGTCATGGCAAACCCAATAACATTGCCATCAGCGTCCCGAGGTGTTATCAACATGCCAGTACTATATGGGCTCGCAAGTGCGGATGCAGTGTTTGAGCGTTGGAAATCAAAGCCCGCAAAATTCTCCTGGTCGTTATCAGGGTCTAACTCGACATCCAAATCGTACGACTCAGGGACTTCTTCGTCGTCAAAGTCTGCATTTACGCCGGGTATTCTCTCCTCAAAACCATCATCGTCCATCATTGCGTCATAATCAAACGCATCCTCGTCAAAATCGTCGAACCTCGAATCTCGGAAGTCGTCATTATCGTTCGTTTTACGCTCAAGCTCTCTTTGCCGATGCCGTTCTTCCAGCAATTTCTCTTGCTTTGCTGCCCCAACCATATCGAAACTGAATCTAGACGATGTGCTCTTCATATGTCTGGGAATCGCAGACATTGACATCTCAGACAGAGAGATGTTTCGCGAACGCGTTGTACGTATGGATGGAGACGCCTTTGGGCTTGTCTCTTCTCTCTCAAGCGCACTGGCCGTGGAAGTAGATCGAGGCAATTTGGGATTCTCTTCCGTGTGTGGTTGTTGCGAAGTATCAATAGATGGTGCATTGTCAGTAGCAGCGGTTGTCGGCCTGTCGGAAAAGCTTATCTTGGACTCCGGTTGCGCTCTTGGCAAATTTTCGGCATGGTCAGAAGACTGACTTCCTGACGTTGTTTTGACCGATTGTGGCGCGCTTCTACGGGCGTGTACTGAAGGCTCTCCAGACAAATTTAGTGCAATAGGTTGGTTCTCCTTGGAAGATGTGAGGTGGATGTCAGAAACAGAACGGGATGATTCTGGGTTTCCACCGTATATATCCCTTGGTTTTCTAGGTGCACTAAAATCGTGTACTCGGGTCCCTCTAATGCGAGGATCGTAGGTCGGTTCCTCATCTTTATTGTTTAGTGGCAGGGGGCGCAAGTCCGGCGCATTCTGGTTATTTCTCCGTCTCATCAAAAGCGTCGACATGGGGTTCTTCAAGAATGGAAGACCTTTCTTTCCTTTCTGAGGTTCGACTGCCACAGAACTTGGTGTATTGGCGAGTGCAAACGGCGCTTCTTGAGGGAGTCTGGCCCCGGCAGGGCGTCGCCCGAGGTTGGATGCATTAGATACTTGTAAATCGGTTGGCGCACTGAACGACGCGACCTGCTTGAACTGGCTACTTCTAGAGATGTCTAGAGTTGGCTCCAAATAACTAGGACGGGGACGACCCGAAGTATCCTCAGGATGAACAGGAGTATTGCCACTACCCGTTCTATCGCCAGTCTCAGTTCTTGAGGCCTTTTGCTGCGCTTCAACATCTCTACGATAATTTTGCAGGGCCATTCCGCCAATAAAGCCTACATCTCCATTATAGGACGAGCGCTGTGACTGATGTGGGCGGCTTTCTGGTATCAACCCGGCGCCATTTTGTCGTTCGTCCCGTTCTTGTCGAGAGCCGGAGTCGTCGGAGGTAACTCTAGTGATGGGCGGTAGTGTTGGTGCAGAGGACGAGGTTGCCGAAGGGGGCATTCCATCCAAAGGAGAGGCAGAAGCGAGCGCCACTGGTGACTCGCTATTGCTGAGAGGGGAAGCCGATTGTTGTTGGTCGGGGATAGGTGAGGTCGGGTTCGAGGTTCCTCTCCGATGAAAGCGCAGATGGGAGAGCATGATGGCGGCTCCGGCTGATCAGGGCGGCGCTGTATCGACGGCGCAAATCGAGCAGTCGAGAGATGCCAACGCCGCTGTGCATGTGTCTCCGGTACGACAACAGCGCAGCATCCAAGGGAGCCTTGCCCGGCTGCAAATCATCTACGGCGAGTTGCAACGGGCCAAATCCCAAATCATAGGCAGCTTACTCCGTATTATGCCGCAGCGTTGTATGCCTCGAGGTTCGACGTGACGGGTGTTTGTGCGCCACGGTGTCACGATGTCGATCGCGTTCTGAGGAAGCGTGGGTATGAACAGCTTCGCGGAGCAGAGTCAGTCAGTCAGCCTTGACGTTGCCTGGGCTACTCGGTAGAATCGGCCAAGCTACTTAAGTATGCGCTGGGGACGTCTCGATGGAATGCTCGGCACTCCGTGCATGTGTTTTGTTAGGGATTCCTCACATACCTCTCTACCAGGCAAGTAGTACTCGGTATGTACTTTCGGATTGCGCGCAACGACGGGCAGATATGGCCAGACCGAGAAACGTCCAGCCCGGGTATTATTTGTGTTCTCGAGTAATATGGAGCACCTGGTTGCCATGCAATGCTCAGGGTTATCCATGCTTTGTCTGACCAGACATGCCTCAACCAAGATCTGGCACGCACTACCCGCACCTCTCGCCATAACACACAATTACGTACGTACTGAAGCGCTCAACCCCGCAAGTTTCATTTTCTATCTGATTTCAGTGCAAACTACAACCACTAAAGATTACAAGCCGGCAACCCATCCTTTGCTTCCTAGTAGATAACGGTAGAGCCACTTGCGTGATGCAATCAGACGGAACTTAGTGGCCGAATTGGCCAACAGTTGTTACACGTTGAGCGAGCCAGGATCAGTTGCCGCCTAGCCATCCCTGGGGCTTGTAGCAATCGTGGGCACACGGCGAATATCTGCTCAGGTCGCGCTTGCACATGGATCAACTCTGGTGTACCGTACAATGCAGGAGGATGACAGCAACGCCGCCATGTTCCTTGGATAGCATAGCAAAAGGTGGTTGACAGTTAATTGATTTGCTTGGCTACTACTTACCTAGTACCTAAGTAAAGTACCTATAGCAAGAGCCTTGCTGCACTAGAGTCCCGGCGGGAATTTTACTGTCAATTGAACGTATCGCGCCAGCTTCCTGGACCTTTTAACTCATGGTTCTCTGCGCTGTTTTGACGGGCCGACGTCGCAACGACATCAGCTTACCGAAAACTCTTACATATACTATGTTCGCATACTAGACGACCCCAGCTTCTAGATCGATTCTTTATCATGTAGTGACAAGGTTCGAGCAACCAGAATCACTCAGTACGACTGGTCTTGTGGGCTGCCTCCAGTCACTGATCTGCTACACTCGGCAAAATCATACAAAGGCCCATCACTGATCAGGGCTCTCGTCCACTTGCCAACATATTCGTTGCGGAGTCGGTGTTCAATAGTATTTTGTTGGGAAACGTATCTAGTGGCAAGGATATGATACGTGGCCGAGGCTATGACAAGAAGAGCCAACCCAATTGCCTTGTCAACCCTGTCATCATCATAATGTAGTCTGGTCACGCTTGGACTAGATAGTCATGGCGCGTGATCGCCACCACCACCAGCCTTTCCATGCTGAACTCTCGCAGCTGAGGTAGACTCCTTCTTAAATGTTAGAAACTGGTGAGCCATGTTCAAAGTGCACGAGGCTCAAGTTTCAGATGACACTGAGTTGCATAGGCAGCACCTGCAAGACTATAAGCACGGCAGGCACGTTTGAGCGTCACGTCAACCCTGAGAACATCTGACTCCTACATCCAGGTATGCCTCCGTAGGTAATTATTAATAGAGTTCTATTTCTTCTTCTTCAGCGAAAGACGTCTTTCAAGATGGCACACAAGAATTACACACCGTCAACCCTTGCCAGTGCGATGCAGCTCAAAACTCGAAAGGAGAAAAAGTTCGACGAGATCGAGTCCAGACTTGGTCTTGCCAAAAGCTCCACGATACCACTGGCACAAGGACAGTCGCGCCTCACCGGCTGGCTCAATCGATTCAATCTACTCCAGCCATTTGCAAAACCTGCGACAGACAATGACATTGTCTGGCTGCTCGATAACACCGCCTACAAATCCACGAGAACAGGGGGCTGGCAGGCCGAGTTTGTTGCCGCCGTGTTCGAGCGTGAGGACAAGGAAACGCTCATGGATATGGTGACGGGAGTTATACGCGCAGTGGGATTAGCAGATGATGCCGCCGAACGCGACACAGTTGAAGAGAGAGTTCTTCCGTTTCTCTGGGATATTCGTCCTGCCACAATTGTCACGGCTAGCCAAAACAGCAAGGAGTTGAAGTTGGGGCCAACAAATATTAACGGGCTTACCTCGAATATGCTGAAAATCTCAAGTGGCAACAGCGGCTCACTTGTGAATGCGTCCACAAAGATTGGCGGTGGCCGTGGCAGCATCATCAAGATGCAAACATACTATGCCGGAGAAGACGGTTGGGGGATTATTTCTGGTATGCGAAATCGATTTGTACCACCCTCTGTCTCTTGCTTCCTCATATCGGCACCAAACACTAACAGCTCGCAGATATAGATGACACAATCAAGGTCACGATGACGAGTGACCCAGTCGGTATACTCCGCGAAACGTTCATCAACTCGCCAGCTCCTATCCCTGGAATGCCCGAGCTTTATACAGAGATCAAGTCCTTTTTACCAAAAGACACTGCCTGGTTCTACCTTTCAGCCTCTCCATACAACCTGTATCCCTTTTTGAAACAGTTCCGGAAGCAATATTATCCACCAGGTACTTTGATTCTTCGTGATTCAAGCTGGAAAACGGTGGCGGGCTTGCTTTCTGCGTTGACACTGAGAACGGAGGAATATAAGGTGGATCGGATGAAGAAAATAAACAGGTGGCTACCAAGGAGGAAAATGATTGTGATTGGAGATTCGACGCAATCGGACCCAGAGGCGTACGGGGAAATGTAAGTTGATTCTCTGCCCTGAATTCTTCAGTACATCGTGAGAGGAAGAAGCTAATACGATGCGGTTAGGTATCGAACTGTGCCAGGATGGATTAGACTCATTTTGATACGAAAGGCCACCGATGTTGCCGCTGTTGGGATTGATGAGAAGAACGAGCCAGAGAGATTCGAGAAAGCCTTCAAGGACATTCCTCGTGACGCCTGGCACGTGTTCGAAGATCCAAAAGAGTGTGTGGAGATCATTGGGAAGACTATACAGAGAGAGAATTGAGGCTTTTGACAAGTCCTCTTATGCAAATTAGGGTTCAAGAGTGGTGCTACAAAGCATTATTAACATTGGATTGAGGGCATAAATTTCAGACAGTTTCGGTTGAACCAGTTGCTTAGCCCAAAACCATGCTGGGAGTTGGAAGACACCTGAGAACGTCGGCGGTGCATTTCCCGATAATAACAATTCGTTCTACAGTAGTAGTAGTCGACGAACCTGGAATCCACGTATTACATGAGCTCGTACAATCAATACAAGCTCCCTTCTTTCTCCAGGTTGACGTGAACACTTTTTGAAGTCATGTGAACTAAAGAAAGCCCTCACCGTCCGAGGTCACGAGCCCGCGCCTGTGAGATATGCGCGTAAGAAGAGGGCGGTTTCAGCTTTGGGACGAAACCAAACCAGCACTGTAACGTCAGGAGAGATAGATATTCCGACACGGATCAAGGCAAGAAATACCTAATGGTAGCAGGTTTTGAATATGGAGTAGCTACCTACGTACCTACGTACCTACATTACCTAGCATGTAACAAGGACAAGTGCCTACCTAAGTAGGTAGGTATATATGCACGGCGCCATGCATCACGCCATGACAAGATAAGATCCGCATTGGATATCCCGACTGCCAGCCTTCCAAGTAGCCCCGGTTCCCCGGATTCCGATCAGCATATTTGGACAGGGGCAATATTGGACAGGCAGGCTGTTATGCAATCAAGGGGGTTGGCGGTTTGGGCTCAGAGGCCTTGTCCCATTGGTGTTCCGACTTCGCCCGTAGGCATCGTCACATTTACTGGGGTGACATGCAACTGGAGATGCCGATTATCAGCAGATGATCGGAACTGGTGGTTTAATGGCCTTGTGTCGAGCTTTGCACAGCATAAAGTTCGCAGCAAAAAGTGGGCAGACAGACGTCGCGTTTGTCCGGCCGCTCTTGACACCACATCTGCTCACCTACGTAGTAGTATTACGTACGTTTCGACGCGGGATGGGCCGGGACCCGCGGGACGGACAACTCGGTATCTACCTAGGTACCTAGATTTAGAGGCAAGTGAGAATGGCAAAATACCGACTTGACTCGACAATTGTGAAACGCCGGCGACTAGCGGCTTACCTGCCTTGGGTAGGTCTCTAAGTACTTAAGTACTTAAAGTATTAGGTCATGTTCGTGGGTGCTTCAGGCCATTTCGTACTGCGTGCGGCGAACTACTGAACTCTCTCCTCCCAATGGTGGAACGAGAGCTTTTTGCGCGTCTCCGAGAGTCGGAGCCATGTGCCCTGCATGCATGTGCCTAGGCACCTACGTGGTTACTCCGCACCGAAAAATTCGAGTCTGCACCGACTGAACAGTTCTCCAGTTGTCCGGTGCTGCTCCGGTTTCTTCCTCACCACCCAGGTACCCAGGTACTCAACGCAGGGCGAGACATGGCGCATCAGATGTTGGAGGCAAGGATGAGCATTCAAAATCATGAGCAAAACCAAGCACCCCGACAACCCGAGTCCTCGCCGAGCTAGCATCATCAATCATCATGTCGCGCGTGAAAGTGCACATGAATGGTCAATGAATGGCTTTTGGGGCCTTGGGAAGGACATCTAGGCGTCTAGAGGTGGTCCGGTCAATTGATGTCTGTGGCCGGTGTAGCTTGGTGCGCCGCCCGCTGCAGAAGTTTGGAGGTACGGAGTACTGCATACTGACTGTACTACTAGTAGTGTCTTTGTGTTCCGTCGCCAGCAGTTCGGTATAAATCAAAGGAACAATGGATTGACGTGATGGTGGCCCGACCTTCTCGCGTCATCGGCTGACCCAATTTCCCCGGACTCCGGTGCAATTCGTAATGTGCAGCCCATGTGCAAGCAATGGGCAATGCTGATGTTGCCCGACATTCAACCCTCTCTCTGGAGGTTCAGATGAGTTCCCGCTAGGTACATAAAGTACCCAGGTACATTGTACACATACTCCGTACTCCGCCCTTGGCAGAGTCCGGTGCGGCTACTGCTGGGTTACATGTGGCGCCTGCAAGTCCCCAAGCATCTGAAAATTCCGCGACTACCCCCATCGTTATCAAAAAATATTATACTTGAAATATCATAATACATACTCCGTACTCCGTACAGACTTGCACGAGGTCCCCATCCTTATCCACCTCAGGCCATAACACCACAACGTCGGGCAGCTTTCTCTCCTCTTCGCCTTCTACCTCCTCCATCTTTCTCTCCTCGTTCCCGCCAGCTCGCCTCTCTATTCTTCCATTTAATCGATTGCATTTCTCCATCCGCGCATCCGTGCTCGATAACCAGTCACCAAAGTACCACCACGGACTCCTCTGTTCACACGCAACCAGCTGCCACCGAAGCCAAAAGGCCCATCAACGCTCCTCCACCCCCAAGCCAGAAACCAAGAACCATGATTGGCACCAGAGCTCTCCGACAGGCTGCTGCGCACGCCGAGCGCACTCCTCTGATCAGGTTCATCGGTCCCCGCTCTATCCCCAGTGAGTAAACCCATCGTCAACCGGGCGCTCCGTGACGACCTCTCACTGACATGCACATCTCTCCCAGCCGCCATCGACCACACTCCCAAGCCTCACCCTGCCTCGCCCACTGGGTCTTTGCCAGAGTCCTTCGCTGCCTATGGGAATGGCTCTACAGCCTCTCGACACGCCTCATTCAGTTCCTACCGTGACCACGCCCAACAGCACGGACCTCTGCAGAAGACTATCCGCAACGCTGACAGTGGTGTTGGCGGCGCATCTGGATCCCAGCTTGGTCCCATCAACCCTCCGTCCGGAGTCTTCTTTGATGTCTCTGAGCTCCCGGCCCGATTCCGCAGAGCACCCATTGACATGGCTGAGATTGAGGCCGTTGAGTCTGGTGGTGCAGCCTTGGTAGGCTAAATAATTACCATTGGCTTGAGGGGTAGAAGAGGAAGAAGTTATGAAAATCCGGAGAGGAGAAAAGTGATGGCCGAGCCACCGACAAGGCAGTGCAATGTTCTGTATTGTGTGTTTTGGCAAGAATTATACCCAAGCGTCGTTGGCGGCAGTGTCGAATGGTTTCTGAGCCCTGGGCCCCAGGCTTGATTGGGCGCAATATCTCGACGCGGCGACCAATGGGCATTATCGACATGTCGACATTTCAATTGGACAATGAGATGTGTCTCGCTACTGTACTTTATTCTCATATCAGAACTTGAAGTCGACTCCAGGCCTTGAAGAACTACGGCCCAAGTTAGTGTAGGCATCTAATGCACGATGCCTCATCACTTGACGCGAACGAACTATCTACGTCGGATGGGAAACGACAGCAGAGGCTAGCGCAACGTTTGTGTTTTCAGTTTTTCTATCCTTTGAGAGTAGTGGGCTTTCTCGAGGGCGTCATGGGCAAAACATGTATATAGCACATCTGAGCCTATAAGAAGCTATCAAGATTTCTCTCAAACTTCCTCGAGATGACTGCCCATAGTGTTTGGATGTGATTTATGACTGATAGACAACGGTGCGAGTTCCCAGTCTCTGACGCTAATTACGTGGCATGATTTAGATCCTACGGCGAGAGAACAGCCAAGTCCTGGAGGCAGCAGCTAGGCAAGTGTTCCGTAAATTTGATGGAGCATATGGACGACCAATTCGGCATCCCGGGAAGGAAAATGGCATCAGCCCCTATTATCGATTCGCCCTTATCTTCTCTCTTGGAGTGACGCACACTGAAACTGTCTTTTCGAGTCCACCGCTGCTCTGACGGCTAAAACTGCGTGGTCGTCCTTAGACAAAGGACGGATAATCACGTTTGGCTTGACATGCGTCCATGGGGATGGTACGGCTAGATAGCGTGTATCGGCGATCATGATGGCATTCCGCTGGACCACGTAGTCCTGGAGCAAACTGATCTGACGGTGGCGGTCCTTGGCCTATTATCCTCTATATCCAGCTTATAAGTGTGCTCCTATGGCTCCTGGTAAGATCGTAGCTTGGTGTCAGGGGGTACATTGGAGAGACTCTTGCAGCTCTTCCGAGCGATTATTCCATGTGATGGTAATAACTGGAAGGTAATTATAAACTTCAAGGCGGCAATACCCAATAACGAGCCGTCTTGTGCCATTGCTTCGCTAGTTCATCGCGACCAATAGAACTCTCATGAGAAAACACAGCCGTCACAAATCTAGAGAGTCGATACTGAGAACAGTCTCTGACCTCGCTCGTCCTATTGCCATACACGCTCTTTCTCTTTTCCGCTATTGGATTCGCAGCTTTGCGCTTGGTTTGACAACAGAATTCGTCAGCCAAGTTGGAGAATCAAGAGCCCCGTCTGGAGAAACTAAACGATACGATACGTCACGCCTTGCAGTCAAATTAGTCTGAGATCTCACAGCAACCACGAAAATGTAGCGTAGAAGCTTGCTGACATTTACGTCGATGAAACAAAGATTTGGTATTTGGACACCTGGTGGTGGCAAGGTAAGCCTTGCCCAAAGTCGAATCCTCATTTCCAAATCTCTCGGTGCCGTTCTAGACTTGAATAACTCCTTTTCTCTGCTCTTCTTCTCTTTCTCGCTGAAACAGAATATCTGCCCACCACCAGACTAGGCTTCAATCTCGATCAACCAAGTGTCACAGCGGCCATCAGGTTTGGCCATGGAGTCAAGGGGCAAGTAGATGCAAGGATGGCGGTCCTTGGACCGAATATTCCCCATACGCAGCCTACGAATATGCCCTTTCGGCCTGTTGACATCCAGAAACAGGGCTCTCTCTGCTCATTGTTGCTTGCCTCTCGGAGTTGGCAAGACACGATGGGACCAACCATGTTATCGCAGACGTGAGCCAGAAACACCAGTCTCGGCAACCCCGTGGCTCTCAGGGACCTACAATATGGATAGATGGTAAAGAAATCACCAGACACGAATGTAGTTGGCCTCGCGACCTATTCTATGCTACATGACATGCGGCCGTGGGACTATATACGAGGTTGCTCGTCTGCCTGGTCAAAAGTCCCCAACTGAAAAGGCAATGGTAAGGTAAGTCTTGGCCCGTCACTGACGTTCCAGCCCAACTTATACATTTGGTCAGTGAGAGCAAGGCGCGTATGAAGTCTGTTTCAGTACAGTCTTAAATAAGAGTTTTCGAGCAAACCCAGGGACGATATACGACATTTACGAAGAAGTACATACCGCATCCTATTGTCGATGTGTGATCTAGCCACAGTACTGGATGACAGAGTCCTAATTTTTGTTTACAAGATGTCGCAATGGGGGTTTGTTTGTCTGTTTTTCTATTTACTTTTTATGTTCTTAAAAAAGAAAAGAAAACGAAAACGAAAACGAAAACGAAAAAAAACGACAACAAGTCTACTTTCAAAGGCTCAATAGCCGCGGAATATACCGTTACGTATTTCTATCTACCCTAAACCGCGCCGAGTTCGTCACATTCGATATAAACCTTGGGTATCCGCTAAACACAGATGACGACCACAATCCTACTCGGGCTTCATTGCAATACAAGACCCATGTCCGTCTCTCATCCCACGTCCCCTCAATTTCAGTTCAAGGCATTGATTGAAGTGTCGCGCGTCTTCTCAGTCCCAACGCGTCCATGCGGCACCGCCTCATACACATGGCGCATCGTGAAGACGCAACTGGTGGGGTTTGAGCTCCGCGGCAGATGATGCTTTTACGTACAATTATCTCGGCTCCATCGTAATTCTGGGTCTGGGGTTATGTGGAGTCCGTTACTCCGGTAGTGTGAACATGGCCAGATGATGTCTGGGGATGTCTGGGGATTGTGGGGAGCGGCAATCATGGCCAGAACCTCTCCGCGACGGCGGGTTTTGAGAAGCGACGTCGTCGTGATGTTTGCGTCTTGTCACGACTTAGCGGCAAATCACTACGCAGCATTTATCCAGGGAAAGCCACTATTTGCCTCAAGACACGATTCATTTCCCCGGTTTGACAGCGGCATGGGGGATGCTCCTTGCTTCTTATGAGCCTGCTAAAACCGTCACTGGCCGAGCCAAGTTATATGTCCATACAATTTCTGCCCTTGTTTTTGCCATTGTGAAAATGGCCGAACGCTCTAGTCAAGCCACCAAGCCACCGTTTTGTCAGTCTTTTCTCCTTGCGACACCCCTCCTCGTCCCCTTCGGAGAGTCCGATTTTTATCCATCTGCGAGATGGATGCGGGGAAGCTGAATTTGGTGTAAAAATGAGGGGAACAATTCCCACTACGTGCTGGTATCTCATTGCTGCCTCCACACGGGACGCAAGGCTTGACAGCATCATGGCGTTGTGGCGGTCGATTGCATCTCTCTAGAAGGCGCCGTGACGAGAAACACGCAATTTGTTGAGCTACAATGCCGTCACTGTCTCGAGGTTAGCGTTGCGGTGGCGATGCTTGATTGCAATTTAAACTCCCATATCAAGCCAACCTGGTAGTTACCCAACAGGCCATCCTGACACGGTTGATGATTATGACCATGGCAATGGACGACAGATGCGCTGCTCCCAAGCATGGAGCAGAGTTCTCTTCTGTCTTGCGGCTCCAATCATATGTTTGCGCCGTAGAATCAGACGATTAGCATTGTTTGGTCGAGCCATGTCTACCCGACCAGGCCACCTGATCCCATCACAAAATTGATACCACAGCCACCTCCCTTGTCCAGGAGATACTAACGCGAATCTCCTTCTAGCTTATCGCACAGCATCGGATTATTCGCATCTATCTGGTCTTTGGCTCGGACAGATAGTAGCCGTCTGAAATGTGCCGCATCATGTACACCAGCTCTGCTCTCACCGTGAGTCAGGTTGCCGTTCTAGCGTTTCAGAAGGCGCGCTTGAATTTCTCCCCAGCATTGAACTGACGTAGGCACAAGGACCTATCCATGTTCTAGAAATGATGCCTCGCTTCTAGCTCGGTGGCTGCCACCAAGAACTGATGCATCCCTCCCAGCCCATTGGGTCTGTCAGCCATACATAATACTAGTACCTGGCTTCAGGGGGTGTAGAAAATACCGCAACCAGACAGCCATTAATATTGTGCCCATCTACTCCGTACCAGGGTCGAGTAAAGCCTAAGTTCAGTCAGACAGATGCGATTGAGGTGGTCAAGTCTTGGCATGGCCCGTATCTCTTTTGAAATGAGCTTTGGACCGTCTCTTCCACCTAAAGTACCTTGGGGTGTGCCAATCGCAGTATCCTTGTTGTAAACTTGTACCAGCCGACGGGAAGCGCAAAAATTAACGTCAATCGGCTGCATGAGTGGCGCCATATGGCTGATGCGTTTGCTGGCCCGCGAGTGTGCCTCAGCACGCGGCCAGCTAATGCAGAGATATTATTAGAGTGGCTTGTTGACCTCCAAGACACTGCCACGTTGTCGAATGGCCGTGTTTCTTTCTCGTCCTTAATACGAGCGTTCCCACAGTTTCAATGCGCTTGTTGACTCTCTGTGACAGCCCGATGCGGATAATGATATCTCGACGCTTCCAGACCCGGGCCTTGAAGATGTACATTGTACATACGTGCCGGGTCAGCTTGCGACGGTTATCAGGAATTCATCCACAAAATCAAGGTCGTTGGTTGGGCGGGTTTATCCTGGGTAAGATGGGGGCCATACCTGCAGTGTGTATGTATGTAATGTATCTAGTACTACATAAATGCTTGCAAGCCCCTTGGCCCTTGTCGAACCCGGGGCTGAGGAAAGGTCTCGGACGGTGAGCAGTCGAGCCGAAAATGGAAGGTGAGAACAAGGTAACTAAAAAGCTAAAATAGCAGAAGTCTGCATGGAATAAGGAGTACAGACAGCTTGCCGCCGTTGTCGTCCCTTTGTCTTGGGCCGTCATGGTCGCTGAGAAGAAGGGGCAGAGAGACACTCGTCGTGTTGAGAATGAAAGCGTCTCTGTGATTCTACGATACCGTTGCCATCACTATACGGAGTACCGCATCAGACATGCTAGACGATTGGTGTCTCACAAATTGCGTGCCAACATCAGCTCTGCCATAGAATGTCTCGCCTTAGCCGAGGCAACGGGTGCATGCCAGTAGCACGCATCCCAAAATCGTCGACTTGTCCAAACACAACCAACATCTCCGACCGGCCCGTCCACACAAAAAGGAATAGGCTTTAACTATAATGTGTCGGAGCCTGGCACCAAAATTGGCCAACCACATTATGCTACGCCGATTCTGGTGGACAACCCAACATCATGTGGGCAGGCGTTCCTTGGCTGCCTAGAGCCACGAGCAATCTGACCAGCGGCCGGCCATGCGGTAGCTCCTGCTTTCATCCGGGAGGGGATCGGAAGAACGTGCCTCTTGCTTGACCTTCCAAGGAAATCGACAGATGCCTGCCTCCACCTTGGCATCGGAGCCTTCTTGGCTGCAGATGCACTTCGCAATCTACAGCATAAATGCAATACATTGACAGAGGGCGTGTCCAAGGCACGTATACCAGTCCCGGTTGTCTGTTCTTCAAGCCAAAAGCGGCCGTTGATGGCCTACAGGTCATAGCATCACCGGCTGGACGAGTCTTGGCCAGGAGGGCCTTTTGCTGCAGACAGGCGGGCATGGCGGGCGGCCAATTGGGCCAGCAAGGACACAGACGGCGACGCAACAGTTGGTACGAGGTGCCAGTTCGCCAGCCTTCCTGGCCATGCTTGTCTTCGCTAGTACTTACGACCAATGGCCGAAGCGTAGATTCTGGCTTGGATGACAAAAAGACGGCGGCGGCTGGGGCCCACTTGGTCAATCCAAGACGGCCAAGATAGACTCGCAAGATTGGCTAGCAGATTGGGTAGAATGTAACTACATGGTGGTGGTTGATGATGCTGACAGTTTTCACACGCCATGAGGGCCAACGTTGGCCAACGACGCGGACTGGTAGGATATGAGAGAGCAATACTCCGTAGTGCCATCAGCCAAGAGCTTGCGACGGACGATAAGCCACTGTCCCCACGCTAGCCAGCCCCAGAGATGGCGAAACAGCGAATTAGGAGCAACTTTGAGGCGTCGTAGGCAACGGGCTATCAAGAACGGGTAGTTGTCTCGGTCCAACTAACCATGAACGCTGCCCAGCAATAGTATCTGTGAATATTTCGCATCCGATGCTAACAATACTAACAACAAGCCAGATGCGACCCAAAGCTGACGGGAAACAAGTTTTGTCCAGATACAAGCTCTTGGCCCAGCGACCAGAGCCTAGACAAAGTCTGGGGTGTGGAGACCATCAAATGGCACTATGCAGGGCTCCAGGAGCTACAAGGGACACCTGGAACTGCTATCAGCACAAAGCCAAGACAGCCTAGCTCGGCGGGAGGTGGCAACGGTGGGTGCCCCAGACTGATTGCCATGGGTCATGTGGTGTGGCGAGACTTGATTTTGCTGAGTGTGGAGAGGAGGGGAAACCACGATAGTACATACATACTATCATCCGTTTGCCTGCCAATCCACTTGGGGAGTGGTATGATACGCCCAGGACCAGTGACAGGATTCTTTCTGCATGGGTATGGCTAGTTCTGCATGGGATGCCGGAATGGGGGCTCACGAGCCTCTATTTGTCTGGGGGCAACGAAGGCCAGAATTCGTGGCGATTCGCTCTCCAAGATAACGCCAGCGGAGAAGCAAGTGGGTTGCTCCAGTTCGACTATCTCACAGTCGAAATGTGCCATTGTTTGCTATTGATTATCAAACAATACAAGATAACAGCACGGTCGACAGACGACACGGGACGGGGTTCGTTCAACCGCGTTGCGTACTCGAGAACGAGTTGGCGCATTGTTGCTGCGACTGACATGGCTGCACAACTTTATCAACCTTGATTTATGGTTATGCATGCTCAATTTGCCACGGGGGACAAGGTCGGCAGAGGCAACAGCGTGACCAGCCATACACCATTGCGTGCGTGGGTGCGTGCGTGTGTGTGTGTGTGTGTGTGCCAAGCGTGTTGTTCCTAGACAAGAATGGTCGGCACTCCCGACCAAGCGATCAAGTCTTGTCATCCGAAACGAACAAGAATGTGCTTGGTGACATGCTAAGGGATCTGGTGGAGTCAAGCCACAGGTAAGTAAGATCAGAGAGTCATGGCCTCTCGTCGCCGTTGGCGTCAATGGGGCAGCCGTATGAATAGGTCCGCGATGACAGGACAGTAAGCATTGTATTGCCTGCATGTTGTAGACATGGAAACAATCTGAATGGTAAACTCATCAGCCTTTCATGCCATGCCCTGTCGAGGTGGTGCACCTCGCGTTGCTCGTCCAATATGTCTCCGTCAGACCTCGCTAGCTGCTTCTCGTGTGCATTTCGCTAGATGTACCGCGTATAGTTGCCCTCCCCGTCTGGTGCCGTCGTCACTAGCTTTGGACACTGATAGTCCTGACTGAATGTCATAATGCCCACTGTTGGAAGGTATATCTCACATTTCGCTGTCGTGTTTTCTCTGTCACGAACCACGCCTGCAAATTGCTCCTCGGGGCCCGTTCTGCGAGAGCATCGCTTTCCTAATGGCCATATCAAGGTGGACCGTTTGGTCCTATCACTCCGGCCCCAAAGAATTGCCCACCCCTCCTGAGTGGAATGTCTAGACTGTTTAGTGCCAAATAATTATTCATTATCCCAAGGCCCGTATTTGGGTGCAATGGGACTAGATGGTCCAGACAATCCGCACAGGTCGTTTGCTGGTGCGGGCACTGTCAATGGCGGTCTCGTTAGCTTCAGAGCCTTAATAGTAGTTCCTGACGTACGTACTTACCAACTTCAACAGCTTAGAGTCGTTCGCATCTGGGATACCCTGTCTGGTCGTTTCACGAGCCTTTCGTTTGCTTGTGAGAATGGAGTTCCACCCACATCGACCTGTTACCCCAGAAGAGACTCCCCCCGTCGCGTTTGGCCCAGGTGGCTGAAAGCCACAAAAGTCGTTCAACCGCTCTTTGGCGCCTCGCCCGTCTTGGTTGAATCTGGTTGCGGGCGTCTTCTTCGCTTCTAGATCATTTCCCGTCGAGCAAATCAACAACTCCTTGTCCTCTAGCCGCACCATCTGGTTGTTACTTACATACTACTCCCATCGCCACTTGTCGTTCAGAATTGGTCTGCTGTGAGGGGCTAGTCCAGCTAGTCTAGCCCGTCGGACTATGTCGAGGTCATATCTCTTGTCTTACCTTATGCAAGTACTTTACAAGCTCCATTCAACGTGCCTTGAACGGCACTATGGTATCCATGTTGAAATTCCTCCTTTCTCAACAGTACCGCGTCCTGGATAGTCGACCCTTGGCTTGCCCTCTCAAGTTACTGGCCCGCAACTTGTAATACTTCATGTACCCTTGAGAAAGCCTCCTGAGTCCATTTGGGAGCTTCCCGCCCTCTAGCTTCTTGTGTTCTTCTTATCCTGAATCCCTGTCAGCCCCTTCCCCAAATTGCCTCAGCCCCAAGGGCCAGATCCGGTGCCATGTTCCTTGGCAAAATTCATGCTGGGCCGACAGTCACACCCCCTCCCAAAGGTAGGTCTGAATCGACTTTCGTACCCTCCAAGACGGGTCCATTGTATCCTTCCAGAAGCTCGCCCTTCTCTCTCACACACTATCCCTCCCTCTTTAAAGAAGGACCGGCCTCCCCCAATTCTTGGCTTGTCGTTCTCTTGTTCTGTATTCCTCTCCTTTTCATTATTTTCCCTTTCCATATTATTGCTTTTAGACTTGAGGTCTGGCGACCTTGCCGAGCTCTGTCAACAGTAGGAAGCAAATAGCCAGCCAGGACAACGACAAACTCCAGACACCATGTCGTCCAAAGACGAGCCCATTGACTCCAGTGCCATGGAGAAGGGCCACACGACTGCCCTGGAGGGTACTAGCCAAGTGATCCCTAAAACAACGACGATCGAGCGTGACCCAAATTTCATGACCCGCAACGGTCTGAGTCTGGAATCTTTTAAGAAAGCTCATTATGGCACCGGCTTCGTCGAACTTGAACGCCCTATGAAAGCCAGGCATCTGAATATGATCGCTATTGGTGGTTCTATCGGCGCCGGTTTCTTTGTTGGTTCTGGCGGTGCTTTGAGTAAAGGTGTAAGTTTCCTTTTGTACATTGAGCTCGCTGGCTATTAATGGACATCTCTTCCCTAAGCAAGAGCTATCCACGATGACTGACACTTTGCCAGGGCCCTGGAAGTCTTTTTCTCGACTTCTTGATCATTGGTATCATGATGTTCAACGTCGGTAAGTGAATGATCGTGTTGCTCTTTCGCACTGAGATTAGTTCCAAAGTTTCTGTGGTTTCTAAATGTGTATTAATGGATTATGCTGTGCACAGTGTATGCTCTAGGTGAACTCGCTGTCATGTATCCAGTTTCTGGTGCCTTTTATACTTACTCAACCCGCTTTATTGACCCTTCCTGGGGTTTTGCAATGGGCTGGAACTATGTCTTCCAATGGGCTGTTGTCTTGCCACTTGAACTCACGGTCTGCGGTCTGACTATTCAATACTGGAACGAAGACATATCGGTCGGTGTTTGGATTGCCGTATTCCTTGCTGCGATTATTATTATCAACTTATTTGGTGCCCTAGGCTATGCTGAAGAGGAGTTTGTATCTTCTGTCTTCAAGCTTCTCGCGACTGTTATCTTTATGATTATTGCCTTTGTTCTCGTACTAGGCGGTGGACCTAAGGATGGCCGATATAATGAGTACTGGGGCGCCAGATATTGGTATGACCCAGGGGCCTTTAAGAATGGCTTTAAAGGCTTTTGCGCTGTCTTTGTCACAGCTGCTTTCTCCTTTTCTGGAACCGAACTGGTTGGTCTTGCTGCTGCCGAAGCTAAGAACCCTGTCAAGTCTCTGCCAAGCGCCATTAAGCAGGTATTCTGGCGTATCACGGTATTTTATATCCTGGGCCTGTTCTTCGTTGGCCTTCTCATTGACAGCAATGACCCTTCGCTACTCTCGTCGCAAGCCTTCAGCGATGTGAAGACTTCGCCCTTTGTTTTGGTTGGAAAATATGCTGGACTCACGGGATTTGACCACTTTATGAACTTGACAATCCTGGTCTCTGTCTTATCAATTGGCGTCTCGGGTGTATATGGAGGCTCTCGAACTCTGACCGCTTTGGCCCAGCAAGGCTATGCTCCCAAGGTATTCACTTATATTGATAGGTCAGGTCGCCCTCTCTTCTCCGTCATTGCCATCATTCTTTGCGGATTCCTCGGGTTTGTGAGCTTAAACAATAAGGGCCCTGTCGTCTTTGACTGGCTCCTAGCCTTATCCGGACTTGCAGCTATCTTCACCTGGGGTTCAATTTGCTTGGCCCACATTCGATTCCGCAAGGCGTGGAAGTACCACGGTCATACGTTGGATGAGATCCCTTTCAAGGCTATCGGGGGTGTCTATGGCTCTTGGCTCGGACTCGCTCTCTGCGTTCTCGTCTTGATTGCTCAGGTACGAAACCCACTCTCAAAACAGCGTTGCAGATGGACATCGGCTTACTGACAATGTCGTCGTTTCAGTTCTACACCGCCATTGTGGCTCCTCCCGGAGAATCTGGCTTGGGCACTGCTGAAGGGTTTTTCAAGTCGTATCTCGCCTTCCCTGTTGTCATGTTCTTTTGGGTAGTTGGGTACCTCTGGAAGCGTACTGGATGGCTCCGAACTGAGCAGATGGATGTCGATACTGGCCGCCGAGAGTTGGACTGGGATGAAATCAACGCCTACCGAGCCAAGGTTGCCTCGTGGCCAGCTTGGCGACGAATTCTTCACCACACTTTCTAAGGTGGTAAAGTGGTGGCATTTTGTGTATATGTGTTTCTTATATCAACGAGGAGTGCTATCGTGCGTCATCAGCCCAAGAACAGGTGCTGGTCTCTTTACAGGGTGACCAAACCTGTTCGTTGAAATCATGTTTGCCGAGGAGTCTATTTACTATAATGACGTTCATAGCGGGCGGGTGGTTCTTTGGTTGATACATTTTCTGCTGTACAACATTAGCTATTAGATACCACGTCAAATGATACTCGATTAAGATTAATGGAACGAAGTACGTGTATTTCCCCTTGCTGATGTTGTCGAGCTGGCCATGCCTCTAGCAATATGGCCCCAGAACGGCCAAGGTTTGCCCCAAATGATGTGCATAAATTCTTAAGCGATGGAAAGAGTTTATCGTGATGCTAGAACGTTTTCAGAATGGAAAATTAAGTGAAGAATGAGCAGCAAAATGGTAGAGGTCAGCTCCGTGCAGCTGCGACGGGAGATGCACAAAAACGGTCATGTTACATGTGTCACCGGTACGTAGACAACTGCGCCAGATGTCAAAATGTCAAGCGCGCCCTTGACTCTCCAGAGCCGAGCCTGCCCCACGTGTCTGCGCCTTTCAATCTCAACATGCTCAAAATCCATCGGCGTTACAAAGGAAAGGAATACTCATTCAGGGTTTTGGCTTGGTCAGCAAACATTGCGTGCTTCTAGATTTTCAAACGCCCCCCGACACAATATTTCAGCCTGAGTGCCATGTTCTGCGAAACCCTACGATTGGGCAGCTCTGGGCATATCGAGCAGACATGGTAACGGCAGCTCGACTCCCAAGACGACCAGCTCAAGTGGCCAGACCCTAAATGCACCGGCTACCTAGTACCTAGTCGTGCTTGAGTACCTGCTCCAGCAACGATGAAGAGTCAAGTACCCTCTTGGCGCCGGCTTGTTGCTCGGTTGAGCAACTGGGCCGCTTCACGGGATGGCAGGGTTGCATCAAGATCGACTCCATCCCCAGATCCATCTCTTCCCCTTGATTCCCCGGGGTCTATCCCGAGACAGTGTCATCCCTTGTGGAGACAAGTGTATCCTCGCTGGATGCGAACAATGGAGAACTCCAAGTGCTTAGAGGCATCTCAGTTGCAATCACGTGTATGCGAGCGCCCTCTCTCTCTCTCTCTCTCTCTCTCTCTATCTCTCTCTCTCTCTCTCTTTATCTCTCTCTCTCTCTCTCTTTGTCTCTCTCTCTCTCTTTCTCTGTCTCTCTCTCTCTCTCTCTCTGTCTCTCTCTCTCTCTCTCCACTAAAGTCTATTCCAGACTGCTTCAAAGTGACTCCAAGCTCTCTCAGGGGGAATATCTTTTGCTCAAAATGCTTCACTTCTTGGTCGTATGAAGAGGAATTGCGAATTACTATTGGCGAACCCACTTCTAGGGCCTGGAAATTTCTCACAGCCGTGGCCACTTTCCGCAACCTCTGAACTACTACTATAAGTAGTGGGGTGAGAATACGCGGTCTGAAATGATGAAGGCTTCAATATGAAGAGATATCTATATAAAATTACCCGAGCCCCTTGAATTCTGTGGTGCCAGACGGAATCGGTTCAGGAGTTCCAGAAGCATGGATTCCGTTTTTGTCTATGTTATACAACACCCAGGCCAAGGCCACGACATTCCGTTCCATTAAGTCAGTTTTATATTTTTGGCATTGCCTGGTGGTATTTCTCACAACCTAACTTGCGAAATTTTAGTGACAAAGGGGCCCAGAGTCAAGGTACCCTATCCAAGAGTCTTCCTAAACATATCAATACTTGCCCCCCCCAATGATGACTCTCCATATTCCTTACTGAGTATGCCTCTCTACCATGACTCTCACATCACCAACTGATGCCCTTGCCATCTTTTTCAAAAGCGTTCTCTCGTCCGCTTCTCGAAAGTTGCCCCAAGTATCCAGGCCTTCCTTCGCCTGTATGCTCAGCGTCTCATACCCCTGTTTAATGACTTCTGTGACCTGGTGTGTCGTGAGATGGCTCGGTTTCTTTTTGGAGGAGCCAGCTCCCCCGGCAAGCAGTTGATTGTAATGGGTACTGACACTAATCAATGTGTCAATTGAATTGCTCTTGCGATTCTCAAGACCATAGTTTTCTTTGAACTTGGTCAGAACTTCACCGGATTCAACCACTTTGTAAAACAGGTCGTCATAAGCGGCAGGCGTTGGCAAGAATGCTTCACCTGCAGACAGAGAGAGTGCTAGCAGGTTGACAACATGGTCTAGGAGTGTGTTGATATGAGTTAAGTCCTTCAGGTCCGATGTGTAGGTTGCCAAAAAGCGGACCAGTGACAGTAGAGATCTGAAGAATTCTGACCAATGATAGACCAGGCGCGTTCTTGAGCGAGAAAGGTAAGAAATAATGCGTAACAATATTCCCAGACACAATGTGTAGAGGCTAACGTCCAGTCGCCGACGAAGATTATGGTTGATCCCATCGATCATGCAGTCAAGGACACTGGCTGCGAGGACTCGCTCTCCTTTCACAAGCGGCAAGAACGGTTGCCGATGTCGACACAGTCGAACAGAAGCTTTTACTTCGTCGCTGCAAAGTTTTTTACAAACAATTGAATCTTCAATCAGTAAGCGAAATACCATGAGGTTCAGGTGCGCGTAGTAGGTAGCCCGGTGGGAAAGATGAGCGTGTTGGAGCAGATAAGACGTAAGTGACAAGTAGCTTGCGATTGGTCGTTCACCGTCATTCTCTCCTGGAAGCGACACAAAGTTGAAGCAGAAAAGCTTATTGGCATGTGCAAAATCATAGGATGCGAGAAGGGCGGCCGCGCTCTCGCCAGGCCTACAAAAATTAGTCTCATGATGTGGATAGCAGAATACGTGCGGGCGTACAGGTTGGAGAACAGCTGTTTCGCTGTTTCGGCGTCGTAGACTGGCTTCTTTTCTGGTTTTGAGCCACGAAGTATCAGACCAAAACCAAGCAGGTTCAGTGTATTGCTAAATGTCCAGCCTTCTGGTAAGTCGTCTTGAACGTCGATGTAGTCTAGCCGTAGAGCTTGGCAAGTGTAACCAATGCATCGGATGGTTTTTTGAATGGTTTCTTCGTTGACGAAATCGTTGAACCTGAGCTGGTATGGATTTTGGAACTCAAATTTGTTGTAGTTTGCCAATAGACCCAACAGAATAAACGGCTCCAGCACTTGTCCTGGAGTCTCTGAGTCTTGCACAAACTACCCCACGTTCCATAGTCAGAAATTTTGGGGGCCAACACTCTAGAAGTCTCACATAATTTACCTTCATGACGGCTGGGAATAAATCCCTTTGTATCATATACGTGAGAAGACTTGTTTGGTATGCGCCTGCGGTTACGGCAAGCAGTACTTCGATGGCTTTGTGGCGTACAGTAACTGCTCTGCAGGGTCAGCCCGTGGCCACGACTAGGTTGTACTCGTCATTCTTACGGTTTTCTCCATTGCGAACTATTGCATCTAGTGTGCTTACAAAGTCTGTGAAAACAGCGTCGATATGGTCGAGACCAGCAAGAATGGCGATGATGTCGGAGCTAGGATGAGGATATTTCTTGGAAAGGAGACACGAGAGAAAGATGCCCAAGGTCTGTCAAAAGTTAGAACCATGTGTAATGCATTGTCAATATAGTGTCGTACGTCTAATGCGTGCAGAGGAGCAAGGCCTTGGCCTGTTTTCACAGTGACAGTGGCCTTTCCAAAAAGCTCCCTCGTTCGGCCTTCGTATGTTAACACGTCGGCGGGTGACATGTCGTTCAGCAAGGCGCGCAGGCTCTGGCGGTCTGGTCGCAGTAGAAAGAATTCCGCCCAGAAGCCGCCCGACTTTTCTTCGGTGTCGTCATCCTCCTGGCAGAGTCTCTGGGTCAGTCCAAGGAGCTGAGTTGCAAGCAGATGTAATTGTGCTGTTGTACCTTGAATGCAGCAGTCAGCATCGGACGGCCGCGCAAAGAGGGAGTTGCGTCAAACCTTGAATAGAGCTGAGTACAACTCTACAATTTTGGGCGTAAATACCTCTGGCGGAGGCTGGCGAGTAAGTGGCGATGCCTCCATGGGAAAACCGGCGTCCAGAGGACAATATTGAATGCGACCGATGAGCTTCGGATGTTCAATGGTGGTGGATAGCAGCCAGCTATTTAACTTACTGGAGTACCCAATCTAGGTACGGAGTAACTACGTGGGGTTGCTGCAAAATAGGAGTGGAGGCTGTCCAGCCACGACGACTCCATTAATCTAACTAATTGACTGTCTGGGGTTGCCTGGCTACCCTATGCCTCTTGGTGGCGCCACCAGTCACTTGAAAGGCCAATAGAAGAGTGCAAGTACAAGCAAGGGTATTGTATCGTAGTCAGAAGCATTTGGCGAACCGATTCGAGTGCCGCAACGAAAACCAATTCCATTCACTACCAACTGAAGCAGACAGGCACAGTTACTACTGCGAGCATGTTGAAAGGGCCGGGAGAAATGTTCAAGTTCTGTTCCATTTTCGGCCATCGGTTCTGCCAATCCTTGCGCATTCCTCTTTCATCATCGTTCAAGCTAGATACATATACAAAGGAGTCTACCTTTTTTCCTTGGGAAACAAAACCAGTCCGCGCAGAGCACACAATCATTTTCTCCCGGGAGCTTTCGTCCAGTCCAATCCCGCTCCTATTCCTAGAGTATGACTAGAAGACATTGGCGTTTAAAAATCGAACGAACCAGCATTGTGCTTGCAATCCTTCAACGCCGAGCTCACGTGTCTGAATAAAAAGAACTATTTTCATCACACCTATAGCCAGAAACGGTGCAAGAATCTCATCGTCTTCCCCAAGTCGACCTAAAATCGAGGCCCATTTTCCGTTCGTCGAGTCAGCAAATAATACACTGCGCTGCAGCACCTTTGCTAGTCAAAATTGACCCATCAGGGTCCATGCCATGCTGAGGTTGCAGCAGGATGCAGAGTCATGAACTGCTCATGCCAAATAAAAAAAATCCTTCTGGTATATCGAGCCTTCAT